TTCATAAAGAATACCGCTATCAGGATGGTCACCATCATGCTGTATAACATCGCCTTTTCCTTGGCACTGGGATTGATGGTCAGGGCTCGACGGGTTGAGATCTTTGCCGCGGCTACTGCGTGAGTTGTTATCTTTCTTATTTCCCCTCAATAGCATCAAAACCTTATCGCTCACCAAGACTTATCATGAGCATGCTGACCCTTCCAGGTTTGCTGCGGTGAACGTGGCTCTGATTTCGAACTCGGGAGACTGCCAATGTTCATGAAATCGAATATAATTCGACAAATCCTGGAATCATGTTTCCATAGAAGTTATTATAGATACCCAATAGACTCCAAATAGACGCCATTTCGAATACAGTGACCACTACCCCCCACGCCAACACCAACACATCCTTCGGTGAGGATCTACTCCACAACCAGAACCCCACGGTATCTCATCTTTCCGCCCTCCAGTGTTTTTATGGCATCGTTCACGCCATCCACGCTCAGAGGATACTTCATCAAGATAGGCTTCACACCATGAAGTGCCGCAAAATCAAGCATATCCCTATGCACCTGCCTGGCCGCAACAATAGAGCCTTGCACACGCAATCCGTTCTCCAAAAGGCCCATATACGGGAACTTGAAGTCCTCGTTATCCACCGACAACGGCGAAATAACCGCTCCAGGAGCAAGGACATTAACGTAGAGCTTCCAGTCCGGCTGGCTACTCGTGCTAACAATCAAATTTTTCAATGGCTTCCCAATCTTAAGCTCCTTCGCGCCCTTGGTGGCATAGAACTCCTTCGCACCCAGCTTCAGTGCCTCTTCTCTCTTATTATCACTACCAGAGAAGACAACCACATCGCAGCCCATCTTCGCCGCAAACTGAATTGCCAAGTGTCCCAGCCCACCAATGCCAACAATACCAACCCGTGAGGTCGGCTTAACGCCACCCACATGCAATGCATTCCACACCGTCGAGCCACCACACATCAGCGGCGCGGAGTCCTCGTTGGAAATTCCATCAGGGATCTTGAACAAGAACGACTCGCGCCACACAGCATGCGTGGCAAATGACCCCTGGTCGAGATTCGCACTTCCGTACATCTGTCGCTCCGGGCACATTGTCTCCCAACCAGTTAGGCACTGGGCGCACCGACCGCAGCAGTCATGTTGGTAGCCCCAGCCGACGCGATCGCCTTTGCGCAGTCCGTGGACTTCAGGGCCGATTTCTTCGACGACGCCGGCACCTTCGTGGCCTAGGGCCATGTCTGCGTGTTGGTAGTGCACATCGGTGAAGCAGACGCCGGAGTGGGTGAGGCGGACGAGGACTTGGTCGCGTTGGAGGTCGTCGCGGTGGGTGGTGGCTTTCTGGATGGATCCATCTTTGGATCCTTTGAAGACGGTGAAATCGTAGCCCATGGTGTATGGAGGTTCTGATTGGTGTATTAAAATATAGAATTGATTTACCTTGCAGGAATCTAATAATGTCTTCGTCTGCGAGGTCCCCAGGGATCCGATATTATACTGTAGGTTAAGCAAGGGGAACACATTCTTCATGATGTCACCATCAATTCATGGTGGAGACCTCGAAGCCCCATTGAGCAATCATCGATGGAGGGTTGCAATGAGCTCAACATGTGGATACGAAGCTCTAGGTCAACACCCGGTTGCTCCGGGGGTTCAATGGCAATTTTTTGTCGGATTTTACGGGGTACCTCATTCAACCTGGGCAATGATGATGATACTTTGTAGCAATGCTTATCAATCTTAAATTGTCTTTATCTTCAGGTGGGGAAGAATTACCAAGTGAAGGGTTAGACTTTCGGCTTCCGCGGATGTATGTGATGGCTATCGTTGGGTTGCGATGCCGTCATGCCGCGGCTTCTGGACTTTTGGTCAGGAAGGTTGCGATGGCCGAATGTCTATCGGTCGCATTGCACGTGGAATTGAACAGGTTATGTTTACGGAGATACAGCCGGGAAAAATGAGGCGCAAAATTGAGAGGCGATTATGATAAGGACTTCCATCGACCTCCGAGTTTCCTAATCGGGACAAACCCTACCATACAAGTCCATCAAGTCAAAACAACAAAACCATCATACATAGAAATGCCCTACACCTCCTTCTGCGGCCTCTTCCAAGCTTCCACCTCACACCCGCCCCTTATAACCGCCACCCTCATCATCGACAGCAGATTATGCGCCGCATTCGAATGATAGTACACACCCCCATTGAACATAGCGGTCGCATCCTTCCTAACACCAGCCTGAATCATTGCCTTCCCACCAGGGTGTTCCTTCACAAAGTCTTCAACATCGTGCACAACCCCAGCAACAACGATTAACGCCCTGCTCTTCGCCCTCTCCACAAACTCCTCCCACTCCATAACCGGTAACTCACTCAACGGGGTCCCCCAGTCCAACCCAGCCCGTCTCCTATCGACCTTCTTCTGCAACTGCTGCACCCTCCCCTTCTCAATCTCATTCTCACGAAACATCTTCAAATCACGGGCCAATCCAACCTGTCCCCAGCACCAAATAGCCCACTTAGTCGGATCATACTGAAACCACCGAATCGCATTGCGATAATCAGACGGAAACTCATGATGGAAATTATGATATCCCTCACCCATCGTGGCCAACGCCGTGACGACATGATCACGGGGTGAATTACGATCATCAAACGGCTGCTCACCCAGCCAATGGGCCAGGGAGTTCACGCAGAATGTGGCCTGCTGCACGAAGAAGATGCGTAGGATGCCCGCGTACACAAACCCACCCCACCAATCGCCCCAGATGCCTGCAACCAGCATCGGAACGACAAGGCCCATGAGGATAACGATCTTCAGGAAGTGTCGGTGCTGCCAGACGATCACGGGGTCGGCGTTTAGGTCCGAGATGTCGGTCCGGCCGAACCGCTTCGGGTTCTGCTTCAGTATCATCCAGCCGAAGTGCGCGTAGAAGATCCCCTTGTGTACAGAGTAGGGGTCTCGTTCTGTGTCTGTGTACCGGTGGTGCGAGCGGTGCAGACGTGCCCACCAACGCGCGGAGCCTTGGACGGAGCCCCCGGCGGCGAGGGCCAGGGTGATGCGGAGCGGGAGAGTTGCTGTATAGGATCTGTGGGCCCAGAGGCGGTGGTATCCTGTTCGATATGGTGGGTTAGGAGGGAGGATTTGGGATGGGGGTTGAGATGTGGCGATGGGACGGACCTGCTGTGACGCCTAAGGCTGTAAAGAAGTAGTAGGCTACTGCCCAGATGGCTGTTTTGAGTCGTAGAGGGGTCCAGATGGCTTGGATGCAGCCGTAGAGTGGGATCAGGACGATCATGGTCACGTTCAGCCAGTTGACATGTTGGTGCCAGTTCCGGAGGGTAATGGGTGTATCGGCAATGTGAACTTTTGAGACATGTCTGTCTCGAGGAGGGGGTATATTGGTCTCGCCTGGCATTGTAACTGGCTGGCTTTGGACCGTATGGGGCTATGTACTTGGGAATGTTTATGACGGAAGCTGCGCACTCTCTACTATATATGGGAGGGACAGACAGCCGTACGAGCAGACCGTTGAGCCAAAAGCCCAGCGTTAAGCCCGAGGCATGGCGTCAATTCCCGCTACTGACAAGTTGACCAACGTTAGGACAGTGATGAGTCGTGGTATGACAGTGGTAGCAGAGAGTGGTTGGGAATGGAAGGGACAATATCCCTCCCCAATGCGGGCCAATGGGATTATTCTGCGGAATCACCCGTACAGGGAACAGGGGTTTACGAATGATTCATGGCTAGAAAGATTTGATGCAATGCTGTTGAGCAGAGGACTCAGAGGAGGTTCTGCGCTGGTACCAGGGTATAGGGTTCAATTCATCTGCTATCCGTTGGGACCCCAACCAGTCTCCCCTGTTTAATGATGTGGAGTTCAAACATTTGGTTTGATTAATGGGAAGAGGGGTCGAAGGATTTGTTCAAGGGAACTGGCTAAACAGTCAGGCTAATGGGACCGATTACGGCATGGAGAAATATGCCCTGATTGGGAGATGGGCAATTCTAGGGTAACATTGACAGTTTTGCGAGGTTTTTCTCTATTCATGTACTGAAATCAAGATTGTGTTTGGTGTTGGAACTGGTGATAAGGCGGCGGGAGGTATCATCCGCCGGTCGGCCTATCCAATCGCGATCAAATAATCAAAAATCACTATACTATAAATAGTCATTACCGAGGTTAAACAGACACTCAACAACTTTGCCATGAAAGCACTCACTAGCATCGATGTGCTGCTGACTGACTTGATAACATATTATGTTGTTCCACTTTGTGGATTCTTGAGTTATCGAAAAAAAAATGACTTCTTCCCGACAGGCTATCTGTTTCCTGCACGAATTGCAACACAGAATTTGCTTATAGCCCATGACTTGAAATAGTATGACAGTGCTTTATTCTTGCCCAACCCAACAGCAGGCCGAAACGCACAATGAAGTCGGCTTTTAACAAGACATTCTTTCCACTGCAATGTGCTAAAGCCACACATGCCAGTGAGACAACCGCATAAAGCGTGGACATCCATAGAACACTTCCTTTTCAGACCAACTTTTTCTTCTTCGCAAGGCTCTTGTGAAGAAAATATGCCATCTGTGCTATCATCGAGTACACCCTAGCACTTTAGCCCTAGAGACGACGATACGAGACACGCGAACTCACCGGAGAAAGCAGTGACGGATGTCACCTGGTCACTAAGTAGTAGAGCCTGACATTCCAACCAACCGGTCTTACCGGATATTTCCTATCTTAGCCAGCACACATCGCGTTCTTTCGGTAGCTCCGACGTATCCTATACATGTATGGCTCAGCTAGATTGCCGGGGGCTTCCTTTGAACTGTTTAAATCATTCTCCATGGCTATTCCTATATGAAGGCCATACCTGCCGCGGGGGCCTCAAAAACATATCCATAATCCCAATCACAAAGTACAGTATCGGACCTGTCAGTTATTTCCTCATCGCTTCATCCCCATTGAAGTCCGAACCATGAACGAAGATGCCGTGCTCGATACTCCCCTCTGGGATGACACATGGCTTCCAGTCCCAACGTTAGACATCGAGCCAAACGGACCCCTAAAATTGCTCAACATCATCCTGGATCCCAAAGATCCATGCAATGAACACAAAATCATCTCGACGCATGACCCGAACATTGCCTTCAACATCACCGAGTTCGAGTATCCAAACATGGACAATACAGAGCGCCTTCTCACCAGGGGTGTTAGTAACGCCCAATATCCTGGGATTTATGGACGCGGCGACGCCGTCAGTCTCGACTGCTTCTGCAAGTCTCTCAAGGTAACAACCGTCAATAATGAGTCCGTACTCGAGAGTATTCGGTCAAAAGCTACAGAGCCAAGAGTTAGGGAAGCCCTCAGAGACATTCATCGTAACCCTGCGCCCAGGCCTCTTTATATCATCACCGGTATTAAGGTCGCTACGGGGGGAACTATGGATAGCGTGTGGCGTCAGTGGCCCGAGGAAAGGGCTAATATGGGTTATAGTAATGATCCTGAAGAGGAAGTGCATTTCATGGAAGAGAGAATAAGGGTGCCGGCCAGTGCTTGTAGGTCTGATCATTTTGAGTGGAATGATCCTATCATATTAGCTTATCAGGTCAAGGATATTACGGCAGAACCAGGAAGTAGGACATTGAAAGTTCGCGAGCATACTGAGTATGTTGATTTTAGAACTGTAGTCGATCTGCTGCAAGATATGGGTCGTGTGGAGGCGCCTCTTATTGAGACGGAATGAGGTAAGGACAACGCGTTATTGGTGTGGTTAGCATGAGTTCTATCTTTCAGGCAAGCTGGTCCCTCATTCAGCCAAGAGACACCTATTTATGATTCTATATTAGAGGAATTAATTGGAAATAGGACATTACTTTATCTTATAAATTGCTGGATATCTTCGCTGGGTGAATTAAATCTATAATATCTTTCTATGGCAATGAGAATCTAGATCTTATTATCTTACCTTTCTAAATAGCCATTGGTTTGACTGAAGTATATCAGAAATATGAATATTATGTAATTGCAATGTTAGCAAAGGGAGTAGGATGAGGTCCTATTAGTGAATTTCGGTTGAAGGCTAATGTTGCAAACTAATATACAGTCAATACTGGAAATTTCCAGTCATTGCACTCAGATCTCATAGCAGAGTAAGAAGTGGAGCGCTTGTTAAATATGTAATTCAATCATAGTAGCAGGTGTAGGTGCATTGTTTCCGATGCGATCATCGCCGTGCATTAGTTGCCGGGCCACTCCGACTTGTTGTCGACTTGTCAAAGCAGAGTCTCATTTCCGGCGACACAGCCTTTGGAGAATCCTGGTCTGCAAGCTTACGGATCTCGAGAGGACCAAAAGAGCTGCGGCAAACTTCAAGTCTGGACGGCGATGCGCGGGCATAACCAGTAAGATTGTTGAGAAGACCCGCCAGCCGCGAAAGATGATCTTTATTCTCACGCTCCCAGTTTAGGATTTCATCCTTCATGTCTGATACGCGCACGCTCTTCATGACCCCTTCCTTGTGATATGCCACTGCGACGTTTGAGACTTGTGATGCCCAGAGTCGAGGGAAGACAGTGCTTAGATGGAGCTTTCGAAGATGGCCATGGTGATTGTACATGGATCGTAAATCGGTGTGAAGGATCTCGTTCTGAGCAATTGGCTTGCCGCCTTCCTGTACCTGCAACCCGCCGATGCCTTCAGTAAGACTGGTGATGTTAGCCTTGTCGGTGTTGGTGGATGCACTTCCACCCTGGAAAGCCAAATCCTGGTTCGGGATATAGGCATCTGACGTAGAGCGAACGACAATATTGATGCCTGCAAAATTATACCGAACAATGCGCTGATGGGCCTTGTATTCAGCGGCTATGTCTTCCCACTTAGTGTATCTCTTTGTGAACTCGGCCTCGTATTTATATTGAATGTCAGACTCAGGCAACCAAACCGGCGCGGGAACTTCTCGTCGAACAAACACGACCGTCTTGCCAATGCGCTCCATGATAAAGCGGATCTCCGACGTTAGACCACGGATGAAATCGAAGAGATCTCTGAGTGTGGCCGAACAGGTCACGATGTCGGTGCGATTAAGATCATAACTCGAATCCTGCCGCCGGATGGCTTCAAAAGATGCCTCCCAGGGATGATCAAGTTCATTGATGGGCTTTGGGTTGGCCAATCTTGGATAGCCTGTCTCCTTGAGCTTCAGAGACTTCTTTACTGGAGTCCAAATGGGAGGTCGACCTGAGATTTTGTGAGCTTGAGATCTTCCAGAGGCAGTGCGGCAGTAGCGAACAAGTATACCTGGGATCAAAATTGATGATTCCCCTGGATCTAACCGTGTGTAAGATGCCAGATAGTTGCAGGAGGTAATGCATGGGGCTTTTTGTGACGGTTTCACCCTATCCGATTCGAACTTGGCCAGCACAGGACCTTTTGGTGGAGAGAGTGACTCCAGAATAACCTCCGCTCCTCTTGGGTGATTCCATGCCTTTTTACGGCGGAGCATTCTCCCGTGCACTGGCCTGTACATATTTGGCGGAGGGGTGTTTTAGTGTGAGTAGAGTACTTACCACGATGTTGGTGGTATGAGGCAAGCTGGGTCATTTAGAAAAGACAGGTGGATCCGGTTGGTCACCTTCCCCGACCGGGGCGGGGTTCCCAGCCTCCCCTTTAAACTCTCTCCTCCACAACAACAACTCCGGATATCCACAAGTTTAGTTTTAACCACTCTATAGCATAATTCAGCACATCGTGCTGCCTCCCTCGTTCGGTATTACCTTCATTAATGACTAGAGTAAAAGTATTTGCGTCAAAAGGCGCATTCATCTTTCGCAGGGCTATCATGGCTATCACTAAAAGTACTGCTTGAGTTTGTTCATGCGGAAAGAGTTGTTTAGCCAATGATCTTCACAGTTCTGGAGCATTCAAACGAGATATCAGGAGTGACACTAACTTCGATCAAAATGGAAAGAAGGAGGAATAAAAGAATGAAAATAGGAACGAGGAGACATAGAGAAAGCCTTAATATTTCCATAAATAGACTATCATCATCCAGTAACAGTACTCTGTACGGGGCATGATTAGTCCAATCCAACATAGTAGTTAGGAGCTGTCGATAGTAGTATGCATGAGCTGATCGGTGGAATCCATAAGCGCCTTCAAGTGCACCCCGACGATGATTCTATTGGTACTCGGCGGCACAGCCTTACACAACACGTTGAGTTATACATAAGAGTGAAACAGAACTACGCGCTGCAAGTGTTCGATGAGCTGAGGTACATAGTCGGCGGAAAAGATCAGTTAATTATTGGAAGATATATGCGCCGCAGTATGATCTGTCCCATTTATTGACTCTGATTTGCTGAAAGCCTAAACGCCCTATACAACGTGCTGATGCGTCCTTGGTTTCATCGAACGTGGTAGGGGTTCGTGGGCGTCGATCGATAATGCCGACCAAGGCATATAAGGATGGTTCTTTTCGCCCTTCAAATATCGTTTCTCAAGCAACTTAATCATTTAATCTATCTATTGATATCATCAAAACCTCCAACACCGTCAGCCAACTTACCTACCACTTATCATTTCTCTATCCCGCCTTTCCACCACTCACCATGCATCAGCGAACCTATACATACGTCCTCGCGCCTAGATGGGACTTCCGTCCAGATGGCCCCATCGCCCTCGGAAACATCATCGTCGATCCATTCAGACCGCACCGGGTCCTAACAAGACCCGACCCAGACATCCCGACCGCTCCCATCGAAACGGTGGTCGAAACCGACTGGTCGCTACATCACCAAAGGGAGAATGGTGTCAAGTCAAGCATCTGGACCCACTTCCTCAACGCCATGGGCGTCGACCTCGGTTTCGAGGGCAGCAGGTCCCTTGATGCCGACTACACTGTTGACTCCCTGACAACCAGCTATTTCAGGGACGAGCCCTCCCATGAAGAGATCATTCGACGCACTCAAGATGGCAAGATCCGAGATCTGATGCGCCTGGATAGTGTGTTTTCCAAGCCCGTCTATATGATCACTGGCGTCAAGATTGCAAAGGGATTCCGTCAATCTGAAAGCCGTTCCAGCTCCAAGGAAGCAAATGCTGGGGCCAAAGCCGGTACATCGGGAACGGTTATTGGCGATGTCACTGTTGGCACGGACAATAAAATCTATTCGAAGGAGTCCGACAAACACCAGGGAAAGACAGAGAATGATATAGTGTTCGCCTTCCAGCTCATGAAGATCGTGCCGAAGGGGTGGAAGCACAAGTCCTTCGATGTGGAGGACTTCTATCCCAAGGCTGCTCTGCTGCTGGGCGATGAAGAAGAAGAAACTGAGACCGAACTCGATGTGTCTTATGCCACGGCGGCGGATTTCGCTGATTCAGACCTGGATATTCAGTTCAATATGATTGAGCTTAATGATAGCCAGGGTGCGTTCAAATGTGTTTCTGCCGTGGCGTAAGCTAGGATGCGCGCAAATGAATGGCTCTTGTATACTTTGTTCTGATTGGCGTTTCCTCTCTGCTGTTAATGTGCTTTTCATTCATTGATTCGTCCGTTTTGCCAACGTCTCTAAATCTGTTATACAGTATATAAAGTAGACTACCAAATAACATGCATGTTCGTTACCTTTTATAAGCGAAAGTTGAGACAAATATTGTCGCTTGCTCCTGGTCTACATAACAAACTCCAAGTAATTCAGCTACCCGAGTTCACAGCACCAGACTTAACATACCCATTAACACCGCCCAACAGACCGATAAATTTCCAACGGATCAAATTCCACCCTCTGCTGCAGAAGATTCAAAATCGGCTTAAACAACACCCTCCCCTCATACTCCTCCATTTTCCCCAGACGCTCCGCCTCCCGCTGCCTCTCAATAGTCGCCTTCATTTCATCCCACGTAACCCACTCCCAGCGGACACATTTCTCAGGCTCCATGACCTTCAACCAAACCATCAGTATTCAATCGCTCTCTAAGTAATATCACCAGAACACGACTCCAGAAATCAAAACAAAAGAGGGTATTAAACAAACGTACTACCGGGTCTGCATCCTCATCCACAAGCCTACAGCCCACAAAAATCGTAACATAATGCTTTCCTCCCTCCATATTGGCATTGTTGATTGCCGTAAGGAAGCGTATATCAGTTACTTCGAGGCCCGTCTCTTCAAGAACCTCTCGAGCTGCACAGTCTTCAAAGCTCTCGTTGAATTCGAGGTGGCCGCCGGGATGGCCCCATGTTCCTTGAGACAAATTAGAGCCATGTCTCAAGCAGAAGATGTTACTGAAGCGAATCAATGGGCGACAGGTAAGACTTACCGGCGCCGAGACTCCCCTTGCGTCGGCCGAGAATGGTCTGGCCGTGTTTGTTGAAGACATAGACGGCGACAGCGACGCGAATTGTTTGGTCCATGGCAGTGGTACTGACGAAGTGATCAGTAGGGTATAATTGATCGATAATTAAGTGATTGTTACAAAGAGTGTCCTGCTCATCTAGGTTGAGGAATCTGATTTACATGCGGAAGGAGAAGCAGTCCGTGGGACAGAATTGGATGCGGGCGGTGACTGGCGATAACGATTGCGGATAGACTCGATTCGCCAAGAAAAGCTACTTGATTGATAAGATGTGCCGTATTGGGTTTATGTGTTGATCCATGGTTAATATAGCCATTTACCACAACTGTGCAACCGAAAACTTCTAATCAGACTGAATTTCCTACTGCGGTCATAGACGAAACTATGCACATCAATTTCTCTGGTTCTTCCCCCCTCTTTAATGCACACCGCACTAGCCTGAGGGATTACGGGTTCCTCCTAAGAAGCCTTGCCATCAAATCATCGTCTTGTATGATGTACATCGCGCAATTCAAAGTACGTGTCAAAATAGTGTATCAGGTCTTGAAGAACCATATTGTAACGAGCAGAAAGATTTCACCAAACCTAGGCCTAAATATCGAGGAATCGCAAGGACTTTGACTTCTACCCGAGTCTATTCGCTTCTTCTAGTGATCCTCTCTCTCCGGAAGTAAGCCCGAAGGTAATAGAACCCCATGCCGATAATCCAGACCGAAATAAGGATTACTGCTTGCAGAGGTGCAAAGACGGCTCCCCTCACCACCACAAAACCACTGACGAGGGCGAACACCAGCGGAATAGCGATGAAGGGCTTGTAAGGTCGATGGAGATCAGGCTGCCGGAATCGCAGAAGGATGGCGCCTAAAACGGTCAGGAAGAAGAACGAATATTCTCCCAGACCATTGAAGGTGAGTAGAGCGCGAAAGTTTCCGAACAGCAGGTACGGAATTGGCAACAGGGTGGCCAGAATTGTGGCATTGATGGGCGCGTCCGATCGGGGAGTTGACTGAGAAGGAGGCTCCGGGTCAGGAGGCATTCCTACGTGTCCGAGCACACCCAGGAACCGAGGGAACCAATCCAGCTTCGATGCCGCGACAATCATGCGACCGGCCACAAAAGAGTTTCCGAGCAGGGAGCCGGCGACCACGAGGCAGATCACTATCGCAGCGAGGATACCAAACGCTGGTCCTAGGAGATGGGTGAATGCGGTCTGTATGTCATTAGCGTATGTAATCAATGGGAGGGTGTTGCACATACGACGGCCACGCTGTCAGTGGTCGAAACGATCTTCCATGGAAGAAGGATATAGTACGCGGCATTAGCGGCAAGGAAGCAAAGAATTATGATGGGGAGTGCAGTGTTGATGGCCAATGGAAGCTGACGAGCAGGAGCAGAGAGCTCTGCGCTAACGTAGATTGCCTGTCAAAAATTGGTGAGTATTTTCACAGACTCTTTGTAGGGGCTATATGCCTACCTTATCCCAGCCCGAATAAGCCCAGAGAGCACCATAGAGCGCGGTAGAACAGTAACCTAGCGATTCCCACCCGTGCATGGAGCTCCAGTCGATCTCCCGACCGTCCGGCGTCCAGGTGTTCCTAGATCCAAACCAAGAGTGCTTGAGCCAGTCATTTGACCCAGCATCGCGGTTGATTCCGGAGACTTGCAGGATGACGACGACTAGACCAGCCACCACAATTGCGGCAATGGCGATGAATTTGGTCGTGACTGAAAAACCATTCAATCGGGTGCTGACCTTGGTACTGATGGAGTTGGCCAGACCGATCACCAACAATACAAGAATGGAGAGCAGCTTATGTGAAAGGCTTCCAGCCTGATCAGTGACACCAGCCGCGGAGTAGATGCTTTCAATGAACACGATGCTCAAAATGGCCAGCGTTGCAGGCATCACGGCGATGATCCAAGTCCAAGCAGCAAGAAATCCAAAGACATCTCCGTAGATGTATCGAAGGTATGGCTGCACGCCTCCTATTGTACAGTCAATACAGTCCATATATCTCGTGGTAATGGAGTGAACTAACCTTCGCCCGGAATAGCAGTGCCTAGCTCGGCCATAGTGCTGGCACCGGTCCAGGCCAGAATGCCTCCGACCAGCCACACGATAAGCGCGACTCCTGGGGATGGAACATTTGTGTCGATAGAACCCGGGGAAGTGAAGATACCACTACCGATCACAATGCTGATGACGATGCCGAAGGCCTCGATGGCTCCGAGATTGCGGGTGAACTTTGGGCCCAATGCGGAAGTGGACTCCGCTCCGGGTTCGGTGCCATCGGTCCCTCTGGAATCGGCCAGGAGCGGGCGGCGAACACCCTCCTCTTCCGACTGATCGTGTGGAGGCATGGAGGGCAATTGATGACAGTTGTTCAGGTTAATGAGTGGTCGTTAATGACACTGAAGGGATGGGAAAGAGGGGAAGAGTCGGCAGGATCAAAGCGAATCACGCCATCGGCTGGCGCGAAGCGAACGTTTCATGCACGTCTGGCTTGATCACTTGCAGGGAGAGGAAGAAGCTGCCTCTCTCAGGGCGGTGACTCCGATAACATTGGGGCATTCACAAAATTCCCACGTGACTCCGCCTTATCTGCCTCTGAAAATGCACTTTGTCGCAAGGAATATATGAAAAACATTCAAAAGCATACCTCTCGTTAAGTGTACTTACTTGCTTTGAAACTATAATTCCAGTGGGTGTTATATCCACGCTTTCGGGAGGGACCATTAGCGTGCGGACCGCTCAATCACCCATACTAAGAGTTTGCAACAACTAAGGAGGGAGGGAGTAGAAGACTCAGCATAGAATGTGTAATATACTGATTTCCTAACCATTATCATTGCCGCAAACATAATTCAAATACAACTACTCGCACCATACTCCTGAATTAGAAAATTACAAAGGTACCAAAATTGTCCTGCCTAACGCGAGCATAGTATCCTAGCCATGCCATACCCTTCAGTTTCTCATCTGTAAATTTAGATTATTTTGTGACTATAAGAGCACACCAGTGCATCCGATACATTGTTAAAAGGGTAGAGGGTGTGCACAATGCCACTCATAGCACAATTCACGCAAGCATACAACGCAAAAAGTGACGAACACTCGCTTAGGATTCTAGCGTGAATACATTCACTTCACGCCAGATATACATGATGAAAAGCAACGCTAATCATCTCAGCATGATCTCTCACCCAATACCTACTGCACGTATCGCAAGCTGTCAATCATGCAGACCGATCAGCCACCCGAGATGCCACCCAACCCGAAGGATGAATCCCGCACCCTAAAAAGCATCAGAAAGATAATGGAGAAGCTAGAAGGTCGAAACGTCCTCAACTTCATATCCCCGTCTTTTTGCGATACAAACAACATAGTTTTGCTGCCCCTGGATCTCGAGGCCAAACACCATGGAAAGGGTAAATCTTCAACTACTCCCCTGCTCTTCGAACCTCTTCCAATCGAAGCTTTGCACACCTATCCCATCGACCCTCACCCCTACACCACAATAGACAAGCGTGAAGACTCCTGCTACACTATTAAAGACTACGCAACTATCAAGAAAGACTCGTGCGAGTCATATCCGCCCTTTCGCTTGAAAGAAATTGCCATCAAGCTAGAAAGATGGATCCATCTCGCTCCACGAACTCATCGCTACTATGCCGTGCCCGCTACTTTGACGCATATTGGGATCTGGTATCCGTCCATGTGAGTACTTTGTATTAACCCATGAATACATTCAAATAATTACATGGCTCTAATCTATTGATGAATACACCAGCACAACCGACAAATTGTACGCCCGGACATCCAACATTTATGACAAGCTCGGACAATATCTGTACACGGTGAATCGATTTTTCGAATGCATAGATGATAAGTACCCATATATCGTCATGATCACTCAACATTGGTGCCAAGAGCGATGTCCTGAGGACTCTATGATGCGATTTGAGCTGCTGGGCATACTTCAGACGATGCGCACCCGTCTGGAGCAAGATGAAATAGACTCGGAAGGGATGGTGCCTGTATGTTTCTCAGAACCCCTGTGATAAATGTTGAAAGTTGTTGATCACTGACACCGATATTAGGTCCTCATGGTTTCGTTTATGATACCCTCGCATGCTCGGATTCTGCAGGCACATATGCACAACGGGAAGTTGGTTGTGGCGCACAGCCGCATTTATAGCTTCGAAACTATGCGTGAGGCGCCGATGGATCTGTTCACAAGATGGCTGCTTTCGACTCCTGTTGGGTTTTTTAAATAAACTGAAACGGACTACCAGTACCCTTGAGTTGAATTGATGGATAAGAAGGACAAGTGGAAAGCGATGGTGGTAAATAGGAAAAGTTGAATGGGAACCGAGGAGGCCTATCTCGCAGAGATTCGGCAGTTGCTTGCAAGATCGGTCCTTCAGATTAGCTTGGTAATTTAGAGATGGAATATCAAACGTATCCAATAATATTGAAACATTAGCCGGTTTGCGTAAGTCTTTTTTTGTGTAGACGGTATACCGGTGCAGGTCAACCTTGCCCAATGGAAATAGAATTATGTGATACAAGCTAACATCCAAGAGGAATGTGCGCACACAAAGAGCCGATATAGAATCGGCAGACGGTCCATGATCACAAATCTAATTGGGTAACATCAAGAACTTCGAGGACAGCAAGACCAATAGTCGATTTAGAACACATGGTGGTCACTCATGTTTCCGGAGTGTCTGAACTCGGTGATTTCCTTTCATAAAACAGGCAGACACAAATAAAAATTTGTATTAGGGTGGCAGTAAAGCCTATAGTATCGTAAAGAGCAATTATTTAGTTATTGGGATTTCGCGACCTCAAGCATCCGCAAGGAGATTTCCGGTCATATACTTCAGGCCCGTATCCACAGCGACGGTAACCACCGTCTTACCCGGGCCCAGTTCTTTGACAAGAGCAATGGCCACGACAACATTAAACCCAGTCAAAGTTCCAACCAGTAAACCTTCCTCACGAGCTAACCGCCTGCACATAGCACGACCTTCTGCCTCTGAAATACCTCGTGCTTCATCATAAAGCTTAGAATCCAGATGTGGCGGCACGAAACCAATTCCTATTCCCTCGACGCTACGAGATCCAGTGCGCCCTTCAGTAGTGACAGGAGAAGCGGCCGGTTCGAGAACTACAACTCGCGTATCCGGCCACTTTGACTTCAGAACGCGTGAGACTCCCATGACCATGCCGGCACCTCCAACCGTACTGCAGAAGGCATCAATACCACCGGGGAACTGCGCTGCCAGTTCCTCCCGAAGTGTTTCATAACCTGGCAGGGCATCACCATTATTATGAGGCCAACATTGTGTTTTCTTCAGCCCATAGTCGAAAATCGACAAATCGATCTAACGTCTACCCCTCGTAACAATTGAATTATGTTCTGTTAACAAGAAAGCAGAACAGCGAGGGGTGTTTGCATTGTTTGCCGGTAGGAAAATACCAACGCTTGGCAAAGTCTTAGTGTGACTTGGCAATGGCGCCCGATCCCGCTTAGTCATACAGACCCGGGGCCGGTTCATGCCGAAATCGGAAGGCCAGGCCGAATCATCTCAACCGCGTGCATCTGAATCGGATATCAGCCACAACAACAATTCAGCGAGACTTCCCCAGGCCGCTGATCGACCCATAACGGTCATTATGACTCAATGAAGCGAGCCACGACTCTCTCAGCGCTGTGGCTGAGGCCATGATTTTCGTATGCCCCCGCTTGGCGCCTCATATTGAGGGCACTAGCCAGCCCTGTGCTGAGCAGGAGTGGGTCGAAGTACGTACGCTTTTTCATCCACTTGTGGCAACCCAAGCTCACCGTGACCATAGGGCTTTGGAGTGGACATTTGTCCAGACTTCACAAGACCTCGAATGTGTCTTGCGTGACTCGCATAGTAATGCAGTGAACGCGTACGGCCATGTCATCAAAGTTTCATGATGTCCATCTTCTCTGGATCGGGATCTTCCCCATTACCCCCTTACGGGGCGACGACGAGATCTGAGCCATGCTGCTCCTGGCTTAACCCATGGTACTATAGCATCGCAGGCGAATAGGGCGATGCCTTGAAGGTCCACTAGCGTCATAGTCCGATTAGCTCGGCGATAAATCCACATCGGCCATAGGCAACATCGTTTCCTTCGAAGGCTATGTCGTCAGATGCAATATCCGAACTGGGGAAAAGACCCCTCCATGAGCGTCATTTGCACCCAGAATTATCTCTTTTCCCTCTTCGCTGGATCGCAGACCCTATGTGGTCTCCACATCCCTAATGGCGCCTCCCAGGGGGCCACGAGTATAAGATCCCCCACGATCTCTCGCAGACCCTCACTCATTCTCAACAACATCTACAAGCCACACACTTTTATCAAACAAACACCTCAAACCTTTCTTCCTACAAACAATCAACATGGGTCTTTTCCACCACCACCACGAGAACCAGCACGGCCCTGGCGGCCATGAAGGCCCCCACGGCGGTCCTCAGGGCGGCCCTGGAGGTCCTGGCGGCCCTCACGGCGGTGGCCCTGGTGGTCCTCATGGCGGTCCCGGCGGTCCCGGCGGCCCTGGAGGATTCGGTGGTCCTCATGAAGGTCCTGGTGGCCACGGAGGCCCTCACGGCGGCGGCCACGGCGGCCCTGGTGGTCCCCACGGCGGTCCTGGCGGCCCCGGTGGCCCCGGTGGCCCTCACGGAGGTCCCGGCCGTTTCTAAAGCCCTGACGGACTACAACTCGAGGTACGCGATGATGCTCTATGGTCTTGTATTGAAAGGATTCAACTGACTGTTATCGAATAGTTCCGCAGATGATCGATCGTGCAACCATTCGAGCGAAGTGATATATTGCCTTAAGTCATGTTGGATATGATTGAAGTTTTTGTGTATATACCATGGTCGTGATATCATAATGATACGTACTCATTGAGATATGAGAAATTCTGGTGCGGTTATGGACGTAAATGAGGGGGGAGATGTCGTATGCATGTAGCATTGAGACCTGCGACACATGCTGGTATATATCACTTATCGTCACGGGAATACAGATGGCATGTTCAGGGATGCAAGAGCATGCATTATGGTTAAGAAGAACCAATGACCGCCATTATTGTTTGTCCTCTTTCACATGCGGCAAATAAATATTACCACAACAAGTAAATAGTGCCTCTATCTTTCTAGCAGAGTTTATATACTACGTATGGTCAAGGAACATTCTGAAAGATGTCAATGATCTATCCTACACTACTCAACACCATCTCCTCATAATCCAACACATGCAACCCCCCCTCAATCCTCCTCACCTTCCTAAGATCCAACTTCGGCTTCATTACATCGTTAACATTGGACACCACCACCCTTCCCCCATCCAGCAAAGTCCCCAAATTAAACATAGTACTATAAACCAACCCCTGGAAACTCGCCCCCTCGAACGTCTTCTGCTCCCTCGGTCCATCATACTTATACTGGATATCCGACCCCTTCGAGGGTAGGCCCGCGCCCTTCCAGTTACCGAAAAGCGAAGGATGTGACGAAATACACCTCAAGTATCCGGTCTCGCATAATCTCCCCAACATGACATCGTACACGACACTCTGACCAGGCGGCATGCTCTCATCATCGGGTAAAACAGACAACGCTGCAAGTATCTTCTGTGCTGCGTTAAATGATACCGCATATGCGCTGGAGCAGACTGCCAAGGAGGTTTTGCAGATAATGCGGTTGTGTTTGATGTTGTCGACAAGTTCGTGGACGGCTGGGCCGGCCCAGTATTGTGGGAGGCCGTAGACGGGGATAGATGTTGGGTCATTCTTTAGTATGTAGAAAGGGGTTTTCTTTTGGCATTTTGTTCCGCAGTGGCCGAGCCAGAGGATGTCCCAGTCGTCCCCGTAAGGCGTGGTCTTGGGATGGTGTTCAGGTTGGAGGGCTTGGGTTCCCAGCGCGAACTCTTGTAGTTGGTTCTTTAGAGTCACGTCCCAGTCGACATCGTCTTCGAGTATTAGGGCACTAGTTATGCGCTCTGAGACGATGCTAATTGAAGTCAGTTTTGTGTCTGACTTTTGGTGGAGATGTGATTACCGTTGCATCGCGTTCAGGTGGGCTCGCCAGCTGCCGATTTCACCGGCTAGCATGCGAGGTCTATCGGGTTCGTCGTACCGCTGGAGAGAGCCTTAGTAGATAATATGAGACACAGTGGCCAAATGAATCTTACTGGAGGATAGGCCTTTGGGCTCATATCTTCAGAGGATACGCCATCAATCCAGTCCACGCGGAACTGCGTGACTGATGAGCCTAGTGTGATTGCATCCCGTTTATCAGGTCGACTGGGGAGATTGATGCAGAAGATCCTTTCGAACTACGTCTCGATTAGAACTCGGATATACTGTATGGTCTGGGATGAGAGCTCACCCCTAATGTTTCATTTGTGATTGTTGCCAGACTTAATCCGTCTGCTGAACGCAGCCCCTGCAACCCAGCATACCGTTCACCAGAACTTATCAATAATGTACCCCACAACACGAGAATAAACACAAGCGATAACCCCGCATAGAGCAATTTCCTTTGCCGATTCCTTTTGAATACTTGGATGCAAGGAGAGCTGGGTAGGTTCAATTTCAGCGCGCCCATAGTGAGCCGTCTGAGGACATGGCCGGAAGAGAGGGAGGTAAAGGAAGAAGGCGGCCTCCAACATCGATACCTCCGACCGAGGAGTTCCTTTCATACTGTGATCGCCAAACTGTGAAGCCTGCTAGCTAGGTGGGGATGAACTGATAGCCGGAAGCCTATCGTGATGGACTTGCATGACCGGCGCTTAATGAGGCGATTTCATTCGCCGAAACCCACCGCTAAGCATACATTACGCACCCCAAGCATCGAATGATCACATCCGGATGTTCCAAGCGGGGAATCATGCTGACACCATTCTGAACCATTGAAGGAAATGGCGGGCAAAGAAAGAGGAGAACCAGAGGCCTCAGCCTCGCATGCTTTTTCACATGACCCAGACTATTATCTCTACAGATATGGCAACAGGCTATATTATTGGGGATATTTGATCCCTCTAACTAACTTCATTGCGCAAATTGCTAAGTATTACTCATTGGAACCAGTTTTATATTGAGACTTGGGTGTTCATATTCTGCCCTAGGACAATCATGAAGCCTGTCACGTGCCAGACCATTGTGCGTCCGGCCACAGCGTCACGTGGCATATCGCGCACCTCGCTGGTCCAAGCTTCATGCTCGGTTCCACCTCGAAGACCCTTAATCTTTTTCTCATATTCATGAAAACATCAATGAGCTCATGTCCTCGGGTCAGGCAGGGATACTCCAGGTTGCGCCGGTGCAGAGGCGACGAGGCCGTCCAAACCGGGCGTGCGATGTTTGCCATGTTAGGAAGGTGAGAACACCCACCCTGGACCTAGACACATACAATCTAACCACACAACTATTTTAGATCGCCTGTGATCGGGCAACACCAAAGTGTGACTGGTGCGCCTGTCATGATCTACAATGTACCTTTTCCAGATCTAGCCCCGGGGGCTCTTCAAGGTGGGCAATATTAGCGCCCAAGTCGAATTAGACTAACCCTGTTGTCTTCGCCAGTATAAAGCAACAAGGTAGCAGACTTGAATGTATGTATTGCCCTTAATAAACTACCTCTTTACTTGCTGAGTAATTTTATCTAAATGAGGCCTCGCAAGCGCAAATCCTACAATCACGGCGTGGACTCCGGCCGTTGGCTACAATGACCCGTTTGCGGGCCGCCACTGGGGGAATGTATGCACGTTCGATGGCACGCCCATTTTCTCGGCAAGCGGCTTGCAATGGATAACCGTATGTACTGGGAGAGAGCTTACAGTCGCTCATTATCCAATCTCCGAGGCTCCCAGGTGGCTAGACTCTGCTGATCCACCGTCTCTACTGCCTGACCAGAACCACTTTTACGTAGAGATCCAGAAGTATCAAGCTTCTGAATTCAGCCTTTTCTTCCCCATCCTTGACCCCTCGCTGGTAACTCACACTATTCAAGCAGCATATTATGGACAGCTATCAACAGGATCGCCTTGTTTGAGCTGCGCCAGGGCCGCGATATTTGCTTTTTGCTCGCTTGCGTTATCTGTGGTGCATGGGGACGAGGACGGTGCGCTGAAGTCAAGCGTTAGAAATGCTCGTGAGGCATATCGCCTTGTTCCAGAAATTATCAAGGGAGCTGCAACACTGGATGGGCTGCAGGCTATTCTCATGCTTATGAGTCCACCTTTCTAACATAATGTCCAACGGAGATTAACTCTAAACCCCCAGTCTTTGTGTTGCCAGGGGCTTGCAGCAGACTTTTCAACCATCGATCACCTACTGACAACGGTGGCCCGGTTGATATACCAACTAAGGCTGAATTTATCTCCTGATCATGCGGGAGCTACCCCTCTAGCCGTCAATATCCACGCACGACGTTTATTCCGCATAGCCTACGTTTGTGACAAAGGCTTGACCCTGCTAACTGGCCTTCCCCCACGACTCGAAGACTCTGAATGTGATCCAGCGCCTTCCCTCTTCGAAAACTCCAATGACCCTGCAAGCATCACAAATGCTTACCTTGACGCATACGTCTGCCTGGCGCGCATCCAGTCTTGCATTTACCGCGGGCTATACTCCCCTGAGGCCCTACGACAGTCAAATACAGATCTCTTCCGAACAATCCGGAACCTAGATCAGGACTTGGAGAAGTGGAAGGATAGCTTACCGCTACCAAATCGACCCACGCTGATACCCGCTGAACATGACCTGGTGCTTCAAAACACCGATATGCGGTTCTCGGTCTTTCATTTGCAATACCACCATTGCTTGCTTATGATTCACCAAGCCAGCAGCAGGTGCGCCTCGTGGATCGGGAATCAAGATACTCAAAATACTTCTTCGAGCCTTGCGATCTCCGTGACCGCGAGTCGAGCCTTTCTCCGGACATTTGTCTTCCACCGTGTGGAGCTGGGTCCGCAGAACCTTCTGTGTGTTTTTCCCTGTCATTTAGTCTCCTGCCTTTGGCCAAATGACCTACGCCAATTGGTATGCTAACATCCAATACCAGTTTCTGTCTAACCTACTTCATCCAAACCGCCATAAATCTATTTTGCAATGTCCTCTCACACCCCCTTCATCCCGAAACCAATGAAGACATGAACATCATGGGTCTAATTTCGGATCTCATTGCTGCTAAGAAGAGAGCAAGGGACCCTGTATGCTACGTTGGGAAGATCACCTTTGCGCAGGAGTTTATCCTTGAGCTGAAGCGGCTTGCTCGGTGTGCTGTCGATAGGGCAACTGCAGCTCGACAAGCAAGTATGACTAGGAACTACGCTTATTATTACTCATCTACATTTCTATGATATATCAGGTGTGGCTTATGTTCATGAGCTACACCCTGCCATGATTCCCGTGTTGGAAAGAGGTTCTTGACTGATGTATAGTGTGAAAATGTATAAGAATCCACACCGTCCATCACAGACAAAACTATAACAAGACTTGTTGGGCTGGCCGCCCGACAGGCAATAATGGATTTCCAGGGGATATGGTGCCGATGAGCTCTGGAGAATATCCTGGACTCCTGTAGATTCAGAAAATCAAATAATGTGCTGTGCAAAACTCCTGCTTCGTTATTAAGTATCCTGCCATAAACTTGGAGTTATGACGCAAATCTAAGCATCCGTGAAGCAGAGCGAGACTTCCATCACCACTTTTTATATAGTACAGCTATGACCAGTCCTTTGCAAGTTCCTCATCTATCATCTACCAGCTATTCATGACATCATATATCGTCCAGGTATACCAGGCGCGGTAAAGCTCCGTATCAAGGCTGCTATTACCTTTATATTGCCAGAACCCTCGGGGCAAGAAATAATATGCACAAGCCCCAAATCGACACCGAAAATCCCAGCACCGGGACGTTTAACTGGGCGCAACCCGGCCTCGACGTTCCAGCCCACTGAATCGAAGCAGTCGCAGGCGCAACACCCGCCGTTGTAGTAGATCCGGACCCGGAGCCAGAGGCATCAGCAGAAGCCGGCAGACTCGACACCTTTCCCCCCTGCATCACAATACTCTCAAAGTCGCCACTCTTGTCACTATACGTATAGCTCTCCGCCGGATAATAATTAACGATATCCACACTTCTCACAACCATAGTAAACGGCGCCTGAGAGTAATCAGTCTCCCCACCCGCCCAATCAATCGTTCCCTGGTTATTATCCGGATCGCCACCAGCCCAAATCCCAATTCTGACCTGCATGGGTGTCTGCGGGTAGCGGGTTCCGTTCGCGGCGTCGGAGTAGGAAAGTGTGCGCGTGGCCGTGCCGTCGATGCTCCACGTCAGGGCTGCAGGGGTCCAAGTTAGGGTGTAGTTGTGAAAGGTAGATTGAGGGTCGTCGATGGGCTCCCAGGTCCAGCGGTTGGAGGTGGAGGAGTCGCCTTTGCCGAAGTAGTCGGTTTGGAGTTTGGTTGTGTAGCTTCCTAGGACTTCCTGATTCGCAGGAGAAGGTATTCATTTAGCTGAGGGTGTCCTGGGTACAAAGTGTGGTGGTGGTGGTGTTTACCCAGTCGACTTCGTCGAGATCATCTGACTCTAGAACGATACTGCTGATTATGCCCGTGCCGGCGGAAGCTTTCATAACGATGCTGATCTCACCGAAGAAGATGTAATATGGCGTTTCAATTTTGGGTGCATCACCCTGCTTGTTGATTGTGAGTTCGACGCCCTCGGAGCTGATAGTTGGGTTGCCTGAGAGAGTCGTCAATTCTGCGAGTGTTGATGAGCTCTCGACGAAGTTGTAGTGTAGTGTGCTTTGCGTTGAGCCTGTGTCGGACGATTAGGTCTTTTCTAGAGGGTTGCAGTTGGTGTAGGTCTGTGCAAGGGTATAGGGGAGTGTGGAAAGAAGCGTAGTGGTATATTTCAGTAATGGTGACATTTTAGGAAGCGGTGAGCCCCGATTGAACTATTGATCTTTGAGGGACTAGTATGGATACTTTGTGAGTAAGTTTCTTGTTGAATTTCTGATGAAGAGGAAGTTATATGTTGTGCTATACTCATGGCCGAGTGTAAAATATATATTCCCCAGTAACATGGTGCTTTAGTACTCCGTATAATCTCGCCAACTTGATGCAACAACACCACAGCTTCAATGCCCTGCCCCCAGCCTCCCAATAAATCTCATTCAATCATGATTCTCGAGATGCAGCTTGTGGGTTGCTTTTAGTGCTTTCAGATCCAAGTGTAGTCAGGTCATTGTGGTGGACACTATGAAGCACAAAACGGGCTAACTAGATTATCCCGCTTTGTCATGGCGTTGTGGGGATTGATTTAAATTTGGCGAATAACAGCCCGAGAAAAATATAATTTTCCAATTAGTCAGAATGTTATACAGAGTATGTTCCTAAAATTCAGTCGTAAAGTCCTTAAGAACTTAAAGTGAGCGAACCACGAATGGAGTTAATGAAGCCAAACATAAGACAGCGATCCAATGCAAAAGCGGCCGCTCCAGCCCATGTTAGCATGTAACTTGAACACTGGTCTACTGAAGATCACCTCAACCTCGGCCCAATAACCAACCCACCTCTATAACCACTTTGCCCCACATCAATCATTTTTGGTGAACGACTTTCACAACAACAGGTGCTGTGGTCTAGTGGTATGACGTCACGTTGTGGCCGTGCCAGCCCCGGTTCGATTCCGGGCAGCGCCAATACGAATAACTTTTTTTTGGCGAGTGTTGTCTTTTCCTAGCTAAATTTGAAGAGATGTCTTGTAATAGGAGCCCCCATCCATATCTATACAGAGTATAGGTTCAAATTTTGCCGCTGCCACAAGTTCTTGTAGTGGAGAAGACAAACTTGAATATAAATTCATATATCTAGTCAAGAAAGAAAAAATGGAAAAGCCATTATAAATTCATGATATCTCGAATGACGGTTTTTATTCATACCTTTGTCTACTGCTTTCTAGATATTGAATTTCATGCTGAATATCTACAGATATTTGGGATACTATTCTGCAGTCCAGGGTAACTACCCGGGGAATGAATAATGTCCAATTCTTTACCTGTTATGCTGCACGTTGAGCAGCAGCTGTCCCTTATATCGGTCATCTACTCTTCCCAAGTATCTGATATGTGACCGTCGTACATGACGAATGCATGTGCATTCGATTGCAGTCTATATGAAAGTAACAGCTATGACTCACTAACCAAAACAGCCTCTGGTCCTGTGAAACCCTTCAGTATAGTTCCAGCCCAATCAGTTCCCTCGCCCGCTTCGAAAGCACCGGGCTTTGTAACGGCCTCTTGATGGCCGCTTCGTAGGTAGGATGATCTGCCGGTGGCAGGTACTCCCTGACCCGAAAATCAGCCGGATCATGTGTTGTATTCTGCTTCGTTTCGAACGCCTGCAGGCGCACCTTTTTCGCCTCCTCTGAGATGGCGGCGGCTGGCTTGTAGCAGACATCTTAGTTTAGATAGTTAGTATTTTTATGCTAGCATGGGATGAAGAGTCGGGCCTACAGGCAGCGAAGCGGTCATTGACAGAAGAAGGAGCAGCGCCGTAATGAATAGTGCGCTAGTGCGCTGTTAGCCAACTAGAAACTCAAGATATCTTAGGAATAGGAGCACGCACTGAGTCCCAGAGTAGCAGATCGCCAGGCTCTGCGCACACCTTGGTCCATTTGCATCCTCTAGCCTCAAGCCACTGGCATATCTCCTCGTCAACACTCTGATAGGCCCACGTGCTCCATCCTTTTTCACCCTTCTTGTGGTCAAAGTGTTGCCACAACTCAGTGTAGCAAGCGCTTGACCCTTCAAACACCATCAGCCCGCCATCCTCGGGCCCATTGGGGAGCAGATTCACAATTCCTTGGACGGTGTCGAACTTGTTGTTAAAGGGGGACTGGTCGACATGCGCCCACGGCGCGAAAATAGGATCTGTCTTGGGACGTTCCTTTTCGGGCAAGGAAAGGTTTAGCCCGTCTGCACAGTCAGTACTGGTCATCATGAGGAAAACATGGCAGAATATACCAAATGAGACTAGTAGCTCGCGGGTGCCCCAGATTTGCTCCCATTTCTCCACAAGCCCCGGCTCTGACTTCAAATCCCACACGAACTGCTCGTGGCCGACGCCGTACCTATGCTCGCGGCAGTGTTACTGCTGCCGCTGCCTATTACAGTGCACGATAGCAAATAATGGGGACAAACCTGCTGTAAAGCCCCCCGTGAGTGTGCCAGGGGAGATTTGCTGCCTTGCGGGTGGACGGGTCCTTGCGGTCGAACCCCAGGTCCCAGCTTTCAAGCCATTCGTAGGCCTTATTGGCATACGCCAGCGCGCGGTCCCTTGGTAGGGCGCCGCGGACAACCGTCCAACCCTTTATGTGCAGCTCGACCAGCCAATCGGGATGCTGTAGCAAGCGTGGTGAGCTGAATGCATGGATATAAGCAAGGATAGCGGGGTGGTAACGAACCTTTTCGGCATCCCCGTCAACAGCCGCGAGCCGGACGGTAGGGCGAATCTTAGTCTGCGTGCTGACGGTAGTTTCGATGGAAGTAGGCATAGCTGATATTGGAAGTGGCTGATGGTGATTAAATCTTGATTGTTGGGGATATGGATACGTATGAGGAGGGGAGGTGGGGTAAGGTGACACTTAGCTAGTGTACTGACGTGATCGAAGCTCGATTATGGCGGGCCAGTCACGCCATAGTATCTTATCTACTTAGCCTCAACTCTAGTTATAGCCAGATATCCTTTCATCGCATGCCGTATCATGACCGTTAGTCTTTCTATTGTATCCTCATACCTAAGATAATAACAAGACAGCTTAAAAATTGCTATGGAGAGAGCATTGAACCGTACAGTTCTGTTGTAGCTTTCGCAGTCCTCTATCTATATCGCCTGACATTTCTGAGAGTCACTAACGATGCGGTCAGCAGCCGAGTCATAGTGCTTCAGCGTTAGGGTTGATGGCAGAATTTAACAGATGGCTTAATAGGTCGTGTGGCAACATATCCGCACCATGGCGGACTTACTAAGTAGTATTTTGTGTGGTGACGGAGCCCACAGACTATTCAGCATTTTAAAATGCTCAGAGACATGTTCAGAACCTACAGTCTCTAGAGTCTGGTCGAAGGCAGAGTTGGGATAAAGCTCCTATATATTTCCCTTGGCAGTTTCTCACGAGCGAAATATGTGCATAAATCCACATGCTCAATTGGAATGCAATACCGGACCCCCTAAGCATCCCCCAAGCATCCCCCAAGCATCAAAAATATGGATATCGTTTCCTCTTTTCCCTTCATTCTATTCAACCGTACATCGACATCAAAATCCCACCTGTATCCGACGGGACTCAAGTAAAGCCATCAAGCTAACCACTAGCTTTCCTGCCAACCACCGTAAGCCGAGTAAAGGCCCAGTACGCTCCTCCATGTGTTTCCTCCAAAGCCTCGGGTATAAGCCGCGAAAATTTCTTACTTAGAGCCGAATTCTGTGTTGTGCGGGCGAGCATTTCAGGAACAATAAGATTGCATTCATGCTTTGCTACGGCCATATACGGTGGGGCATCTTTGACGTCGCTTTGCACCTCTTCAAGCTTTGCCTGCTGAAAGAAAAAGGGAATCTCGGGAATCCAATGAGGAGTAGTACGATCATCCGCCCCCCTGCCTAAGCGCATGAGTTCCTTAAGGGCGTCGTCTTTGCAGTCCGGTCTGGTCTTCTCGATCCGATACGAAAGGGCATCTATTTCGGCCCATTGAAGGTAGCCACCAGGTCCTGTGCGATAATAAGCACGCAATAGAACGTTGGGGGCGGGGCCCAAGGATAAATATTGGGTGCATACTCAATAGCTGTGAAACGTTCCCGATGACCTTTTCAGCCTCCAAGTCCCTTATTACGAAGGAAAAGTTCCGAACGTGAACGATATCGTAGACACCACGGAGGTGATTAGGCGTGTCGGATAGTATGTCATATGATTGTAGAGTCATGTTCGAAGGAAGGCATTCATTTGGGGGGAGAGCGCTGAAGGATATATCAAGGCCATCTAGGGATACGGTGCTCGGAAGTCGACGAGATAGATCTGTCAACCAGATTCTGGTTGGAGCGTTAGCAGTAAGCTAGTTCTTTTGTCTTTCTGCATGTTTTACCACCTACCCAGTGCCAGTGCCAACGTCGGCAATTCTCAAGTTTGGGTTGCTTGTAGGGATGGAAGGGTGGATATGGTAGCCGAACAGTTCGGTCCACAGATAATGTTGGAGGTTGATGCTGCGATTTCAGTTAGCAGTTGTACATCGAATATATTGAGCAAAACGTCCCGGTTGTCATCATGGAAATCACGAGTGAAAACGTATTCGGGCTTAGTCATGATGTAATTGAGAATCGATCTAGTAATAAAGCTTTTGGATGTCTATTAGTTTTTCCGCGGAAAGCATTAGGGCTTTTATGTGCTACAAATTGAGTATCGCAGACGTATGCTTTCATTGATGAAGATGAGGCACTCTATATTAGAGGAAACAGCGTAGATGATACGTCATTATTTGAATTAGTTGAATCATTACCGTAGAAATAATGAGGAATATAGCGACGAAGGGTACCATGATAAATTATTGTCCTTGAACCTGAATCACAAAACTGGGCGACGGTCGAACTGCCATCAAGTCAATTAGCTGCAAGACAAGAAATCAATAAACTATGTCATCCTACACCCAAACAAAGGGCATAGGGCCGAGCTGGCGTAACTAGGTGCAATATTGACTAGCAAAGCTGTCAGAAGCACGGCGCGCTTTCCCTAGAGCAGGGGGTGAGACAACCAGGAAATGATAAGGTTCGGGTATGATCCGGTGGCTTGGAGTTCAGGTATGCGAACCCTGATGGAGATATATGGATACGACGTGGTAGGCTGTCGGAACCATGGTTGACGTGGAGAGAAAGAAACAGGAATAGGGAAGTTCAGGGGAAATTGAGGAGCAGGGTTAAAAGAAGAAGTTACGCGCACCAGGACGAGTGGTAATTCAACAGTCGACGAGTAATCAATTACCCGCACCTGGAGATGATGTATATCTAAGGTCTAATTTATCTTTAATAACCATCCTAGAAATGTATACAGGCTTTGGTCTATCGTATAAAACTATTCATGAAACGACCTTTGATCTCTGAATAAACAGATTCATTGGAGAAGTATCTTATCAAGATGATCGGAGCCGATCAAGTGGGCCTAGTCCTGCAATTAGCACATACTCTGTAAGGTAGGCTATGGTGTGGACTCCACATCCCAGATTGCATCAAGCAAGTCAGTTCATGTCTAGCAATACATCATTCGTGGCGGTCTCTCCGAGAAACTCCTTCAGGAGCAGAATTGTGACGAATTGACGGTTTTAGACCTAATGAGCAAGCCTTTTTCACAGAAGCGCCAATGCCTATACCAAATAGTCGCCATCTGTTAGAAAGATTCATGACCGGGTGATGAACACGTTTGTCATGTCTCTAGGTATTGTACGTCGTAGTTGGTGTAGCTAATGAATTTATTTGGAGGCTACACTTGTGGACGATTGTTTGACAACATCTGCCTTATAATCATTGTCTCAGCTTCTTTCACTGCTGGAAGGACGATCAGCCTTAGTCGCTAATCCTTTTCATGACAGACTTGCGGTGAGTAGGGCCGTTCAGATCCAACCAGTCAACATGACTGATGCAAGCCATGACCACACAGCCTCACTCATTTTCAGACTAACGATAACGAGTCTCGGGTGAAGGCAAAGCATGACCGCAACAGCTAATCCCGGCAAGTGACAAATGTTAACGCAGGAGGCTTCCAGTTCCCACAATGGTGTACGTTAGCGGCAACGGCCTTAATATGCCGACCCCATGGCTCTATGACGTGCAGAGTCCTTAGTGGCCCACGTGAGTAGCTCAAGAAATTCCATGTAGCAAACTTTTGCGAATAATTTGCTGGATCATACCACGTGTGAAAATTTGACCCTGGAGTTCGAAAGCCGGAATAAGGGATCGACAACGTCTCGGGAAGGCGATAGAACAACCTCGGCACGGCAGCGAGTGGATCCGTAGCGCCATAAAAGTCCTTCTCGAATTCTTCTCTTTCTCGGCCCGTTGTCGGGACCGATTCGAATAGAGTCATGAAAAACCTTATCTCAAACCAAAAGCTACCATTTACTTTGCCAACGGTATCTTGGCACTCAGGGTGAACCAGAGAGATATGATACAGATAACGCATAAATGCAAATAACTCTGCGAGGCGCGAGAGGAAAGTCCCTGCGGTCTCGTGTGCGACATGCGGACTTCGTTCGGAAAATCTGCGGTTGGGAGGTGGATCTGGTGGACCAAACTTGCCGTTACGCTCCTTGAATTGCACTCCACAGAAGCCGACGTGAAGTTTTCTTCACTTGTTCCCTGGGTTTCCACAGGATAACGTTACTCAAATGGCAGCAACGCCGTGAGCCGTTTCGGTTTGCTCGGACCAGTCCCTAACAATAATGTATGATCAGGATCGCAGAGACGGGGCGTTTATAAAGACTGGGTAGACCATTTTTTCGTTAGGATCCATCCATCTCTCTTTTCTTCTAGATACCCCTCACATTATTCAAAATCTTACCAACCATGAGCGTTACGTACGACGTGTTCCGTGGCTCTGCCGAGGGCCGCATTGTCGCTGACAAGGCTTCGTCCACCCTTGGACACAACGAGGTCTTCATTGAGACCACACACTCTGGTCTTTGCGGCACAGATGAGCACTACCTCAAGACCAACCAGGTGCTCGGTCACGAGGGTATCGGAATCGTCAAGTCTCTTGGCCCCGGTGTTACCTCCGTGAAGGTTGGAGACCGTGTTGGATTCGGATACACCCACAGCATCTGCACTTCCTGTGACAACTGCGCTACTGGTACTTCCCCTTCATGTATGACACATGAATCATTATGCAGGCTAACCCATTCGAACTAGGCTGGGATCAGTACTGCGAGAACCAGAAGCAGTACGGTTTTCACGACTTCGACAACGGAACCTTCAGCTACGGTGCTGTCTGGGACGCCAACTGCGTCTACCCCATTCCCGATGGCTATGACTCCGCGTATGCTGCTCCTCTCATGTGCGCTGGTGCTACTGTCTGGACCGTCCTGAGCGAGTATGGCATTCGCTCGACTGACCGCGTCGCCGTCATGGGTATTGGTGGACTTGGTCACGTTGCTATCAAGCTGGCTGCTGCCATGGGCTGCCACGTCGTTGTCCTTTCCAGCTCCGAGACCAAGCGCCAGGAAGCTATGGACTTTGGTGCTTCTGAGTTCCACGTTTTCAAGTCCGGTGATGCCGTTCCTGAGGGCTTCAAGCCCGTCAAGCACCTCTTGCTTTGCGGCAATGCTGGTGTTGATTACCCTTCGTACGTTGGCTTCCACACCCCCGCACCCCCCAATCGCTCTCGCCTTTGCATAGTAGCTTGTTCGTGCATATAGCTAACATAAATACAGTCTCATTCCCCTGATGGCCACCCACGGTAGCATCTACCCTCTGACTGTGGCTTTCGAGCCTGCTAAGGTGCCCATGCTCGGCCTCGTGTGGAGGGGTGTCCGCATCCAGGGTTCCCTGGTTGCTTCCCGCCAGAGCATCCGCAGCCTTCTCGAGTTCGCTGCCAGGAAGAAGATCTACCCCACCATCATGACCTTCCCCTTGAACAAGGAGGGTATTGAGGAGGCCATGCAGACCCTGCGCGAGGGCAAGATGAGATACCGTGGTGTGCTGGTTCGCCAGTAGACACGATCACGATCTCTTTTCCTTTTTTATTGTTGCAACCTGTAGTATTAGTCACGATGATGATAATGTTGAGATAGAATAAATAGATAGAGTCCTAATCGTATGATGATGCCCGATCAGGAATGCCCGTTACACATCCGGTTCCTCCCACTTAGATGCCTCAGGTTAGCACCAGCTTCGGACAATCACCGAGCCGAAAGACAAACAGTGCAAATGTTGTTGTATCACGTTCCATCGTCTAGCAGCAAGTCACATGACTCGTCATCACTGCCCAAGATTATATATATATAAACCAGGATAATTCTCACATTCAAAAGTGAATGCCTTTCATGAGTTAGGTCTAGAACGATATATAAAATAATATCCCTATCTCCATTTGCTGTGCCGCTATGTAGTGACATATAAATAGCGATTGTGGGTCAGGGTGGCTGGGATCTACTGTTCACCTGTCACTCTTGTTTCGATTGGGGAACATCGGTATCCATAATTAATACCTTTATTTTGAATTGAATTGCAGTCCACTTAGACAATTAAGGGGAAAATATTATTCAAGGCATTGAAATCTGTAACCCGGGCGAAGGCACCACCTCTGATGGCAAATCACAGCTGATGATGGCCTGTCCGTTTCAATCATTGGCGTACCCAGGATACCTCTTGTATTTCATCCACCGCATATAGAGATATCTAACTATTTTGAATATAGGCATTCTCCGTAGTTGTGGCTCCATGCGTGGAATTACCCGACCTTTGAACGGCTAACAAGCCATGGTAAGCACTAATTTACCTAGGCTACTACTAGCTTACCACTAAGCGTAGCATTGAATCGTGGATGGATAGAGTCGAACTAACAGCTCACAGCCTTGCCTTACCATTCTTTGCCTCGTCTTCCTAAACTCTGCCCCACTCTTATGAACGCGAGTATAAGTATTTCCCCAAGAATTCTCAGCCCCTCTGCTCTTTCTAATCCCATCTCTTTCCATTCTTCTAGCTACTACACAACAGCCATGTCTGCCTCCAAGCCCGTAATCCTCCTCATCTCAGGAGGCTGGCACGTTCCCACCTCATATGACAAGCTCACCAACCTTCTCAAGTCATCCGGGCACGAAGTCCACGTCCCCGAGCTACCCTCAATGAACGGCGCGCGACCCCCAACAGCCGATCTAGAAACCGACACAACTGCTTTTCGCGAATACACATTGAACCTCGCCAACTCTGGCAAAAATGTCATTGTGATCTCCCATTCCTACGGTGGCCAGGTAGCTACCAACAGTCTTTCGGACCTAGCAATCTCAACTCGCAGCAAACAAGGCCTACCTGGTGGAGTACTTCATATTGTCTCACTGTCTTCCTTCACCGTTACCGAGGGGCGAAGCATGTTTGACATTGTGGACCAGTTCGGTCACGCGTCATTGATGCCCGTGGCATTCGATTTCGCGGAGGATGGAACGTGCGTGGACCGCGATCCTAAGGGTCTGCTTGTTACGCCTGGTCCGGATGAAGCTGAGTCCGAGGTAGAATGGTATTTGGGGACCCTTCAGCGGTGGAATGGCAAGTGCATGTACCAGCCTATTACTGCCGAGCGAGCTGCTTGGAGGGATATCCCTGTGGCAAGTGTCTTATCGACTAGGGATATGACTGTTCCTGTTGACTACCAGAGGTGGATGGTCGATGTGATGAAGAAGGAGGGGGCAGAGGTTGAGGCTTTTGAGCTGGATGCGGGCCATTCGGTTGATTTTAGTAAGGCGAAGGAAGTGTCTGAGATTGTGAATAGCGTGGTGGCTCGCTATGAGGGGAAGTGATATGATTACAATGTAGATAGCTACGAGGCTTACTCGGCTGATTGAAAAACATAGAGGGGCCTTTAATCGACGAGAAAGCTTTCTAATTTTATGATTTTTATGATCCACCTGAAAACTGTCCTGATGCGGCTGAATAGACGATAACCACGTTAGGCACCGAACCTTGACATTGCACTTGCGGGTGTGATATTCTGGCATCTCACGGTCCCTTCGACATCCCCATAACTCCCGCGAATAGTTACGTTCAAATCAGACTTTACCTCCATAGGCCGATTCGGTTACTCAAGTTGAGCCGGCCTGAATCGAGTTGCCCAATAACATATAATCAGGTGGAGCCCACCATCAGATTCTAGTCTAACGCGCCGACCCTTGTCGTCTGAAATTGTGCTCATCGCCTCGCAGGACTAGGCTACAATTGCCCCACGCGGCGCAGGAGGTGTGCATTACCACCAGCCTGAACCTGCAATTCTACCAATTAAACCATCTGGATCAAATCTCTGAATCCAGGATTTTGTTAATTCTTAGTTTCGAATTGTCAGGGAGAAGTGCTTGTCTACAAGTAAGCTGACTTAATCTTTGGTGTTGCTCTCATTTTCCTCGGAATATCCGATCTTCCACTATCATGGAGTCGCCGTAAGCACCTCTCTATCCCACTTGCTAGTGTTTTTGACAATTTGTAGATCATTGAATGACAATCCCTAACTACTCCAGCATCCGTCTTCGCATTTTAAATTCTATCATACATCAAATCCATCTCCCCGCTTAACCCCTCAAGCACGTCTCTGCCCCCTCCCCTTAGTGAATCACACCACCACATAAACCAACATAAAGTTCGTACAGCAAAAGCCCACAAAAACCGCCCAATTCCACCAGCGCTGCCCATACGAATAATCCAACGTGTCCAGATACTCATCACCGACCGAATACGGACAATACGAGCAATCTGCCGTCGCGTTCGGATTAACGATGTAGCCTGGGTTACTCCCCAAGAAGGCCGCCGCATACTGGCCACAAGTACTGCCTGGAGGAGCATCAAATACGACGAGATCACTCGAGGAACACTCAACCGCAACGCCGTGAAGGACCGAACCGAGCGAAGCGCCGAAGAAGTAGCGCATGGGATCGATCCAAAACAGCCAGGGGCGGTAGAAATCGTTCAGGTATGCATGAGGAGTCAAGACTCCAGAAACAATCATAAGGACGACCCAGAAGAGGGAATTAGCGTACCCGCCTAGAGTTGCGGATGGGAAGAGCGCAGCTAGGAGGTGGGAGTATCCGGTTCCGAAAATACCGAGGAGGATCCACATGAAGTAGTAGAGTCCGGCAATAGGGGTTTCGTTTGGATAGCCCACGGTCCAGTAGGTGGCTAGGTAGACCAATGTATAGGTGAACAGCTGCCACGGTATTTCGACAACAATCAACGCGGTAAGAAGTGCGCGCCAGTCGTAGATACCGTTCTGCTCTCGGGCTGTGAAGATGGCCCATTTGCGGAACCAGAGGTCCTGGAGATCGGCGCAGGTGGTGGGGATAATCCAGGAGAGTAGGAGCAGGGCGATCATCTGGTTTTGTAGACCTTGGAGGGTGTATCCGGCGTGGAAGAAACTGAAGGCTATGAACATGGAGACGAAGAGGGACTTGGCTATTTTGCTGAAGTTGTACATCCCGTCCCGCCAGACAGAAATCCAGTGGCGCTTGGTGTCTGCGATGGTCTGGGCCAAGAGGGATAGAGCGTATTTGTTCTGCGAGGAGGATGCGTAAAGCTGCGAAGGGTTGATCTTTGTCTCCTTACTGGCGACGGTGGAGTTAAGCTGCGTAATAGTTGCTTCCAGGGCTTGGTTTTCAGCGGAGGCACGCCATATAGCCGGCCAGTCCAGCGAGCCTTCGTTCTTGGACGTGACAGTCGAGAGGATGAATTCAGCGGGGTTAGTGTCGCTGCCAATTGTAGCATCATGACGCCCGAAATAATCGACCACTTTTGAGGAATTTTCACCCGTCTCGCCAAAGTAGACGGTCCGGCCTCCTGGGGCGAGGAGCAGAACTTGGTCGAACATATCAAAAAGCACACCGGACGGCTGGTGAATTGTGCACAAGACAGGGATACCTTCAGCTGCAATACGACGCAAGAAGAGCACGAGCTCAAATGAGGCCTGGCTGTCAAGTCCGGAAGTAGGCTCATCGAGGAACAAGAGCGAACTAGGCCGTGCCGCAAGTTCGACTCCAATAGTGACACGCTTACGCTCTTCGACGCTAAGCTGTCCATCTCCCGGCTGGCCTACCAATGCCTCTGCAATATTCTCGAGGTCAAGAAGATGAATAATATGCTCGACGTAGGCCATCTTATCCTCGTTTGAGATGTGCGCGGGCTGGCGCAAGTGTGCCGAAAATTCCAATGCCTCGCGTACGGTGGCGAACGGTTCATGAATATCCTGCTGCATTACAAATCCACATGAGCGCTCGAAGGACTCATCCAACATTTCACCATTAAGTCGAAAAGTTCCTTCAATCTTGCCGGTTCTCTTGCGCTGCGCAAGCGTGTCCAGCAGGGTAGTCTTGCCAGCTCCCGAGGCACCCATCAGGGCTGTCAGCTGCCCGGGGCGGGCATACCCACTCACTTTGTGCAGCAACTGCTTGTCTTCACCATCGTGTGCGACAGTGTAGCTGACATCGGTAAAGGTAAAATTGCTGTCCGGGGCACCTTCGATTCTCATACCGTCAGGTTGGGAATCTTCGCAGATCGTCTGCGTAGCGGACGAGGAGCTTGCAGCCGACTTGGGCAAGCTCTCCTCGTCACGTTGCTTGGACGACTTGAAGATACGGCTCTGCGATCCCCCAGATTCGCGGGTCATGACGGTGAGTCCAATGCTACCCAATACGGTGTAGAGGAACCAGAGAACCATGATGATGCCGAAATTGCGCCATAGATGGTCGCGGGTGTAGCCAAAGTAATCTACCAAATATACCGAGCCGGCAACGGGATCGTGGGCCTTCAGACTGCCCGTTATACTGCAAGTCTGGTACTAGAGCTGGGTATATGAAAGGCCGTACAGGACCATTTCGCTTTCTGAGCACGTCAAATTAATACCAGTAAACTCATTACCCATCAGTGCCTCAAGAGCATAGGGCGATGGCGATGCGCGACGTAGCCACGAACCCCACCGATGCTGTGTTGGCCGGCCAGGTCCGAACCCCGAGTAAAGCAGACCAACGGGGATGGCACTACCTGCCATCATTAGGGACAACAAAATATTAGGAACCCAAGCTCCCAACATACGGAACAAACTTTGTACAGCAGTATAATAAGCGAACACAATGAGGACAAATATCCAGAATGCGGATGCCGTGCATTGCAGGTCAATGCTGAAGTAGTAGAGGCACGAGAAAACGAGACACTGGAAGAAAGCAATAGGTATGTCTGCGATTGCTCGCGCAATCACAAATGCACTAGGGTGAAGGAAGCCGTACTGAGCTTGCTTCAGAAGAATGCTCCGAGATTTGACAGTCGTGACAACCTCGGTCAAAGCATTGAGATAGAAATATATAAGAGCAAAGAACAAGGCACTGCTCTTCTCATAAGACCCTGTCTCATCCTTCGGAGCCATATAGTACGCCGGCCCATTTATCACAGCATTCAAGACGACAAAGGCCAGTATGATCAAAAAGGTCCGCTTGTCGCCCCATAACAACTGGTAGTATCGGAGTATCATGATCCAAATCTGCTTCGGGAGTGGGTTAGGTACAATCGCGAGCTTGGATACCCAGCAGGAGCAAATCTGCTGTACATTGTCCCGGAATTCCTGTATCAACCGGCTGTTCTTACCAACCTGGGTATGATATGCTTCTATCTCCTTCCGAAGCTCCTGGTACTCGGGGCTCTTGCGGAAAGCTGCGGCCAATTGATCAGAATCAGTCGGGACAATTCCTGCAGCATCCTTTCGAATGAGACAATCAGCTGGCGAAGTGACGGAGATCAGGAAATCTGGGATCATCTGGCGATCACGGCATTCAAAGCCTAGTCGAATGAAGTATTCCTTAACTCAGTCTATCTTGCCGCAGAAGATGGTCCCCCCATCGTAAAGCACAGTAACCAGTCAAAGCAATCATAGATGGTCTCTGACACTTGGTACATAGTCACAATATTGCTCATTCCGGTATCACGAGCAGTTGATGTGACAAATTGCACAAACTCCGTAGCCGACAAACTGTCTAAACCACGGGTAGGATTGTCCCATACCGCTACCGCGGGATTTGCCGACAAAGCTTCAATTAAGGTGACACGTTTGCGCTCGCCTCCAGAAACACCTCAAACAAAGGCGTCTCCTACAATCATGTCAGCGGTGTGTGATAGCCCAACAGAACCTAGAAAGACATCAATATTTTCGCGGGCAAAGTCCGAGTCCGAGCGCGTTTCGTTTGCGGGCTTCCGCAGCCAGAGGGCAAACTCCATAGTGTTTTTAACTGTCAGAGTAGAGAAGTGGAAGTCTTCCTCATTTGCATAGACTACCTCAGACCGATATCGATGTGCCATCTCTTTGCCCGAAAGACCAGCATATGCCAATTGACCCTGTACTTCCAGAAATGACCCCTGACTGTTAGCCAAAGTCTTGAGCAGGGTTATACAGCCGGCGCCAGATCTTCCCAGAACTAGCATTAATTCGCCAGGGAAGACCACTCCGTTAGCATCGCGAATAATCTGGGTAGTTAGCGTTTTTCTTTTCCCAGTCATTTGAGTCAGGACTGTCACAGGCCATTGAACTATCTTGTTGATCATGGCTGGAAGAGTCATGATACCATCAACTCCAGCGGCAACACCAATAACAGTGACATTTTCGAAGACGACGCCTAATGCGCGGCCCTCCTTGCGATACATAGGATCCCGGTTCATGGTTTCTTCCGTGTTCTCTGCTCTCATTTGCACCCAGAGGTTAGCAACCATGTAGAGGGACCATATCTTGTGCTGACGAATACCGTTCACAAATATTGAGGTTTCTCCGTTCTGCGTATTCGAAATGTGAGTTTTTCACACGAAATTGCGCCGGATAGTCGCATAAAATTGGTAAGAAAAAAAAAAAAAAAAAAAGCTTCTTATGCCTCTTCCCCACCGCTTTGGGTGCAGATGGATAGGCTGGTTGAGAGATAGTTAAGGTCTAGAGTCAACAGGGGTTGAGCCAATTTATAAACCATCATTTCCAAGGGTTGATGACTATTTGAAATAGGTCTCGCGCGCAATGCTCCAAATTTTACGTGTAGCATTATTGCTGTCCCGAAATGCTTGCTAATAAACAGATCTCTCCGGAGAAGTCAAGAAGGCATACTCAAAAGCCGTATGCAATTCTTTGGCATCCGAGCATGCTCGGATGAATCTCTGCCCTCTCATTGGTGCATAATGAGAACCCTATGGTGGACACCGATCAACTGATTCCGAACCGGCTCGGAATGAGCCCAAAACGGCAAGATGAACTCCGTCGTCATTACCAAGCAACCGAGACCGAATTTACAATTTTCTACTATTATAGTGGGATTTCATATAGATAGTCGGAAACATCTGGCCCCGTAGCATTGCCCTTCAGCCAATAGGACATGTAATCGACGCCGGAAATGCTTGCCGAAAGAAAATCATTCCCTTCGGCAAGTTGCTGGAACGGCTGAGGCGGAATCTCAGAAGCATAGTCAATCTGCTCTTCCAGGGAATTAAATAGCTCTTCTGTCCTTGCAGAGAGATATCCATCACTAGCGATGGTGCAGTTAGCGAGCGTTTTGCCTTTTCCGAGTATACTCTTTCAAGGAAAGGATTCGAACTTACTTGAGCCAGGGAAAACTGCCTGCTAAGTTCTCTTCCAGATCAACCTCGCACGTGGACAGGAATAGAGCATCCTTAGCACATTTCATGATATCCAAGCTTAATGCCTTTCCGGTAATTGGCCCGTGATGCTCCATTTTATCAAGGCACTGAATTCCGCGTTCCACTGACGTGAAGATATCCAAGGCATGTTCGACAGTGACGGATGTATTTAGAACATCATAAAGCAGGGTCACGCATGCTGACACAATATAGTTAGCCACCGATGCATCGTTTCGGATGCATGTGGCCCTCTCCATGATGGCGCTGCTGGCAATATTGATAATCTCCTTGGCAGACAGAATTGAAAGATTGATTGAGGCCTGAAGACTTTCGACTTCTGGTAATCCAGATGCGCAATTTTGTTCAGATCCAACTATGCTGCAATATACCATGGCGGGCCTACGAGTCATCATTTTAATTAAGTGGAACGCGAGCCCAAGATGTGTACACTGGATCTCCCGCCACACCTCGCTCTTGGGACGGTTTAGACTGGCAAATTGTAGATAAGAGGGTAAGGAGCGCTCAATCTGCTGCAGCGCGGCATCACACTCCAAAATCGTGGTGTTTAGCTTGCGATGGTCGTATATTGTGTGCAAGTTAGATGAAGAGAATATACCGCTGGAGACCTTTTCTATCAGTTGCCCAATTTGTGCCATTGCCCTCAGGTATGCGCATTCCGTCAGGGGACCGTCCGAGCTTTTCATGGGCTCGCCGCACGGTGTTTGGCGATTGCAGTCAGGAAGGTCCTCGGGAAACGAGACGTCTATGTGTGAGTCAAGAAATCCGGAGGGGCGACCGGTAAAAAAGGCACAGATACGCTCATAGGAGTACACCACCCAGAAAGTGATTCGGAGCTTCTGCATGACTGGCCCAGTTCCGTTGGCGACCTGACCGCGGTTGAGACTAATAGGTAGAGAACGGCTTGGTTCCGGTCAGTTGGGGTCTCCAACTTCCTTAGTAATTGACCCTAAGATTTCTTACCTCAACCTTTAGAATATTCGATCGTCATCTTAATGGTGCTAAGCCTGGTTGTTTTCCGTTTCTAAAACCTTGGTTTCTCTTTATCTAATTGCAATCAGCGCAAGCTCATAGTCATCTGCTGGTAAATCACTTGGTTAGAGGCCCCAATGTAGGTTTCGGTTCGGTGTCTAGCCGGGGCTGTGGGGAGATAGGCTAAGCTTAACCAAGTTTCACAACATAAGACAATCTTTACTCTCACAAGCTCATAATCGGGTGAAAAGCCCTATCAGACTGTCGGTTGCAATGCAGAAGGGGAAGATGGATATATTAGCCCTGGTCATCTGCCATCGCTGTTGCTTCTTGTTCTGGCCTGAGTCGGGGGCAGCCACACAGATTGGGCATACTCAATTGTCATTGAGTGTAGTACAGTAAAGCGTGCCATTTGCATATGACTCCACTAAGTCGGGAGATGTCCGAAAATACACTGTCTTGTTGGGATTGCGGCAACTTGCGGCCCGCGTGCGGAGGGAATATGATTTGTGACGGCATGATGTGGTAAAGCTTGCTGACGAATGCAGAGCCGATAGATAAGTCCGATAGTTCCTCTCTAGCAAGAAGGATGCACGCCCCATTACATCTTACTAGGTGGAAGACTGTGATGTGCGTTTTCTTCCGCTTCGGCATCCGATGATTTCACCGAGATCATTCATATATCAGACTCTGGTACCTACATACGTCGAGTTCCAGCGCACTTGGATCATTTCCCAAGCTTCTTTTCATGGATGTACGAATACTTGGTAGTGTTCCAGCCACCCATACAGAAACATGTGCATGCTAGCATTTGTGGACTAGCCGCGACATTCGATGTTCAAGAGATTGCTCTTGATAACGTCGATAGTAACTCTACAGCATCAAACAAGCATAATCTTCCTTGGTCAGTTATCAATCTCGGTCTGTGAGTTGCGGCCATGGAGATGTTCATAAATCCGCAATCTAGGGGTTGGGCTAGTGTTTGGAATCTACGGTTCATTAAGACTTGAATGAATAGAAGTGCTGTGGTTGATTGGTACCCTTTGCGGGCTTAATGGCTATTTATCTTCTCTTGCTTCGGTATTCGTGCCATGCCATTAAAATAGCTTCTCGGTCTTACCAATTGTCGCAATGTGCTCTGTCTCACAGCCCATTCCAGAACGTCGTATTCTTTACTTGGAAATCCTAAGGCACTTACCACAAGGAAAGCACTGCAGGTTTTCCATTGACATCAGAGACTCGAATGGCGGGAATCCCCAGCTGGGGGATACTGGCTGTGCGACAAAAGTCAGTGCCGGAGACCAACGAGATCTTCTCGTCAATGGTCACTTGTTCCAGGATATTATCAATATCGGTCATGGTCATTCTCGAACGCTGACTTAAGCAGCCTGCTGTAGCGGTGGGGTTATGATAGCTACGTCCATACCGGTAGGCTCGACCGCTTCTTATGCCTCATTACAAAAGCAATGAGGCCATCGGCTTCGGGAGAACACTCCTCCTCCTCCAATTCACGAAACAGTGGTAAACCGCTTCCCCGGCTGCTCCCTGTTTGGGGTCTACAAGAACATTTTAATAAGCAATCCCCATTGTTCAGGGCGCACGATCATTGGGTAATTATGCTTACTATACCGAGATAGAAAAGAATGTATGTGGATGTGCCATTGCAGATGTGTATCGCTACCTTTTTGAGTGGCAAAACAGCAAATAGAGTCAATTTTTACTAACTTTTGCTCAACATGGCCGCCCGCTCCTGGTGGCCTACCCCATGGAGATCTGGATGTAACTAAACATCTACGCAGCCGTAGACTCGGTGTGGGTGGCTTGGGTGTCTTATCATTGTTTCGACTATCCACAACATTTTCATCAAACAGACTACCCTGGCTGAAATCGACTAGAACTACCACCTGATCTTGATGGTCCTTATTCTGCTTTATTGGTCTGGTATTGTGGTCTGCATATCCCGAAGCGAGTGTTTTCTCGCTCGAAGAAATGGCGGTTCTATTCGCCGGTAACGAGGCTACCCTTGTAGCCAAAGGGGATGAACCGGTAACAGAGCAAACGGACGCTGATGCGACAGCTTAGGAAAACTGATTACTGTCTTTCATACGGTCTACCTCACCTCTGATAGACTCGCGTCTGCCGACGGGACCTCTTCCGAGAAGCTGGGTTGATCAGCACTAATCTTTCCCTTTTGTCTCCCCGCCATCATTCGCTTATTTGATCGGCATGGCCATCCCCACTTTACCAACGTCAATGCTTTTCTCTACTATAGTCTTTTCTGCTTACCATCGCTATGGCTACCTGACGACTTAAGCATTGTTATTTTGAAGGATATGTTGGCTCACGGTAATGCGGGAATGAAAGGGTTCAATCGGATCAATTTGTGTAGACTACAGTCGCAGAGGAATAGACAAAACTACGTTCCGTAATTGTATGCGGATAACTTCATTGGAACATGTCATCCCGCTGCGGGGTCTGTTACGAGCACGCAAGAATCGCTGCCTCTTGCGGGAGGGGGCTTGGCCTTTTCTAGAGGCCTATAAACTTCCTTCTCAACTCCTTTTCTACGCTCTTGTTTCCATCTCACTGTCCATAAGTCTACAGACCTTCTCCAACGAATTCCGGGAATTCCTAATATAGTGCATCGATTTTACCTAAGGTTAATGTACCCATCCTTGACGATGATGAGAAAAAACGGGACTGATCAATGTGCTCTCAGCACGCATCATGCGCTCACCCTGGCCTGTCTCAGCCTCCATGATGCTGCTACCATTGGTAGCAGCTGACTGGCAATTCAAGTCGCGCCCTGATCTGGCACCGCCCAAGCTGAATATTACCATCCCTGCAGCCGCAGATGTGGAGAAAGGGTACCTCTTTGTTGCTCCTTTTGCTGGTATCGCAGATGCCCCGGGAGAAATGCATGGCCCTCGCCAGGCTTCTCCTTATATCTTTCGAGATGATGGTGAGCTAATCTGGTCCGGATACTCCTACTACTCCATCTGGGCGACCAACTTTCAGAAAGCTCGATGGAACGGCAAGGATGTCCTATTCTGCTTCGAGGGTGACCATAATCCGGCTTATGGGCATGGTCACGGCCATGTCACCTTCCTAGACCAGCACTATGAGACCATCCGCGAGTTGCGTGCTGGTAACCATAAGATTATGGACAAGCATGAGTTCCACGTTATCAATGAGGAGACGGCTTTGATACAAATCTACCAACCCGTGCCAATGGACCTCACTCCCTGGGGAGCCAGTGCGGAGCAACAGTGGATCGTGGATGCCATCATCCAAGGTATGAAATCCATTTGCATGACAGGATAAAGCTAATCAGGGTAACAGAGCTTGATATTGCAACCGGTGATGTTCTGTTTGAGTGGTCCAGCTTGGATCATGTCCTTCCCGACGGTTAGTTCTTCCTCCTTCACAGCACACGCCTGCAACCAACTAAACTCTCTCAGAGGCAATCCTCCCCATCAACCCTGGCCAAGCTGGCGCAGGCTACAACTCTTCAGATGCATGGGACTACTTCCACATAAACTCCGTGGACAAAGACATTGACGGGAACTATCTCATCTCCGCCCGTGATGCCTGCGCCGTACACAAAATCAACGGCAGCAGCGGCGAGATCATCTGGCGTCTGGGAGGTGTCAAGTCCGACTTCGAACTAGGCCCAAACGCCAACTTCTGCTTCCAACACCACGCTCGATTCGTTTCCAAAGACGGTGACTCCGAGATAATATCCCTATATGACAACTCCGCTCACGGCACCGAGAACGGTCGCGGCCACGAAGTCCACACCCACCCATTCTCACAAGGCAAGATCATCAAAGTCAATACTGCCACCTGGAACGCATCCATCGTCCAAGCCTTCCAACCACCCGATGGCCTATTGTCAAAGTCTCAAGGCGGCACCCAATTGCTACCCAACGGCAACGTCCTTGTGAACTGGGGCTCCGAGGGTGCATTGACTGAATTCCGCCCTGACGGCACTCCAATTCTACACGCCTACATGGACTCGGGCTTTCTGGGAGAAGGTGTCGAGAATTACCGTGCTTTCCGGTATAACTGGACTGGACTTCCTAATGAAATGCCGGCTATCGTATCTCTTCAGAATGACGAGGGTACGACCCTTTATGTCTCGTGGAACGGTGACACTGAGACAAAGGTCTGGCGCTTTTATAGCGTGGTTGATGAGTACGGCTCGCGCGAGTTCTTGGGCGATGCGAAGAGGACTGGTTTTGAAACTGCGCTATCACTTCCGGGTCGTGTCATTCACGCAGTGTCTGCAGAGGCTATTGATGCCAGGGGAAGGGTTTTGACAGCTACTGCTTCTGTGAGGACTAAGGCCGAGGTGCTACCTCCGAAGGCAGCTTCGGTCGGAAAGCACGAGCATGGGGCAGTGCAGTCTCAAGTCCAAATGGGAGGTTCTAGCCACTGGGAGGAGTACATGATCTTGAAGCTGGATCGTTTCTCTCGAGATTGAGGATATGCAATTCACTCCTTGAGGTTCTCCCTCAGTCAAACGTCGTGCGGGTGGTGCCTGTTTGTTCAACCAATGGCACCTAGTGGCAACTGTTGTTAGTATAGTGTTGAAGGTGGCTGGTTACTTTCTGGTAGTAGCCTAAGAGATAGCAATATGAATTGTTGGTGACGATGAGTCTCAATGTAGTCCATGAACACACCATATTTCCACCCTTATCAAATGCTACTGCCACTCTTATCAGAGCGCGACAATATCTACCCATCGCAAGCCGCTTCTTATTCCTACACCTCCTGACTAAAATCATACTCATTCCCAAATCCCCGATTCAGATACCTTTCCAACGCCTGCTCTTCCGACATCCAATCAACTGGAACCTCCAAGCTCGTCTCCCTCTCCACCGCGGGCCTCAACTCCTCCGCAAGCTCCAATCTCATCCTATTCCGATACCACGGCGCGAAATGAACTACACAAAAATCTTACTCAGCACCAGCCACCACAACCAAGTAACCAAATCCAAATGGGAAAAAAAATATACTTGCTCATAGCCAACATAACCCTCACATCTCCCGTCCGATTCCCCATTCCCGCATGCCAAAGCCTCAAATCCCGAATCACCAACGCCCCCTTCGGTACAACAGGCTGACAGGGCATTCCCACAGTGCGACGTCTCTCCACCTCCTGTACCTTGATCCGCCCACTAGCTCGATCAGTGCCATGCGCTCCCTCCTGCACATGCAGACCCGAGTCCACGTGCGTGCCGAGCCAGATCTCTGTGGATCCGTTTTCGGGCGTCATAGTAACCAAAGGGACGTTAATAACGTAGGCGAATGGATGCGATGGATGATCGAAATCCGCGTCGGTGTGTACGGGCTGCGATGTGGGGGGACAGGTACTGGTTGGTGGCATGGCGGTGTTACCTGAGCAGAAGGTCCACTTAGGACGGGGGCCTAGGGCTGTTGAGGTAATTTGAATGGCGAGGGGGTCTGTGGTGATTACTTTAGCAGGAGTGGATTGGAATGCTTGGGGAGAATAATCACGTACTTAGGAAGATATCTTTGTGGAAATATTCTCTTATCGGGGGTGGATCTTGTTGGATGTTCCCTGGGTTGTAATTTTAAGGACTATTCTCGCTTCTGGCTTGCAGGATGTAGGCGTCTTGTATCATTTTTGTGTTTAGGTGGTCGAGGGGGTCGTATGGAATGGCGTTTTCTATGATGACTAGGCCGTCGTGGAAGAGGGAGCGGATGGCGGTTTCGAGGTTTTGTGGGGTGAGTTTGTTACTATTTTCTAGTTCGGTCTTCGATGGTCTTATGGTATGTGGATAGGAAGATTGCTTGTGACGGTGGTAGTATTGCTTCGATGGCGTTTGTAGTATTGTCGGTGCGAGTCGTGGTGTCCAACGGGCGAGACCAGGCGGGAATCTGTACATGATGCCGAATTTATATATAAGTATCGCGGGGGAGGCTTTAGCTATGCGTCTATGTAAAGTGAATCCACCCAACAGATATCACTTTCTAGTAGAGCTCGGGTATGAGACAAGTGATCTGTTGGTTATGCCAATAACGGTAATGTTGTGGGAATATTCCTGAGCCAAAGAAGATGGGCAATTCAGGTGGCTCTCACTATACAAGACAAAGGTCAAGAGACGAGGCCGCAGTCAGGAGGGCATATAGCAATGGATGTATATGTAGAGGCAAGATCCTTGTCTAATATTGAGACTCGGTAGTATAGATTGACACCATTTTGTGAAAGAAACATGATCAGATTTGAGATGAGCGTGGATGTGCTCCCAGTCTGGGGAGGTTGATAGGTTACATTTGCATTTCCCCGCTTCTTTCTCCGCATCCCGAGGAACAGCAAGTGCTGGAATAGCGGCATTGCACGGACGGAAGCAAGTCACTTCTAAAACGATGACGCGTTAATTCCCAAAAAAAGCGTTGTACTCGTTTTTTCCTATCAGATAACCCGGACTGGGTTCTAATGCAGAAGTTTTTGGAACGAGAGCAAACGTTTTACCTTTATGTAACAAGACTCGTCGTACTCTACCAATAAGATGGGCTTGTGGTTTAGGGGTATGACGCTCCATTCGCATTGGAGAGGTCCCGGGTTCGATTCCCGGCGAGTCCACTTTTTGCTCTTTCATTTTTTTCAAAAGCATTGCGCTTCTATTTGCTTAAATAAGTACGCAAATAAAATAACAATCAAATAATAAGTCCTCGATGGTCTAACGGTCATGATTTCCGCTTGTCAATCCCACCTGGGAACAAGCGCGGGAGACCTGGGTTCGACTCCCAGTCGGGGAGATGTTTTTTTGTTTCTGCTTTTCTTTCATCTCCTTCTGCTACAAAACAAGTCTTGCTCTCGACGAGTTCCTGGATTATTTGTCACTGGCCCGGTCTCTCTGTGTGGTCTGGCTTCATCAATAATGACCTGCCGAAACTCTTCCATTGCAAACAATATCTCAATCATCTAGAAATTGCACCTTTCGGGAAGAGTATTATCGCAATTTACTTTTTTTTTATTCCTTCTATTTCTCTGATCTGTGCATTACCGAACCTCTTTAATATGAGACAAATAGCGTCCAACTCTTTTCGCTACTGTCACAGCCCAAAGAGGATCGATATTATCTAATAGAAGACTTACTGGATCAGGTTGTCGGTCATACCTCAATCTCGATTTATTTATGAGATCAACGTTCAACCTCCAGTAACAGAAATATGTCAGATGACAAAAGGTGCTTCTTGTATAGCACACCGTGGGTGGCCGACCGAGCGGGAACTTAATATGTACTAATGCCACCTTGGAGTTGACTCGTCCGTTGAGCATCATTCTATAAATCACATACTCTGGCGTCAAACAGACCCAAACGAGCAGTGAATGCTCGAAAGCCCCTGTGAACTGAATACGAATAATTTGCAGTTCTTTGTAGCCTTAGAATGCGTGCTGTGCTGTGTTGTGTTTGTCTGAAAATAAACACCAACCAGCATGGTATCAAATTTCAATAAAGTCAATAACAATGAAAACTTGAGGTTCGGAGCCACCGATTGATCGAGCAGGGTTTAATACTTTTGCCGTGATTGTGTGATGATAGTTGACAAGGACCAGTACATTGAAACTGTGGGTTTGGTGTTGTGCAGCGATTTGAATGCGCCCGTTGACTCCTACAGACCATGCTTATTCTATACAACAACTACAGTACAGGTTTCCATGAATCTGAAACTTCAATAGAATTGCCAGTGTCAATCTGAATAGCGCACTTATGAGAAATACGAAAGGGGAGGGAGGGGAGAGAGAGAGTGTGTGTGTAAAAGAAGGCCCGAAATAGATGAAATCCCCGAGACTTGAGACAGGAAATGCAAGTCACAAACTTTTTCTTTCAAAAGCAAAAACACAGCAGAGATGTGGGAATAATGGAATAATGGAATCAACAAATAACAACAACAGCTTCAAAAGATAAAAGAGACACGTAGCGAATGAAAGTTGCCATGTCAGTTGACCTCGCTCCGAAAATGTTCACTTCCAAGAACTTTCCTCGTGCCACACCATGCAGCAAAGCGATCACAGAGGGTCTTCGCGATCAGGCCCTACTCTGTCAACGGAAACGATCGATTTCCACCTTCCCAAAGTCGTGGCCATGGGAGGAAGTTGCCCTGACGTAAATCTTACTTATTTCAAGAGTAAGGCGGAGCTTCACATCAATGGTGTCTCCACTTCTTGTACCTCCTGAACTTAATGCGTCGACGAAGTTGCAGAATACATGGCCAATGTTCCGGACATCTGGTTTTCGATCAGGGTTTATTTCATACGGGTCACAAAGAATGGGTCACAAAGATGAGAAAATGAAAGTTCTTCGAACCGTATATCGCATTGTTTTGTCCGCCCACAGGCCTCGGTACTGCATCGTAGATGTTGATAACTGCTAAAGGAAAATCTTGAAAGACCCGGCAGGTAAATGTGGCGGTTCGCAATTCGCCAATTGAGCACCGGTCCCCCTTGAGGAGAGAAACGTCACTATCAGAGCATGTTTGCATAGCTTGCTACTTTCATTGAACTCACCACTTTAAGAACCCAAGACACGGGATGCCCCTGAGGCGCTCGAGGTTCTTGGTTATCGAGGTCCATGGCACCAACTAGAGGGCCAGAGGACTCAACACCGTAATGACGGTCGAGCTCAACCGAAAGAAGGTTCCTGTACGCCCAGCGAGCAGCGCCTTCAGCTACAGCAGTCTCTCTAACTCATGGATCACTGTTAGACAATGTCAGGTAAGAAGGTACGGGCAGACTTACGGCGTTTGGTGTCGGTGGACCGTTATCTGCGAGTTCGCGAAAAGCCTTTGAATGGCGTTATAAAGATAGACGGAGTGTGCCGCCGCGCCGGATACGTAAACGTGCTGTGTGTTTGTCAGTGCCTGAATCGATAAATGTGCGAAAATATGTCAGTGAGATAATCAGTACTCCATACCTTGATTACTGGGCGTCCAATCAAGTCATGTGCTCGATTAATCTGCGCTGTCAGAACATCGCAGATTGTCACTATGAGAGGATACTGAAGATCGAGCATATCGACACTGTTACTATTCGATTAGATTTATTCCCCACAAAAAGCCGACAGAGGAAAGGTAGGCGGGGAAGGGGGAGGGGGGAAGCAGCAGACTTTGTGAACTCGAACTTGCGAAAACCTGTCGATATACGATATTGTATATCGCCAATTTCTTGACCGATGGTGCCTTCGAAGTCACGTTTGGCTGACTCAAAATCGCTCATTAAACGACCAGTTGGGGAAAAGACCGAGCGCCTCAACTTCTTTGACTTCAAATTTTCAGACGCGACAGCGTAAAATTCCCGGTCTATCATAGTGCTACCCCCCGAAGGATCTACTCGACTTCAGGGTGTGTTCGTAAATGTGGCAATCCTGACGGGGGAGACCTACCTGTGTAATTGCTTACAGTTCTGTAGTCCCCAATCTCTTTCTGGTGGATGACGTAGGTGCCAATATCCTGTATGTGGTAAGCCAGACTTTCAAAGGGTGATAGAGAGCTGGATATATCCTTACAAGCGTTCCACCTCCACAGTCACAGACAACGACTCCGTCTCCCGCCTAATACTAAAGTCAACATGCACAATACCTTCAAGATGTGGAAACAAAACAGCAGCGTAAGAGGCACACCTGAATGGGAATCAACGGATCACATAACATTGTTGTCAGTGCTGCTTCTGGCTCAGAGAGGACGAGAGGGTCGTCTCCAGCAATTCCGCGAAAACCTGCTGCCCGAGCGGCTTTCTTCATGGTGCTTATAGCTGCTTCCGACCATGTCGCCGGTACAGTCAGAATGTATGCAAATGGCAATATCCCAAGGTCGTTGTCATTGCATTTTCTCTTAATGTGAGTCTCCGAATATTTCCTGAGGCGGTCCAAGAAGTCTCTAATGATACTGGTAGGGTCCCTGCCTCCAGGCCGGTGGAAGATTCCCACGGAATCTTTCCACTGCTCGTTGTCATCGGCGATGATCTTTTCCGTTACTTCAGGTTCTAAGAGGAGCTTAACCCAGGAAGAAGTTACATGATCTTCGGTAATCATGTATCCCCATGCCGCGTTTTGGAGGACTCGCTTCTTGAAACTGTAGGCGATGCGGGTTGGGACACGCGTCGAACGGATCTGCGTTCCGGGCCAAGTGTCGATAAATCTCACATTCGTAGAGTCGGGATGAATCCATGCAACACCTGCTCCGACTGATCAATGTCTATGCCCGAGCCTTGCTCGACCAGCTTGGGGTTCCAAAAGTCTTACTCGTATGAGTAGTTCCGCAATCCACGGACACAGCGATCTTCCGAGTACGTTCCATGGTCATTATGGCGTTATTCGGGGGACCAGTTCGGCTAAGATTATGTTGGTTTGGACACAAAGATATAGGTAGATAGGAAACCAAAGAAAGCACAATTTAGACAAGGGAAAAGTATTGAAAGTGGTTCTGGGGATGGACAGAGGCAGCCACGAACTAGGTAGATTGGACGTAAGTTATATTGCTTGTCCAAATCTGAGGAGATCTAGATCCAGCTGACGCCCTTCATGAGTGAGACAGAAGAGTAAGTGTAAATTTGCCCAAGCGAGTGGCATGCGCCCAAATGACGGGCCTGGACCTCTATGATTCTATCACCTGACAATTGAGAGAAAAGGCTGGGTGGATACGGTTGCCACCATTCCCCTTGACGATGGCTTTCAACCTTTCCCGCGATCCCAAAGTTCAAAGGCGAGACCCTTGTCCCTGGCCTTTTCTTTCGTCCTTTTGTATTGGTACTTCCATTATTTATTGCCTCATGCTTTGGGCAATACCGCCTGTCTTATGACTATCCAGGAACCGCATTGTAGAAGTCTTAAAAAGGCCAGCCGATGCTCAAAGAATCTGACTTATAACCATCGTATATAAACTCCGAGAGAATCTTAATATTGTCACACAGTGCTTTCCCCGTGATTAGTATCAAAACTGTGCCATTTGGATAGACAGGCAACACCGTCTAGTGAGCAAAACTACAGTGGGCTTCAAGATGGGAAAAAGAAAGGCAAAGAACACTAGCGAACCTTCACAGGTAAGAAACGAGCGTCAATGCATCCTTCACTCATTCTCCTCCAACCGTCCAGGCTCTTCTGCACGTTGTGGATATTGACTATCCCACAGTGGGCCTTGTGTTGCGGGGCTCTAATGCAGTCAGACCTTGCGGGACCACATGAACGAAGCTTGGTTCCATGAAAGATGTGGAGCTTCTGAAAAATGCTAATGAAGTTTGTGGACTGTATAGAAAAGGCGCTCTCCTAGGTTGTTAGAGAAACAAGAAGCGACCGAATTGAAGGGGAGGAAGCCCAGGGTCCATCAAAGTACCGAATCCAAGTCGGCTTTTGAGCCTAAGACACCACCTGAGGTCCAAAGATCGACAGAGGATAAGGTTAACACCAGCTCTGCTTCGGAACCTCCAGCGTCACCAGAAATCCAGACATCGATGAAAGCCAAAATCGACGCTAGCTCAGCTTCTGAATCTACAGCGTCAGCAAATGTTAAAGAATCCACAGAGGTTCAACAGCATGAGGTGCCTGTTGATGAACACGGGTTACCAGAGTTACCAGAAGAAAGACGCCCAGGTAGATCCATTGTTTGGACACGCCCGAGGTCTTTGAGCTATAGGGGTGAATGGAATGAAGGCTGTACAAAGAACCTGTTCCACGACTTCAGCCGGCGTGTCTCAACTTGGGTGGATAAATACTGCTACAGGAGAGCAAAGCTCAGGGATAGGTTGTCTGCCGGCGATTTACAGATAATTCTGGACAGCCTTGGGAACTTTTGCCTGGACAAAGATTGGAGGTCGATTGAGGCTAGACTTGACAAGCTTGGCTATAATAACTTCTGGTATTTTCTGCCAGGCACGGTGTTAATGAAGCACCTCTTTGAAGATGTTATCAGTAATCCATTTGTCTACGTTGAGGGCAGTCAGGAGGGCACAGGTAGCCAGTCAAGCATGGATCCACCAGCCTTTGGGAAGGAATTGTGGGGACTTTGGAAGAGGCTAATCAAAGGTATGTCTGCAAATCATTTAGCTTGTCCTGGGGGGTGTACAAGTATCTGGTAGACTAATAAACTTCTTATCCATACCGCAGTTGACCCGATCAGAGCATCTGACTGGCGGAGAACGACAACCCAGCTCCTAAATCAGGTCCACCCCGAACATACGAGGAACTACAGGGTTGCACATCAAACCGGCAAGGCCCAGGAGCTGCTCGCAAATCGACTTGCGACCAGTATGCTCAAGGAGTGTCAAGCCTTGCAGGTAGTATTGAAGAAAATGACCGACTCGAATGAATTTACAAACCGATACGAAGGGCTTGTCGAAATTTATCGGTCCGCAATTGACATATCTATCTATCTGGGAACAATTGAAACCGAATTTGAGTTCGAACTTGATGTCAGGCGGTGTGGGCCCTTCTTGCATCGCAAAACGAGAGTCCGGAAACGAGGGTGTTCCGATGAAATCCAACCTGACGAATAGCCTATTCCAATACTACTGCACTTTCCTCTTGTCTCAAGTCGCCACTCGATAACTTCGGACGTTATTGATACGTTGCAGCAACGCCGAGAAGATTTCGAATACGACCATAGGGACGACGGGGAAGAAGAATTACGAAAGCAACTGGACAAAGAGATCCCCCAGGTTGAGGAGGGCGACACCATTCTTGATTCAGCGATCTATTTCGCCGATATTGTTTACTCCAAAGACGGACCTCAGGCCTGCTCATGCGGTGGTCGCTTTGTCTGTCGGGGCGGATGTATAGCCGACATTGATAGTGATGATGTTGAGGATGATGATAATGATGATGATGGCAGCGATTCAAACTCCAAAGTGGACCATTGAACCAAGGACCAAACTCTATCTAGATTGGATATTTTACCTTACCTTTTTTGTTTTTCTTCTCTTCTTTTTGTTCCTGCGGTTCTCCTTGTTTTTCCCACCCTTTTCCTCTGCTTATCACTGGAATATTGTCGTCTGAAAATTGCCATACTACGCAAATATTACAACATGTTACCTAACTTCACTTTCTAAGTTCACTAAATGTACGACAATTACATCGGTCGGTCTAGTTAGGAGTGGAAAGAGAGTACTTCTTCTAAGATCATCCAAGAGCCCTCGTTCCCCTCTCTTCAGTGGCCTTTTTACAATCTTCCTTCGTATAACCTTGTTTAATAGTTCAAGCATCAATCATCTATTTATAGTTCCGCTGCGTTTTGCTATATTGTTTCTTCCTTTCATCTGTTATTGAGCCGGCTCATATGTTGTCTGTTCGGAAAGCCATACCCGACCGTGTGATCCTCTGCTACTATTTCCATCATCGGGTCAGAGTTCTGAACGTAGCTTAGAGACAAAGTACGAACTTCAATTTTGGATAGATGAGATTACGAACATGGGAGTTGGCCTATCCGACGGCAAACTCGGTTATGTAAAGTTAAATACCGTCCATGACGATGCAACATTAGGGAAAGTAGAGGGAGGTAAAAAAAAAAGGAGAAAAAGAAAAGAAAAACAACCGTGTGAAAGCCGTCATCATCAGTCCGACCGTAGCACCCGCTTGAATGTCTCCAGTGTATGATTCCAAACCTTACCAGGGAAACTCCGGGCTCGATAATCAGCCATTAGTTTCTCGCGAGTTGCATTGCTCCCATCGTATTTGAGAATATAGGAGCCCCCTCCAATTTTACCAGTTGATGCAGGTGCCGTGTCCACCCCTTTGACTAAGGGAACCCCCAGATGTGATGGATCTTTGGGCGTGGCGGGAGGATAAGCTGCCGATGTTGAGAGAAACAGATTACGCTCGCCACTCTCCTCCGGCGTGATGGAAATCGGACGAGAAAGAAAGCTTAGGATAGCCCCGCCAAAGTTCCCGAAGGTGGTGTTCATCAACGGAGTCCGTACAATTCCCGGAAAGACGTGTAGAAAGCTTACGGTCGGATGGGCGGTGGCTAGATGCTCTATCGCTAAGGAGTTTAGTGTGGCGGCGTATGTGTTTGATTTCGAAAAGGTCCATGACTTTGTCAGGTCGAAATTGTCTTCTTCGATGGTGCCTTCTTGGCCGCCTGCTAGGATGGATACGACCCTGGCTGGACCGGGGGAGGCACTGAGCAGAGGCATAAGGTTCTGCACGAAGCGCATCCGGGAGTAGTAACGAAGGGCATGGTTGTCGTCTAGTCCTTCATCGGTCTCTATGTGTGGGGCCCCCTGTCAGCACTAGTAGGGTATAGGGGTGTTGGGGTTGACGGGGTAGCGTTTGTAGCCGTCCCGACTGACCAGGATAAGGTTGTTTCTGCTACTTACCATTTTTTGAAAGAGAGAGGTGGCCGGTGGACATGAAGAGGAGATCGATTTGCTTTTCCTTGTCGGTGATTTCCGCAATTTCCGCACAGGCCTTGTCAACACTACGCAGAAGTGAGACATCCGATTGAATGAAGTGAAATGATCCGTTTGGATTTGAAGCCCGGAGCTCCTCTAGGACTCTGGAACCGGATGCGGGATTCCGGCCAACCAAGTGGATGGTTGGTTGTTTCACAGCGAGCGCCATCTGCTTGGCTGTCGCCTCTCCTATGCCACTGGTGCCTCCAACGAAGACGGCGACCATCTTTTGGCGTTGAGCGCCTAGAGCCGTGTTGGACTGACGAACCTGGCTAAGAGTGGGCATGATGGATGGTTGGGAAGAGTAGTATGATACTATAGTTAACAAGCGGGAACAAGGGGAGATACTTCTTCTCACTACGCTTTATAAGTGCCTGGCAGCTTGGTGATGATAATGAGATGTAGTTAGTTTGGGAGTTGTGCTGACGCATGACGCGCACCTGACTCACTTGGGTCGGGTACCCTTCCTTATTGGGCCTGCTTACGCTGACGTCAAGCAAAAGAGTTCATCAATTAGCTAGATGCTTACCTCGTTATGGTGGCTGCGATCCGGGCAAAATCGGAAGGAAGAGAACACCTGCTTGACCTATCATCCTGAAGACGCCATTGAACTCTAGGGGACGGGAACAAGGTCTCACGTTCGAGCAGACATGGATTGAAGCTGTTTGCGGGTGACGGGACCAGGGCAAACGGATCCCAAACCAAAGTCGGAATGATTCGCGGACCAAAATAAAAACTCCAGATAAGGACAACTGACACCGAGGGCAGCAAATGGGAACTAGCGGTCGTAATATTCTCCGTGCATTTGGTACTGTCTAGCGATCTTCAGGCAAGATCCACATCCCGTCCGCAGCGGATGCACCGGGAACAGGCAATCATGATTAGATTCTGTCAGGGGTACTCCATAGTGGAGCAATGTCGGCAATCGTCCATGAGCTCGTGACAGCTATAGGCATAGATCATGAGGGAGGTATCTGCTGAACTGGCAGCAGCAATGACTTTTCCAATCAGCCTTGGAGGCGTCTTACATCTACCGACTATGCGTACCAGTACTGCTGATCTTTAGAGTTTTCATCGGCTGGATCATTTGGCATCCAACTTAATCCAAAAGAGGTTATAATCGGGTCGGTTCGGACCCAGCCTAGCCCATCTAATCGTGTTGCCGCAAGGCTATCATGGCCCTTCGTGAGCAGTCATCGCGCGTCGTCCAGATGTCGACACGGCCTGTTTTCCAGGTCGGAAAGTTCGTCGACAGGTCTAGCAGCCAGATGTAGAGCCGAGCACGTATCTGTTTGCTCGTTAGATAATACTAAATTGGTGTCTTGAGACCCTGAGCAGTCTTCCCAAGCCTCATTGACCACGAGCTGGATGAGTTTGATTAGCGAAGATCTCCCGTATGTGATCTCGTATAACGCACTTTATGTAACTGAATTTTTTCGATTACGGCGAGGAAACTACGTGACTCATACTCTTTCTAGTACGGTGCAATCTTGGAGAGGGTGAGAAGTGTCTTCCTTCAACTTCCAAGTACAGTTAGATTAATATTCCTCAGGGCTCATTTCCCAGCAGTGTTGAATCTACCTACCGATCGGACCCGGTGTTTATCGTTCATCGGTCGGCATGTCATCCGGCACACACCTCGACAAGTAGCATAGTCCGCGCCTCGGCTCATCGACGTTTATACTCCTCTACCACGACCGTAATGCATCAAATCCGGCCTCGATAAGTTCATTGACGAGCAGGATGCAAATGCATTCCATTTCGCATTGCGTTCGACCTCACGGTGGAAAGCGACTCATCCCCGATCTTCCCGACCAACACTCTTCATCTGCTGCATACCGAGAGCACCCCTCAGCGCTCACTGATCCCATCGCGAAGAAACCGTCTTTGTTGTTGTGAAGAATGGCCAATATGTCTTTCCAGGGGAATGCCGGTCTGGACAGGTTAGAGTTTCTCCCATCAGCGTGCCTGGATACTCACCACCCAGAAAAGAATCTTTGTTGCTCGTTCGGACCGCGGTTCCATATGGCGCTGTTGTACTGTCAGGGGTTGGTTGCGCCACGGAAATAGGGATAGCCATACCGATCAACGGGATGTTGACACCAATTTGTCCAACATTGACGCCGCGTTGGAACGTATTTGCATGTTTTCCACTGGTGGTAAATATGGAGCATCCGTTACCATCTATGATCGGATCAGCAATCCATGTCCTCAGTCACGGAATGATCGGAGACTGACATTTATTCTGATTAATTAAATCGATCGCTTCCTCGAGGGTGTCCACCTCCATGCAGATGAGTACCGGTCCAAATATTTCCGCCTGATAACATTCCATGTACGTCTGCACGTCCCCGAGTATAGTTGGGCCCATGAAGTTGCCATCCGGATAGCCGGGGACCTCAATATCCCGACCGTCCAGAAGAACCGTTGCTCTCTCCTCAACTGCTCGCTGGATCATTTCACTAACTTTTTCTTTGGCTGTTTTGTCGATCAGGGGCCCAATCTTAGACTCCTGATCCCCTCCACATCCTACCACCATTGACTGTGCCAGTTCGACCAGCCGAGGAACCCAGTCTCTCGTCGCACCAACAAACACTGCTACGCTTAAGGCCATACATCGCTGACCCGCAGCTCCAAAGGCACTTCCAGCGATCGCAAACAGCGTCGAGGGCATATTGGCATCCTCTAGGACAACCCCATGGTTCTTGCCACCACACTCTGCTTGTATTCGCTTCCCTGCAGCCCTTGCCAAGTCATGGACCTGCCTAGCAGCGGACTCGGACCCGACGAAGCTCACCGCTTGAACCGTTGGTTGAGTCACAAGCATCTGAACGGTCGATGGACCGCCGTGAAGCACATTGAAGACTCCAGGTGGGAAGCCAGTCTTTACGAATGCCTGTGCTAACAATGAAGACGTAGTAGGTGTTTTCTCAGAGGGTTTCAGGATAACTGTATTGCCGGTGATGAGCGCGTACGGAAGCGACCACAAGGGAATCATGAAGGGAAAGCTGAAAGGGGTGATTGATACACAGACGCCCTGTGGAAATCTGTCAGTGGCTTGTCCGTATCTTCTTAGTACCAACCTACAACTGGCTCGTAGAACGTTTGTAGCAACGTTGCATCGCCTCCTAAGAACATGCCGGCCATTTCAGGCCCAATCGAGCATGCGGCATGTATGCAGTCCAGACCGCGAAAGACTTCTGCGTCTGCATCGGCTAGGGTCTTTCCAACCTCTCGAGATAAACATGTCACCTATGATTGTTAATTCAATCCCTTTGCCAGTCATATGTTGCGGCTGCTCACAATTTCAGGAGACATCTGTCTTAGTACATCCACCAGTCTCAACAGATGTTCACGCCTCACTTGGAACCCCAAAGCAGCCCATCCAGGTTGGGCATCTTCAGCAGCCACAACAGCCCGCTGTACTTCCTGAAGAGTACTCCCCGGGACCCTGCAAAGTAGACGTTGGGAGACCTGTCCCTCGCGTTAGCACTAGTAGCAATAAACTGAGGTTGATCAAGACAAATACCGGATTCAAAACTGTCGTCCAGTTCTGTGACCTAGACATCACTGATTCATTATTAATAAACAGATGCGTGATTGTCGGCCCAGACTGCGACCGCGGTAATAGCTCCTCCCGGTCGGATGCATCACTTTCTCCAACCGGTACGGTTTCAGCACGACTGGATCGGGAACTTAGCCCATCACGACGGGTCTTATCTCCACAATCTCTCATCAGCATGGATTATTCCACTCTTATCAATGTCTTGAACTGGAACAACCTACATCTGAGATCCGCCGGCGCACGCGCCCCGACACTGTGGTACCATCGCTAGAAGCGGGCGAGGCTGCGGGGAACGGTGTGAACCTAGATCGACCCGATGAGGCGCTTGATGCCCGGGGCATGTTATCGTATGGCAATTTGGTGAATCCAATCGGGAGATACAGATTATCGGATTATGGTGGCGATGATTATCTGGCGATCTGGTAGAGACTGGCTGTCTTATCAGACTTGGGGTTGCTGCTTGGTCTGTGCGCATGTTTACTGATAAGCGAGCTGCTACGTAAATCGCCTTGATAAGCGCACAGGCGATGCTCTGTTGGGTATAGTTGCGTGTCTTGTCGTTCTATATACAAAATGGGTATATGAGGCTCTCAGCCTCAGATATATGCCTGTCATGAGCACGAAAACTTCTTTACCGTTCAAATCTATGCATCTAAGCAGAACTACCACTTATCACAATTCAAGAATGGTATTACCTCGGGATACCGGTTAAGAAGATTTCTCGCCTTTTCAGAGCATCAATCTCTCAACAGGGACATCAGTTCAATCGAAAATGGCATCTGGGATCATTCAAGTGAGGGGCAGAAGTAGAGAGCCGCTACAAGTTGCCGAAAAGCTGCATATTGAATACCTGCGTAGACAGCTCTTCATTCGATACTCTGCGATCACGCCAAGAACATCGGGTAATATATGAGATCGGTATTTTCATCGATTTTCTTCCTGAATGGAGCTTCTTGCTACCACATAGCGGGCGTCTTCTACTCTTCATACTCTTCCGAGCCTACTATCTTCATTACCAACAAAAATATGTTAATTCCCAATTCCAAGGAGTCGGAGCGTAGGGTGAGTCATATGGTAGCCATTACGACTGCACGCTCTCAGGTACCATGTTGAGTGCTTGTAATATCATAGAAGATTCGACTCAGTACTCAATCATTCTTTCTGGACAACAGCGACCGTTACAAACACTTCGGAGGACTCCTCCCAGGTCCAACACCCATCCCAGATAAGATTAGATTAGATCCTCACCCCGCTTATCTTATCGTCCTTTCCACCGCAAAACCCCGCGCTTTTTTCCCTCCGAATTTTCACTCCGCCTTTCTTTTCACACGATAGGGGTAAAGCACGCGACTAAATCAGCGCCGGTCGAGACTAAGCCCAAAGTCGTCCGACCTATACCATATAGTCAGTCCTATCCACAGAGTGGCCCAAATCGTTCATTTCAAACAACAATTCATCACAACACCTCAACCATCACTCCGCCCACTTCCGGCCAATCGAAAAAAATAGTCCAAACTTAAATCCACGTCATGGAATCCTCTAGCGCAGCAGCCTGGACTACCCAAATGGACCGCATCACGGTCCTGGAACAGGACCGGTCTCTACTTAATTTGATGACCATCATCCGGGACGTGAATACCAATGATCGGGACTTTTCCGCTGCTGTGGAGAAGGTTGTGCGCCGGTTGATTACAGCCGGTAAGTATTATTCTATATCCAATGAACTTTTAATAATTGGAACAACGGCTTATGTAAATGTATAGCATTGGGCCACGTCCCCGCTGAAGAATACACTGTTACTACCCCGATCAACAAGCCCTACACCGGGATCCGGTTCACGAAGGGTGTTTGCGGTGTCAGTATCCTCCGCGCCGGTGCCTGTATGGAACAGGCGCTGCGGGATACTTGGACGTGAGTGTTTCCTTTCTGTATCTGAAGAATATTCAAGTGCGCTAAATAAGGATGCGCAGTGGACCCCTTAGTTTCGGTAAGCTGCTCATCCAGCGCGATGAGGAGACTAGCATCGCCAAGATTTATTACTCGAAGTTGCCGGCGGGGATTACGGAAGATAGTATGTTTTATCTTTTCTTGTGATGGATTGTTGGTTGGCAGGGAAGGAGAACACACTAACAGTGATCTAGTCGTCCTGCTCTTGGAACCCATGCTTGCGACCGGCGGATCTGTGATCAAAGCCGTTGAGAACTTGACGAGCAATGGTGTTCCTGAGGAATCTATTGTTCTTGTTAATGTGGTGTCGTCGCAGAAGGGACTGGATGTTGTTTCTGGTAGATTTCCGGGTCTGAAGGTTGTTGCTGCGGCGGTGGATGCGGAGTTGACTGCTCAGAAGTAAGTGTGCTTAGTTGATTTGAAGTAGATCGTTGCTGACTCTGCTTTAGCTACATTAGTCCTGGTCTGGGAGACTTTGGTGATAGGTACTATGGAACGACTCATTAAGAGTGGAAATGAGTTCGCTATAGGGTTTAGACTGTCTATTGAGGTGTACGGGTGATGGGTTGGTTCTTAGAATCCCGGGGATTTGTAAATATTCTTTCGCTTCATATAAGGGAATGGCTAGGACTTTATTGATAAGATTGTATTTTTGAGCCTTGTCTGAATGTATATTGCTGTTTAGCAGGCTAGCTTTCTGGACCCATGCTTATTTTTGAGCAGCTGACAAGAATATGTGTCAGGACCTCCCGATGCCTAGAACTGTCTCATTTGATTCTGATTCCATACGGTCAACTGATATAAGGGATCAATGGGCGAGAGAAGGGTACAGAATGTATCTCATTTGGCAAGAGCGAAGGTGCAAATGTAAGTCTTCACGTTCTTGTACAAATCTATTACGTATATGTTCTAATCAAATGCTGTTCCATAGAGCCTATCCCCAATATCCCCAACTCCAGGCTGAACATACCCCTTCGCATCCACGTCAGGATCAACTGCACCCACAACTAATCGGCTACCCTCGGGCCACACGGCAGCTGCATGCCCCAACCCAACCGGACTAGACAGCATAGAAAGAAATGTAACCTTGTCGATTCCCCAATCCCTGACATTATTAGTGACTAACCAGAACATTACAGTAATCTTGAAACTCACTTCATTATACTAATAACCGCAGCGGCTGTACCACCCGTGGCAATCAACGGATCCAAAATATAAGCCTGCTTGATGTGCGCCGGCTTCACGGGTAACTTATTGTAGTACTCAACCGGCTGCAACGACGCCTGGTCCCTGAATATACCCATGTGATAGACGGTTGTCGACACATCTTCAGGGATGTTGTCCACGAAACCATCGAACATGGCGAGACCGGAGCGTAGCACCACGATGATAGCTATCGTTTCATCTTTGGATACGTCAATGTGCAGGCTCTTTGTCATGGTTGCTGTCATGTCGCGCACTAGGCTGCGTACTTTGGAGGGATTGAGGGATCGATCCCTGAGTTGTGAGAGAAGGGATGTGAAAGTATCATTTTGAGGTTGATCAACATTGGCGGGTAGTGTGACTGTCATGATGGATACAGTGGGTTGTATTGATGTAACGAGAAGAGAAATGAATGGAAATTTATGCTTGACGTGCAACGTAGTGGATATGTCCTGCTATAAATATGTTGACTTTGTTAAGATATAGAATGATATGATCACTGTGGCATCCTCCGATCTCATAGTTGTTCCGCCCATCTTCACAAGGCGGTTATCGTCGCTGGTATCAGATAAGATACCGTATCAGCCGAGGCGATAAGCGCCTTCCCCGCTTTGTTGTGCTCATCCCCTCATCCAGTGTAACATTCTTCGTAAACAACACATCTATCTTCTCTTCGTATCAAGAAGAGAAGTACTCAGAGTACACTCGATACTTGCAAGAAATTTGCATTACCTGGCTAAGGATACACGATGGACTCCAATACCAGACACTTGCTTCGTCTGGAAGCCGTACGCGAGAGAGCGAATATCGTCTTCCGCCTCGCTGAACAAGGAAAGCTGCACCACTACGACTACCACCCTGAGCGTCTCGATGCGACCGTAGACTACGTTGCAGGCATTATCCAGGTAAATAGCCTCTTATACATCCAGAATGCATCCCTAAATCCCTAACCATCTACTCAGCGCGACTTCGGCCCGGACCGCTACGACCAAATCCCTCCCCACGGTCGCTGGCAGCACTTCGACGTAGGCGGCGTGCCTCGAATCCAGAAACTGATCGAGCGATGGGATGCATCCGGATATGATGATAAAGAGAAAGTCAGAAGTCTGTTGGATCTATTCTTCGTCTCCGTGCTTCTCGATGCCGGTGCGGGAGATACTTGGCGTTACGTGGAGAAGGAAACCGGGGCCGTCTTCACCCGCAGCGAGGGTATTGCGGTCGCATCGCTGTATATGTTCTTGAACGGTGACTTTGCCAACAAGGGATCTGAGAGAAAGGATGCGGTGCATGGTACGTGCTGTCGGCCTTATTGGCAGGGACATGTCATTGCTCACGATGAACAACAGGAGAGGCCCTGCGGACCCTCAGTGTGGACACACTACTTCGCGGCTTTCAAGTCGATGATTCCAGCAACCCACTTCTTGGAGCTTCTGCCCGGGTCCAGATTCTCCAACGACTGGGCGAGTCCTTGAGAAATCTTCCAGAAATCTTTGGGCCATCCGGCCGTCCTGGGCAAATCGCAGGTCAGTTACCAGTCAACGTGATATAGTACCCAGTAACTGATGTACTTTCTAGACTACCTCCTCGCTATGAGCAAAGGCTCCATCGACTACTTGGTTCTTTGGGATGTCCTACAGAAAACCCTCATCCCCATCTGGCCATCCGACCGCACCAAAGTGAACGGTTACCCCATCGGCGACGCCTGGCCACTCGCTGTGCTCGCAGAGCAATCACCATCCTCCACTACAGACAGTATCCAACCATTTCATAAGCTCACACAGTGGCTTGCATACTCTCTCAAGGTTCCCTTTGAGCGACTTCTCTCCCTGAAATGGCAGAACGCAGAGCTGGGAACTGGCCTCCCTGAGTATCGTAACGGAGGTTTATTCATAGACATGGGCGTATTGACGCTTAAGCCCGAGGCGCAGGAGCGTGGACTACGGACCTCAGGAGGAAACCTTCCGTGCTTTGCAGTCGCAGACGGCGAGATCGTAGAGTGGCGGGCCATGACTGTTGCGTTGCTTGATAAGCTACATGAACGGATTCTGCAGAGCGGCAAGTTTGGGGCTGTGCAGTTATCATTGCCGCAGATGTTGGAGGCGGGATCATGGAAGGCGGGCAGGGAGTTGGCGGCGAAGTACAGGCCTGAGACGAAGTCGAGCCCGATTTTGAACTCTGGAGATGGCACTTTGTTCTAGATGTAGCCTTGATAGTGCAATAAGAACGCTGTTCTCTTCTTATTTAATGGGATTGTAACCGGTGTACTCTATGTATCTCCTCTAACTACCCCCTGACGTATATTACTACTATACTCAGTTATTGAAATATTCAAACCAACTCACTGCACATTGTCAACTACAAGCCAGTCACTACACCAGCCATACTGCTGCGGTAGATGTAGATAGCACCGGAGATAAGATTAGACAAGATAAGCGGCAGCCACGGCTTATCGGCCCCTCTGATTGGCTATCGGCCGCACCCAGGGTCTATCATCGAGAGATCGATCGTATCTGAGCTGCTATCTGAGCTACTCCATCATGGGGATACTGATAGCTTTGTCCAGCTGTCCCTAGATAGTCAGAAAACGGAAGTACCCTATCGCCTATCCACTCCAGCGCAGCCTCTACCCCAAAGAGCACTCAGTACAGAAGTCACTACAAGCATATAAACCCACCACTCCCCTGTAACAACTCTCATCTTCACGTCTCGTACACCATCGACTCCCTTTTCGTTTCCTCAACACCACACACACATCATGCCAACAGCAACACAAGAACCCCCCTCCAAAACGGACGCCTACAGCAACCGCATCGTCGTACGTCCCTTCCACCTCTACCAATTCACCATTCCCTCACTAACCACAACAGCTAACAACCTACCCCTCCCAAAGCGTCGCCAACCCCATCCCTCTAACCTGGGGTTCTTCAACCCCCGAAACCCGCGGTCCTGTCATCGTCTCCCGCAGCAAAAACACTCTCAGCAAGCGCAACGCTATCGGCGCCCACGGCGGCAGCTACTCATTCTACACCGCGCTCGCCATCGCCTCAGGGGACCTGGAACCCGACTTCCGCCCGAACTTTCTTAACACACAGCCGACATTTAATTTCCCCTACCAAGATGCATGGGGCGACAAGAGCAAGATCGTCTCAATGGACCCGTTCGGCCATGATATCGTCAAGCACTACGGGAAGTATCTAGATGAGGGGATTGACGTGCGGCCGACCATCGCTGTGACGAGGGCGACGATGCGTGTCTCTGAGATCACGGATGCGATTGCGCGCGGTCGGGTGCCTATCGACGGGAACATCGTTCTCAATGAAGGTGGGGATGTGAAGGTGACCAAAGTGGCCGTAGAGCCCGTGTGGTATCTCCCCGGTGTGGCTGATCGGTTCGGCGTGTCGGAGAAGGATCTCCGACGGGCGTTATTCGAACACACGGGGGGAAGTTATCCGGAGTTGATTACCAGACCTGATATGAAGGTGTTTCTTCCGCCGATCGGTGGGCTGACGGTTTATATCTTTGGGCCGCCAGAGCGGGTATCTGATCCGAAGATGCGGCTGGCGCTGCGGATACATGATGAGTGTAATGGGTCGGATGTGTTTCAGTCGGATATCTGTACGTGTCGGCCGTATTTGACGTTTGGGATTGAGGAGGCGATTAAGGAGGCGCAGGGGGGCGGGAGTGGAGTGGTGATTTATTTTCGAAAGGAGGGAAGGGCGCTGGGTGAGGTGGTGAAGTATTTGGTGTATAATTCGAGGAAGAGGGGTGGGGATACTGCCGATAAGTATTTTCAGAGGACGGAGAATATTGCGGGGACTAAGGATGTGAGTACTTCCAAGCTTTTGGAGAGTGTTGGTGGAGGTGAATGCTAATGGTGTTATAGATGAGATTTCAGGCTTTGATGCCGGATATTCTGCATTGGTTGGGCATTACAAAGATTGACCGCATGCTGTCCATGTCGAATATGAAGCATGATGCGATTGTCGAACAGGGCATTCCAATTTATGAACGTGTTCCTATTCCGGACGGTAAGTTGGCTTGCTCTTGCTGATAGGATTGTTTGTGGTTAACTGGGTTAGATATGATCCCGGAAGATTCAAGAGTAGAGATCGATGCGAAGATCCATTCTGGGTATTTCTCGACTGGAAAAGAGATCACAAAAGATGACCTCAAGCAGGTCAAGGGACGTGGCTGGGAATCTTGGGAGGATGTGACGGTGAGTTGATAAATCCTTTATGAGTTCATGGGTGTTCGTCAGAGCTGACATATCAGGTAGCACTGAATTTTATTATATATCAACTTATAGTAGATTTACTAATGAATACGATTTTGAGTTTTCGGCGATGCCACGTGGTTCCCATACCCTACGTTAATTCAACAGGACAACAAGAACAATAGTCACATATACGAAATAGTGTATAGTTTTCGACCATATGTAACAGTCATATCGAACACGATCGGTGTGAGTACTACGGAGTAGCTTCTTATTGCAGATCGCACAGATTTACACAAATGGCGAAGTTATGATTGGCCAAAAAGCTCCGGAAAAGAAGCACGACCGAAGAAGTTAGACCATGCAACCGAATTTATTTATAAACGAACAGCACATACGATCGACTTGATCATAATCAGAAATAAAAATGAGCAGAATGGACCTCATCGGGCAACTTGAAGCATAGCCAAGCCAATGCTTAACCGAGCTTATACACTACATTAGCACCAGCATAATTGCCTGCGCTGACCTCCAACCGAGGTTGGGTCCAAGCCTCCCGAGACCCAGGCGTGCCGATATCCGATCTCACCACTCCTCGGGATTTGATCATGCATATCACGCAAGCAAAAATGGGTGTTAGCCCAATGCGATACACGTATTACGGATTGCTCTGCAGCATTCACAAGACGATTAAAAATCAAATCAACTTACCAATCACTGAGAACATGTCTGGGTGCTGGTGGATGAGTGGCAACTCGGAGTTCCAACAACAGAGTGGGTCGGGATGCCACACGGAATGCCCCGTTTTTTTAGTGTCTTTTCTTTAGTTTCCGGTTTCAACGCAAGCGATAGAATTTTAGTGATAAATGAGTGGTCGGCCGCATTCTTCTGCTTATCGCTGTTATTTTGCTCACTGGCTTGCCATGTGCACTGTCGTTCGTTGTTGATACCCTTTCAATGCCCCTGGCTGCGCCGGGCCCTATACCTCATGAAAAATTCCGGTGAAAAAGTTCCACCAATATAAAAAAGTAAATAGAAAAGTTCGACTGAAACATCCACAACATGGAGGACACCCTCACCAAAGGACCCCTCCCACCAGGGGTCTACCGGTCCAGAATTCCCTTCTGGCGCCTCCTCACCGACCAAGCAGCCATCACCCAAGAAGTCCTGGAATACGACTTCCCCGGCAACGGAACCGAAGACGACCCGTACGTCGTGTCCTGGATCCCGAACGACAACCGCAACCCGATGCTCTTCGGCCTGGGCCGCAAAGTCGCCATCACTCTCATCGTAGCCTCCTGCACGTTGACCGTGTCCCTCACCTCGTCAGTATACAGCGGCAGCGTCAGCGAAATCACCGCCTACTTCAACGTCAGCGATGAAGTCGCAACAATCGGTCTTTCACTTTTCGTTCTCGGCTTCGCCGTCGGCCCCCTCCTCTGGGCCCCCTTCAGTGAAGTCTTTGGGCGCCAACTCCCCTTCTTCTTCAGCTGCATGGGCATGGCCGCTTTCTCAGCGGGTTGTGCCGGCGCCCAGAATATCTGGACGCTCTGCATTCTGCGGTTCTTCGCCGGTGCGTTTGGTTCCGCTCCTTTCACGAACGCAGGCGGTACCATCTCCGATATGTTCACGGCGCGGCAGCGAGGCTTAGCGTTGAGTTTGTATGCCGCAGCGCCGTTCCTTGGTCCTGCTATCGGACCCATCATTGGTGGGTTTCTGGGCATGAGCGCCGGATGGCGCTGGGTGGAGGGGTTCCTGGCTGCGTTGGCTGGGTTTATCTGGCTGCTTATGGCGGTTTCTATCCCTGAGACGTATGCGCCGCGGTTGTTGCGACTCCGCGCGGATCGGCTCTCGCAGCTGACGGGGCGGGTTTATCGGAGTAAGATTGAGCTGGACAAGGGTACAGTTTCCTTGCCACGATTGTTGAAGACGACGATGTCTCGGCCGTGGGTGTTGTTATTTTGTGAGCCGATTGTGTTGTTGTTCGCGCTGTACATTGCTATTGTATACGGGACGCTGTACATGTTCTTCGCTGCGTTCCCGATTGTGTACGAAGATGTGCGCGGGTGGAATCCCGGTGTGGGCGGGTTAGCCTTCCTGGGCATTGCGGTGGGGATGATACTGGGGTGTGCGTGCACGATCCCCGCCAATTTGCATTACATCAAGGTGCAGGAAAAACATGGAGGGTTTGCGCCGCCGGAGACGAGACTCATCCAGTGTATGCCTGGGGCGTTGGCGATCCCGATCAGTCAGTTCTGGTTCGCGTGGACGGATTATCCATCGATCCATTGGATCGTGAGTATTATTGCGACCGCACCGTTCGGGTTTGGGGTGATATTGATTTACCTTGGGGTTATGAATTATCTGATTGATTCGTATACCATCTATGCGGCGTCGGTGTTGGCTGCTAATACAGTGCTGCGGTCGATTTTTGGTGCGGTGTTTCCCATTATTGCCCCGTATATGTATGATGGAGTGGGCATTCATTGGGCGCCGTCAATCCCGGCATTTCTGTCGCTGTTGTGTATGCCTGCGCCGTTTTTGTTTTACAAGTATGGTGCGGCCATTCGAACGCATTGCAAGTATTCAGCGGAGTCGGATCGCTATATGCGCAAGTTGCAGGAAAGTACGAAGCGCAAGTCGGAGGTGGTGGAAAAGGAGAGGCCCGTTAAGGATGAGCCTATGGTGCCGGCGGATGGGGAGCCGGGGATGTCACAGGCTGCAGAGCAGAAGTGAGTACATAGACATATATAGATTTAGAGTACGTACAGATATAGAGATACCATAATGTGAGATTGACTCCAACTGCATGCATCAATGCTTGTTGAGTGTAGTCAGAGCAACGGCTCGCCGGAGTATGTCAGATCGGTCTTGTTGGCTGAGAGGTACATGAGTACTGAACTTAGAGCAAGTCAGTATGGTCCAGTTGGTTCCCTTCAAGCCGACGAAGCCCTCTGCGGCACCATGAGTGTCTAGAGAATACCCCTTGACACGTTACCTACCAGTGTTATCAAATTGGATCGTGTAATAGCTGCCACCGCTGGTTATGATAAGCACCCACAGTCACACCTACTTATCCTAAATTCAGATCATACCATGACAGAAGTAACCGGTCGGCTTCAGCCGTACCACCGAAGATCGCCATCCTGTCTCGCTGACATGAAGCCCTATCCTGTCAACCAAGACCAGAGAACCAGCTTATCGAACTCTAAACCACCACCATCGCCTTCAGTCCCGCTCAACGAAGCTTCTCCCCGATAAGCCTCCACCAACAAGTAACCACGAGAACAATAGCCATGATAGATCAACACAATAGTGTCATTGATGGAGTCACGCACAGGCATTAGATCCCCACTCCGTCAATGAACAGATGTTCCCCGGCAATTGAGATGATAAGATGTTCGGGGATGCAGGGATATCCCGGGTTCATTCATGCTAGACACAAATCAACTAGCCAATTAGCACGCTACTCCTTCTCAAATGCTAATTATCCCTTGAATGGCAGCCGAGTTCACCGCGGAGATGTCGACATGCCAGACTCAGTGCTGATAAGATGCGAAGCTGTGACTCGTCCGGGCCGGTCTTGGCAAGAACCCCAGCGGGACCCTCGACATGCTGGGGCTGAACTCTATTCAGCCTGAATCTGAGCATTGGATGTCGATCCGATAAGAAGTATACACGCTATGTGATTGGTCCTGTCTGTTTGTTTTCGGCCTACGCAGTGCTTCAGTGGTGTATATAGGGCTGTCTGGTCTTCACTTCCCCACGTAGGTCAGTCTGAATACCTCAACTCACCCACCGCATACTAGATACCCTCACCATGTCTATCAGCATAGACGCATACACCCCCACGGAGGTAATCAACCTCGTTGCCCGAGCAGGTATCGTCAAAGGTAATACCCGCCTCGACAAGGTCTTCCTCAGCTCCGTCTCTGCAGGATGTCTACTTGCCTTGGCATGCGGAACCGCCCTGAGCACGAATACGAGCACCTGGTTCCAGGAGAATGCACCGGGGTTGATTCGCACGATTAGTGCATTGGTATTCCCGTATGGATTGTGCATGATCATCCTGACAGGGGCGGATTTGTGCACGGGATCTTTCATGGTATGTCCCTCTCCATGCCCCCCAATCCAAAGAATGTAGCACTAATCATACTTACCAGTTCACAACGGTCGCAGCCCTACAGCGCCAACTCCCTTGGTGGAAGATGCTGCTCCACTGGTTCATCACATTCTGGGGAAATCTCTGCGGATCGCTATTTGTCGTGGCGATTATCTTTGGCTGTACTTTCCCTCTCCCTTCTCTCTCCCTTATTCCCTGAACCGACAATCCTAACAATATACAGACGGCGAAGTCTTCTCCGCAGACCCCTACAAAAGCGAAATCATCTCCTTCGCCACGAAGAAACAAGTAACTCCACACTTTCAACAAATCTTCCTCCGCGGCATCGGCTGCAACTGGCTCGTCTGTCTGGCCTGTTTCTTCGGCCTACAGGGCCGTGACCTCGCATCAAAGATCATGGGCATCTGGTGGCCTATCTTTGCGTTCGTGTCACTGGGCTTCGATCACGTCGTGGCGAACATGACCTTCATCCCGCTGGCCATTTGGTTGGATGCGCCGGACATCACAGTGGGGTTATATGTGTGGAAGGGGATAATCCCGACCTTGTTGGGAAATATCATCGGGGGTGGGCTGTTCGTAGGAACGTACTACTGGTATATGTATCTCCTTCAGGGAGAGAGTATTACTCTGGCTGGGTTGAGGAGGCAAGGTATGGCCGGTACTTCGGCGACAGGGACGCCTGCGACGGCGGGTGGGAAGGATGATGTTGAGGCGATGGCGGGGGCGGTTTGAACCGTTTTTCTGAAGGTATGGATTACATATAATGTGTTGGATGGGTAGATGTGATGAGGGTGGTGGTGATAACAATAGTAATTGCTAATTCAATAAGTTTTAAGTTTCTGTCTTATAACACATCAATTGACAAATCAGTGTGGAGGCAATATATGCCAGGGCCAATATTAGCTCTCGCGTCGTGTACTTACTAGAAGTGTTTATCCCTGCTGGTGATCAGGCGTCCATCTTGTCCTCAGGGGTGGTTCGCAGAGACATTTTCGGGTGCTTGTCCGGAGACATGCACGGGCTGTTAAGGAGATTGGAGGAGCAGGGTTGCTAAGAAGGAGGTACTTGTGAGAATAGAGGAGGTGAAATGGGGCAATGCAAGGTAATGGTTAGGAAGAGGGCTGCGGAGAGATTGTCTGGTCTGTTGGGAGGGTCACTCCAAGTATAGGGATTGTGCAGGATTACCTGAAGAGGGACTTGAAGCAACTGCAACGCCAGATGGACAAGTTGTTCAAGGAGCGTGAGAAAAGAGGCACAAAGCGGTTACAGCAGAGTGAGAGGATTTTACAGCGGGTAGAGAAGAGGGAGGCGAAGATCGCACAGAAGGTGATATGAGTAATCATTACAGTGGATGATGGAGTAGCATATTCTACTGGTCTATCTAATGATGATGATCGATAATATACATGGAATTTGCTGCTGCTGCTGCTGCTGCTGCTGCTGCTACAGCACGTAGCGGAAGAACGGGTTCTGCTTGTCCGTCAGATCCTGGAAGGCCAGCTTATCACGCTGGCTCTCGTCCAAATCCATGGCGTCGCGACGCCGATTCTCACGCCACAAGACAACGTACAATGCTACCGCCGCCGCGATGGTGATGCAGTAGCAGATCACCATTCCCTCCCATAGCTCCGGGTAGTGCTGGTCGACGGTTTTGCTGTTCACAAGCTGCGGCCCGATGATGTTGCCCACAGTGTAGGCGACGAAGACGGTGGCCGCCATGACGGTTTTCTTGGTCGCACCGGCGACGTTGCTGGCGCCGAGGGTGATGATAAGGCTGACCACAGGTCCGAAGAAGCCGGTGATGGCGTATCCGGCAACTGGAACTGCCGGGTGATATCCCCATTCGGACTTCCAGATCATTACGCAGCCGGCGATGACGGGGAGACAGCAGGCGATGAGCATGGGAATGCGCGTGTTTGGAACGCGCATGCCGATGTAGCCGCAGAGAGGGATGAAGATGAGGCAGACGCCACCCACAGGGAACTGGAAGAGGATGGAGTCGAGGGTGTTGTAGCCAAAGGTTGATACGATCAGGGGGCCGAATCCGGAAATGGCGCCGTTGATGGTATACCTAGGATGTATTAGTGACGCTTCTCTTGTGTGACGGGTTACTCACGCTGCAGCCATCATAATAGCGATCAAATACAATTTGATGTCCAGGAATGATTCCACAATTTGATCTTTCTTGATCACCTGGCAGCGCACACCGGTCTGTCCCCGACGCAGGCGCTCCACGGCCACGACCCTCTCCTCATGGGTCAGGAACCACGCCTCGACGGGGGAGTTAGGCATGAAGCAGCACCAAATCCCAAATAGGAAGGTGAGTACACCGGCGAAGATGTAGATATACTGCCAAGACTTGAGACTCCCAGAATCGATCTGTCCAAATGCATAGTTGAGTGCACTTCCGATGATGGTAAACCATCCGGTACCAGAGAACCACCATGCCTGTCGCAGACTCTGCTCGTCCTGCGTGTAATATCCACTAACAACCGTCATGAAACCGGTAGGAATGACACTCTCAACGAAGCCTATATAGTCAGTAAATGATGACATGTGAATGTAGAGCAGAAGGTGTACCTAGGAAAAACCGTTGCACAAACAGCCCCTGCCACGAGGTTACTCCCGCCGTCGCAGCACAGGTAATGGCCCAGAGCATCACGACTGGGCCCAGGACGTGCTGGATGCGAAACCGTTGCAGCACAAATGTCATGGGGTACAACCCAGCCATCATACCAAAGTAGAAGATGGAGGTAGCCCAGCTGAGACGGGAGGTATCCTTGGTGGCAGGCGAAGTGGAGTAATCCATGACCTGGAGCTGCAGATCGGTTGTCATACCGAACAGTGATGCACTTCCAAGGATGGCCTACAAACATTAGCTCTAGTTAATAGACGGAAACATATCAAGTCGGGGTATAGTCAAGACGAACCTTATCCCAGTAAACAAATCCATATCCTATAATCCACAAGTCAACAATATGCTACATTACCCATCCATCCAATCATCCTGAACAGAACAACCGCCAAAAATCCAAACAAACAAGATAGATATGACAAACCAATCAACATAGCAGGCATAAAAAATGCATCAATCTTGCGCAGCACCCTCTTCTCCACGGCGGGGTCAATCTCCCCCGCTTCTTCACTGACTATGGCCCAAGCGACATCTTTGTCCGTGGGTGCTGTCGCAGACGCAGCTATTGTCTGCGATTCGACCTGAATCATGATTCTGGAGGTGTAATATGCAGATGTGATGATGCAGTGGTGGTGAGTGAAAATTTCGATGGCGGGATGGAAAGACGCGTAGATCCTGCCCTTGGTGGGTTGGTTGATTAGATTATCTGGCCCACGTGGGTTTAGTTTTTAAGCTTTCGGATAGTTCAATGCCATTGTCTGTCTTGTCTGTCTGGGAGCCGGGCATTGTGACGGTCGCAGTATCGTGATTGAAGATGGAGGATTGTCAATTTAGTTGATTATTTTGATGCTTATAATTTGCTTGGTCTATAATCATTAATGGTGCTGCGAAATAGTATTGTTGCACATTTTGTTGACGTTGAGGCAAGAGTAGCATACACAATAGAGAGAGAAATGTTGGCGGAGGACTGTGCTCCGTGCGCACAACAATAAAGTTCGTTGACAGGTAGATACTGGCTACCATCTACATTTCTGCCACAGTTGGACAACTGGTGAGTTCAGTAGGATGGACAGCTCCTGACGAAGGGCACAAATGTAGTTGTTTATTCATGATGTCTGTATTGATTGTGTAGTGCTACCTACAGCATTAAATATGTGTAATAAGTAAACTCGGATAGCGAGCAAAATAGTAGGCAGGCAACAAGGTTCACCTAGTAGGGGTACAGGATATATATATACCATAGAAAAATAATTCCGTCCTACAGCCGCATAGCACTCGAGTGGAGGCATCTGACCAGATAAGAGCCAGCTTCGGAACTATTCAAACAGGCAGGAGAATCCCGAGACAATCAGATGATAGTGGATAGGAGGGTCATTCTTCCCCGAAGCCCCTAACAGACCCATCGAACGAAGGCTAAAACTAGGACGGTGATGTAACAATGCGACCCATTCACCGATAATACTTCTTCGTACAAAATAAACAATGCAACCCAATTCTGGACCATGAAAGGCCATTCGGAACAAAAAAGAAAAATAATCCCGCGCACCAATCTCCAGGGGGGTTACACTTTTCAAACCCCGCGACACCAATTGTATCAGTCCTCATGCAAGCTGGATTTGAACCAGATCCCGAAGTATCCGCTTGACCGGCACAATGACGTAGCAGATGAAGCATCACGGAAACCAATTCCTGGCAGGGGAGCAGCATCGCAGTGGAGATGGCCAGCTCGACGGATCGTGGAACTTGGCCCGCAACTTGATCGTCGACGCTGTTTGGTATGATTGGCGAATCGCTTCCGACCGCCTTGCAATCGATCCTCAGGCGGACACTGGAGGGGGAAGGAAGTGGAAAAATACACCTCACAGCGCATCAGACCACTCCAACAGGGTTGAGTTAATTTCTCAGGAATGCCGGAGAGTAAGAGTGGGTAGTTACAATGCATTGCCAAGCAATCTAATGTAGGCTGGACTGGTGTGATGGTGGTGCTTGTTCGTTCTTTGCTTGACCCTCGGCTATTCATCAAGCACCACGATGAAACCACCAGCGATCGGTTTCAGGCCTGGCTGGCATTTAATATGCCTTCAAACGCCTGGATTTTTCCTTCACAAGTGACAGTGAACAGTCGATAATCATGGTGCTAGAACCCCAATGCCCCTCGCCATCCGTAGGAGCTCACAGCGACAAACGCACTGACCCACGGTAATCTGCGTGAACGCACGGACAACGTGGGATGAATTAGGTGGAACATCTCGGACGAAGCAAGGCAGGGCTAGCTGCGGAGCATAGCATGAACCGGAAAGTACACAGTCGAGGAGAGAGTCTCCACCGGAAAAAGATGCCGACCGCTGATTTCGTGTTGCGAAATGGAGGCGGAAGAAATTTCCGGGCGCCAGGCAACGGAGACACGTCACATGTCGATCGCTATTATTCCACGCTCCCAAAACATTCCATCGGGGCCAAGTTTCACACCGGCAGACACCGGATCCCGAGATAAGGACGAGAAGGATGTACTGGGATGATGCTATCCAGAAAGGGAAAATGTACGCAGGGAATCATGCAACACATTCTGATCTAGAATTAGTGGTAATGATTCTTTACTTCGTCACGGACTTGTCAAGACATGAGAAATCGAATATGGGTGGCTGGGCGATGCCATCCTCAGTCAGCCGAGCTGCCTCGCTTCGAATCGGACTCCGACGCGGCCGAATCCTGGTTCGTCTGCGAGAGACTCAACCCATCCCATTTCGCCAGGAATTGGTCCATATCCACGTCCCCCTGGCGCGCCGGCCCCTGCTGCACTACCGAGCTAAAATGCGGGTAGAAGCTGCTGAACTCCTCGGCGTCGCGCTGCTTCCAGCCCAGCGTCTCGAAGTCGGTAAATAGCGCGCCGGTCTCCTCAGGAAGAGCCACCTCCGTCTGCGTCGCGGAGAGCTGTATCATGCGCAGAATACCTTTGGCGAGAGGGAAGCGCCGTGAAAACGCCCGGGCAATAATGCACAGCTCAACGAAGGCGTTGCGGTTATCTGTAGAGTCCAGCGCCTCCATGAGGGTGAACATGCCGATGCTGCACCACTGAATGGTCGACGGCGCCATCCGGTCGATGCCCCACTTGTCGCGATGAACTCGAAGCAGCGCTGCTACCCGGCGCGCCGACGAAAGGCAGAGTTGCCGTGCATGTGCGGCCGTGGACACATCCAGGGCCACTTCACGGTTGGATCGGAGAAACCCAAAGATCTGCATGACGGTGGTATGGTAAAACATACTACGGTGGGGCGAATCAGCACACTGCGTCGCACACAAGAGGCATCCTGTGAAGGGGAGAGGCAAAAACACTCACTGGATACTCAGAACGTGGGGGACGGTCGCCACATCCGCATTTAAGCACGGTGGCAAATGAGCGTACCACTCCTGGAGCTGTTTGTAGATGCCATCAACAAACCCGATCATCTGAGACGGGGCAACCAGGTGCTCAGGGTCATGAAATCCCTGGCTGATCTGCATCATGATGCAGCAAAAGTCGCACCATCGATCGAAAACACAATTGTGATGCCCGCGGACGGCGTCCACCTCTCGCGGGTATGGGTACCATAGATCGTCCGGGTCGCCGTGGGTGACGGGGATGCGTGGACGCTGCGGGGGGTTGACGTTGATATGCTTCATCAATGACACAGTCGCCGTCCTGCCACCAATCCCAGTTAGTAAATACTCCTGTTCTTCAGACGGGCTTTCACTTACGAAGCAATGTTGAAGGCTCCCCAGAGAGTCCTACTCACGACCTCTTCGAACACAGGGTCTGCCTCCTGGCCGGCTATCCCAGGAGGATGGCGTTCCGCATACTCCTCCGCTCCCCGGATAGCTAGATCCAGGTACATCCAACCCAATCGGTCTTTGCCCATCAGGGCCATCCTGCAGGCCCAACACTATTAGCATGTCCCACATTGCATGCAGCGTCACGCACATACCGGATAAACAGAACCAATAGACCTTGGATAGTTGGTATTGTAGCTCCTCCCTCCTCTTCTTCCAGGAGCCGACGGGCTTCTTCGTAGAAATGATCACCCCGCGTGAGCGTGTCGTTGGGAACGGTGAACACTTCGGCATAGTCAGAGTAGTACTAGAATCAGCATCAAGTTAGTTAGTCCTGCGGTGAATGGTACATGTTCAAACGATCGGGTACACCTACACAAGCCTCTGAGAGAATGGCATTGACCAAAAAGCGGGAACAGAACCGGCAGTCGAGATTGCCGGCCCGCATGTCCCGTAGAAAAGCATCCTTATCCAGCCAGTGGAAGAACGGATAGGTCCAGGTCAACCACAGCGAAACGAGGTGAGATACCAGATCACCGTCGTCAGTGACCGTTGTCCAGGGCTTCGCAGGAACTTGATAGACGGGATTATCGGCGAGACGGCGGACATCCAGAACGCGGCGGGAGGATCGGGGTTGCGAAGGCGGTTGCGCCTCCTCATCATCGTCGGAGGGGCGAGATATTTGACTTTGGATCTCGCGCAGTTCTGGGGACAATTCGATTTCGCGCCCGGTGAATTGTTGCTCCAGGAAAATTTGGAGCTCCTCGAAGGAGGCATTACTCCGGATGAGATTCAAGAGCTGAGCGAGACGTTTGCTCTCACTTTCCCGGAGCGCGTCAATGAGTCGTAGCAGCGTCTCTTCCGCTTGTTCGAGACGGTCCAATTTCCGCTTCATTGCGTATTTGCGACGCATGTCGGCCATCTCGTCGACCAGGCACGGGATGCCGTTTGCCACGCAGTGTTGACATGGTGGATCACCTCTGCACTTGAGGGGGTCAGCCGACGAACAGGACGCGATGTGATGGTATGAAGATACCAGTGACAACGGGCTTAATGAAGAAATCCCACCTTGAGCTTCTTCTGTTTACACGCCTTGCAGGCGGTGGTCTTGTGCTTGCGACCCTGAACTACATTGTCCGCCACCTTGGCAGTTGGGGGCTGGCCAGGAGCGGGGGCTAGAAAGCGGGAGGAGGAGGATTGCGAGTCGGACATATATGACAATGATGGGAACAACAAGACGACCACACGAGGGGAAGTCGCCCTGGCAAGAGAGAAAAGAGAAGAGGCGAAGAGATGAAGAAAGGACCCCGAGGGAACGGATACAGGGAGTTTCAATGGGGGTGGGGTTCGGTTGGCGGGAGGAGATGGCAATAGTGTTGTGGGAATGATGGGTGAATGAAAGTGGAAAATGCCCCTCAAAAAGGTAGACTAAGTGAACGACACTAAGCCCCAGGGTTTGGGAATGAAGGCAGGAGAAGGGGCGACGGTGGTGATTCAAAAGGTTATGTAGCAAGAAATGCTAGTACTAGTAACAACTTATGAGTGTTGCAACTTTTTTAAAGGGCCGAATTTTATATATGGAGCCAGAGACCCAATTGTCAAAGGATTTGCTTTTCCGGGCCTGGATCTGTGGCTGCATCGGCATCCAAGTGGAGGGATAAAAATAAAAAGAAACCACAGGTCCAACAAAATCACAGATTGAAAATTCAAAACACTAAAAGAAAACTAAAAGAAAAGAAATGATTTGGGCGTTGATGGAAAATACCATTTGAGACGAAGTGGGCGAAAAAGGGTGTGAGGAAATCGAAAATCCCAGAAAATACCCAAAATGGAAATGGGAAGGGACAGAAAAATTCGAGTATACAACAGATGAGACCAAAAGGGGAAATGCATACAAGAAGAGAAAAGAGAAGGGACAAAATAAAAAAAAAAAAAAAAAAAAAGAAAGAAAGAAGGAAATACACAGTTCAGCACCCAGACTCCCAGAGACCCAGAGGGAAGGAAGCTTAAAACGCGACAGCCAGTCAGCAATGCGGATGGGAGGCCGTAAGACAGACCTTGATGTTTCTGGAAAGCAGCAGAGGCTGTGACATAATTCCGCGGGCCCGTCGAGACTTCCGGCCGGGGACTACTACTACAGAGGGAAAGTCATTCAGTCTGCAGTCAGTAAGCAAGAATCAGTAGTAACTTGTTCCGTATGAAAGGAAAAAAGGATCGGGAACCACCAGTCCCAAAAGGGACAAGCCTGCGGGCAGCCCCAGTCTTGGCCCGGCTTGTCGCTGGTGGCACTGCTATCCGCCCAATCACTACCGGGGGCGCTAGTGTCCATTGGGGAATTCGAAGTATCTTCGGCCGTCCAAGTGTCGGAGCCGGTAGAACCCAAATGGCAAATACCCTCATCATTCCGCCAGATTGGTCCCGGGCCTAACCTGCATAGGCCATGGGAATCAAATTATGAAGCAGCGAACGAACGTCTCCCATCCGTGGCCTGAGAAACAAACAAGGTCCGGAAAACTGACTGGAATTTGGGTCCTATCTCTATTACCGCTTTGAGGTTAGCAGACCGCATCGCTGGGACCTTCGGGAGCCCTGTACCTGGCAACTCCCAGCTTTGGTACCAGTCTAGTACCACTGGAAGGAAAATTATGGAGTACTACACAAGTTCAATTGGGCGGGTGTACCTGGTTAGGCCCGCCATGATACCAAAGAATTACCAAGATACATACTTTGACTTTGTTGCCTCCAGTAGATCATGAACATAACAATATGCGTACTTGATGTACCTTAAGATTACTTCAATACCGTATTGGTTTAGTACCCGAGCTCAGATCAGGTCAGGTCGGGTCTTAACTCTCTTTTTCTTGTTCCTCTCCCCTTCCCTTCCCCCCTTCGCCGCCATGAACACATGGAGTCTGCGACCCAGTCAATCACCCAGGGGTGTGGAGGCTGTCCATCGGCAGTGGCAAGAAGCGGCACGCTACTGATCGCGCCTGCAGAAAGTCAGCTACATCCAATGATCAAGACATCGTTGAAGGGGAAGTAACAGCCGGCCACTCAGTTCTTTGCCGGCCAGCCATGGAGGCTTGCATGGGCTGCGGTGGAACCTGGTCGGCACCCCCTCTCCCCGGCGGGTTTCCGGGCGAATCACCTGACGCGCCGCGGGCCTGCGATCGCAGCAAGCGTCGCCTATCTGAAGATCCTCAAATGTAACTATGAGTTCATTTCTGCGCCTCGACTTTGACATCAACGGACAGGAACCGGTTGGCCCTCACGGAACTGTTTTCCAGACAATGTCGCCCAATACACCGCTCAAACCAACTATTCGCCTCAGGCCTTCTTTCAGCCTGGATACGCCCAATTAAAAGGGCCGCTGGGGGTATGCGCTATGCCATCGCATCGCACACGCCTCGTTTGACCGAGTCATTCGGTGGCAACGCGACGTTCCAGATCGTCGTGCAGCGAGCGCTTGTTAATTGATATCGTCGACTAGAAAACACAGTAGTGCTGTCAACTCCCCCCTCGCAGAGGGAATTTGATATTAACCCAGTTGGGAAGGACACACATGAAGGGAGGGAGCCTGATCTCCACCACAGCCAGTGACAAGAGGCTTGAGTCCTCCAGCAAACATCACACTCGAACCACACTGGACGGGCTGGGACCGAGACAAGACATGCGCTCGGGTGGAATGACGGGAAGGTAGGGGAGGAGACACGCTACGCTCCGTACGAGTTCTCTTGTACCTACGACATTGCATGCGTCCATGATAAGCGGGTCCTTCGTTTCATCGTAATAGGCAAGAGGTACGAGGTAAGTAAAGAGGCTTGCCTTTGGTCTTTTGCACAATCTTGCGGCACGGGTTTTACCGGCCGGTAATAGACCGTCACCTCACCCGCATTGCAGGCAAAGTTGGTTGTCTGCATTTCAGGTCGCAAGGTTTCGTGACGGAGAATGGGCCTAAACATAGTGGTAATCCCCCGTATAGGCGCACTCATTGGTGGTGATCGGACCCTCATGCCAGCAAGTGCGCCATACTAGCAGCCCTCTGTGTCTGTTACCTGTATATACAGGAGACTAGGGCCAGCAGATACACAGTAGCGATGCGCCACCAGAGCTCGGGCACCGATGCGAAATCTGATTTCCACGCGAGCAATTCCGAAGCCCAATCAGAGGTGACATGAATGTCTTAAGGGAGAGCCAGATATCCTTGGCGGTGGGAAGGGTAAAAAGCCATGGTCGATGGGAAGGATATCCAACCAGCCCAGCCGAGCTCCATGCAGCAACCACCGAACAACCACCGACACCTCAGCCATCAACCTTCTGGATTCAGTAAGTAGCCGATCATGTGAGACCATGATCACGCCCATCCTTCCCGTTTTGCATGGATGTTTGCTTGCTCTGGTACTATCATCCCCTTCCGCCGCTGGGTTTGAATCGCCTCCTTTTTTTTTTTTCTTCACTTCCGTTCTCTTCTACCCTCTCCCCTTCTCACTTCCCCTCCTTTCATCGCAATCCACACTCCTATCGGCTAGGAGGGAAGAGAGCCATCGCGGCCCCTACCCTAGCGTCCGCGATTATCGAATAATAGCTCCAAATGCGGGCCACAACATTCTGAGTCCACGTCGACATCTCGGAGAAATGGGGAGGTCCAACCCTGTCGATTCAATTCACCAGGTGTCAGACTAGGCCACTCGGAAAATGCCCGTCGTCGTCTGGGTTGCATCACCTAGCTTCATTGCCGTCGATAAAATTCCTTCGTTTGGTGCCCACTAACCTCAACAGCTTTCCTGCATCGGTGGGCATCTCCGAGCGCACCCAGACCTGGTATTACCCTGGTCTAGTGCAGCTGTCATGCCTCCACTCATGTAGCTTAGGCAGAACCGACCGTTCTAGGCAGGTGTGACCCTCACTTCACTGTCCGGAATCACAGGGTATACTATCATCTGGCAGCATCAGAGGCCTAGATCAACATCAGGTAAGCTCGAGTATTTCCTCCGTACTTCATTCTTGTTGTCAGGCATGTCTGGATTTCTGTCTACATTGCCGAATATCACCGGGATGTGAGAGACAAGCCTGTAGCCAATCATCCACCCGCAGAAGGGAAATCCTACCCATCCTGGTAAGAGGCGATCGCAACTGGCGTGACATGAATCACTCCCTCTTCCCCCTCATTTCCCATATTATTGACATCCTGTCACTGACCCTGCCCTTGTCGAGATCGTGCCAGTCATCGTCTCCCATCGAAAACTCTTTCCCGATACTAGCTGAAACGTCGGAATCCTGTCACGCTTTGTCGCTGCACATTAAGCCTATCAGCATGACAATGCCTTGCCCAATAAGGCCCACTTTCCTTGACCTCGGCCACACAACAGAGCAGTGGAGCCGGACGCACAAGTCTTCAAAATAGGTTTACCTTGGCAGAAAAAAATAGATTGAATCCACGGGGGAAAGTTCTCGATACTGCAGAGCCAGAGAAATCGGTGGAAGGTTTGGCCATGTTGAGCTGCACTTGCGACAGACTGCCGCGCATGGTCTAGCAGTGAAGCGTAGCAATAAGGATCATAGATTGGTGGCCATTCAGGCTGTCCTTGCTAAGGATCGACGGTAACGTTGTGAAGGTCTCTTGCCCTTCAGGCTTCTTTTACAAAGCACAGACGTGCCGGGCAGTCATGGACTAGCCTTCTGCGGGTTGTGACCGACTACAACACAACTGCTCGATCATCCGAGCTACCTCTTTGCTGTAAGGTTGCTGGTAGTCTGGGCGAAACCGGTATGAAGGTATCTTGTCAGCTTGTGCGGCGCAAAGCCCCGAGCTCCGAGCCAGCGTCCTTTATGCGGCAGGAATGGACCAAAACAACACTGCCTATGAAACCCCAGGTCCATTAATATAGCCGGAAGAACACCGGCTGATGGAAAATTATCGCTTCGAGTTTCGGTTATAATATTTCTGCAAATGTTAACGGTGTTATACAAATATGAGAAACGAAGCTTAAATGCCATCCACGACATAGTATACTGAGCTCCCGAACATTCACCACCGAATACCACACTGTTGCCCCCTCTCCGCACCCTCCTCCATTATCAGAACGATGCCAGGCGAGGCTGCATAACATCCACAGCGACGCTGGCTTCTCTCGCTGGAGGATGAGTTGTTTGGAGGAAGAATGATCAGTATGATCAGCCGACACCACAAAAATCTTGCAGGATCCCGTGAATTAGCCTTGTTAGAGCATTCCTTCGTCACACTGGATCAGTAAGCGGGAATTCTAGTCTATGCGACCGTGGGAACCGTCCAGGCTCAAAACCCTGTTTAGACGTCATACCCAAGCAACCGCCCATGTCATAATGAGGCATGAAATCATCTTCCACCCAGCCTGAGCAAGCTGGGGAATCCCCACGATGCATCGCGAATCCCTGGCGGTCGGAATTTGTTTGCGCTGGACACGTCGCCTCCCAAGCGCTGCCACAATGCCACATGACGTCATGCGCGATCGGCTTACCGCCAGTGCCTTTCCGCTTCGGGAAGTCATGTTGCCATCCGCAAAGTGCAGGGTGCCTCGCTGATTCTGGTTTCCACGCCGGTTTTAACGCTGCTGTCGGATACATTCTGTTAGGACTTTGACTACATACAACTACATACTAAATTTGTCCATTAGGGCAAGGACTGGGAGCGCGCTGTATCGACGGCACTTACCGTGGGCCTTTTGACCCGAACGGATGAGGTTGATTGGATAGTTTGTAGAGAAGGACGACTGGGAGAATCATCATATCATCATTGACCTTCACAAAAGGAATATCACTATCAACTTTCGCCAGCATAGGTCAAGCCCATATGCTCTGGACACTAACAGGTCTTAAGCTAACCCTGTACACAATCTCCCCTCCTTACTAGACACTCAGATGTGCATCGATGGCTTCCGTCTAAGCCCGGGGGGTCAGTTGAACCATCAATCGATTCTTTTGCCACAGCGTCCACGTATTCTGCTTGTCCCAGCCGACTGATTCAGGTGCCAGGCTTAGATCATAGTGGTATAGGACCTTGGCTAGGATGAGTCGCATCTCATGATAGGCGAGACTAGTTCAGATGTTAGACATGCTCACTAGAGCATTGACACCATGGCTAGGGGAACTCACTTCTTCCCCAGACAATTGCGAGGGCCGAAAGAGAAGGGCTGGAAAGCAGCCTTGTCGTCGCCAGCAAACTGCGGGTCGTTACCCCATCGCTCCGGAAGAAAGTCGTCTGGCCGGGTGAAGTTTCGTGGGTTGCGATATGTCGCCCAGTGGTGTACGGAGACAGCCGTCTGAATGTACATATTAGTCCAAGGCCGTACTTGCAAAAAAAAAAAAAAAAAAAAAAAAAAAAAACCAGGTAAGCTGAGTAGCGCTGCTCACATTGCCAGGCATATATTCGCCGCAGATCTCCATACCCTCCTTCGGAGTGAGACGGGGCATCCCGGTAGGGACAGGGGGATACATCCGAAGGCCCTCATCGATACACATGTTCAAGTACTTCAACTGTGCTAACCGCAGCATATCGATGTCCGAATCTCGCTCAAAGGCGTCTCGAATCTCCTTGGTGATTTTCTCCATTTTGTCAGGATTCAGCAACAATTGATACGTGAGGCCGCTCAACGCCGTTGCGGTGGTTTCCGTCCCAGCTACCATGAACAGTTGTGAGTTGGCGTACATTTCTTCGCGGCTCAAGCGCAGGGACTCTTTCTGCGACATGACCAGGCCCCAAATGTCGGGGCGATCCAGGCTCTGGTCAACCCGCCAGTCTACCCGGCCCTTGCATGACTGGTAATGAGACTCTTGTCGTTTTTTCAAGGACCGAGGGAGAAGAGAGTTTAAGAAATAAGAACACCATGGATAGTATCGTGCGACACGTCGGAGTGAATTGATCTTCACACTGGAGAAGATCGATGTCACCCACTCCACGTTGCCGGTACCTTTCAGCAGATTCAGTGGGTCTCCGAATGTCAAGTCCCCCATAATGTCGAATGTGGTCAGATTGTACATCAAAACCATTTCGATCTTGGCCTTGGGATCTACTTGGACAACTTCTCGGAGCTTCTCGATGAGCAAGTCCGCATAATGAGCGATGAGTGGCTGCTGCTCGCGCAAAGCCTTGTCCGAGAAAGCATGTGAAAAATTTCGACGAAAGCGTGAATGATCGGCAGCTTTGGCACGAATGACGTCCGGAGTTCTATTAAGTGTGGTGCCAAAGAAGCGCATGTCCTTTTCAGTGGATTTCTTTGTTGCACTGGCATGGCCGTAGATATCTCTCCATCCGTCGGCGCACGAGTAGCTGACTTGATCGGGCGAGATCCGGACAGTGTCTCCGTAGGCCAGATGCAGGTTTCTCACCCAAACATGCTCATCACCCATAAGGGAGTGATACATATGCACCAGACGGGTAATCGCCGCCAGCTTCGGACCGGCGATCTTATGCAGAGGGTTGATGTACAACTCGTAAAAACATTTTCCTACCAAGGAGAGAACTAACTGTGGTAATCCAAGACACGTGTTAGCAACCGTCAACCCCTTACGCCTGGATGGGTTGCACTGACTATACTAGCGGTTACTGTTAGATAATGCCCCTGGAGGGCTCCTTGAATACTTTCGTGAATCATGCTGGGGTTCGAAAATGACAATAACCGACAATCAAACGGTCTGAGAAAAAGCGCTGGTTGGTATCGAATGCACACCGCCGTGACGGGGCTAGGGATGCTATTTATCTCCTTCACTCTGATAAAGGAGTCGCCTGACGTTGCAACAGCCGGACTAATTATGTCGAGGCAAAGCTGCACAAGGCCAGCCAATGTTTTATAAAGCCAGCACACGACCCGCTGGCGACCAGCTAAGCTGCATGAAGGGATTACCAGGAAAAGGCCTCGGCCCATCCCCCATACATCACTCCGATGCAAGTGATGCTCGGCTCTTGAGCTCCGATGTTCCGATGAGGGATAGTTACAACGTGTTATCTTCGAAGCCTTGATATGTGTTCTAGTTTCGTGAGCGTAATTCGAGCTATACCGGACGAGCGGGGAAACATCTAAGTGGAGTTCTGCTGCGGCACATCGAGACTTCGAAAGAGGGGTCATGTCGATCGCCGACCTTCTCGGAGCGAATAGCAGGATAAGTATTAGCGTTATGCCATTGTGTCAGGACATTTGGGTTTTGCATAACTATCCAGCCGCTCCATTAACCGGCTATGATCTGGGGCCAGATGGAAGTCTGAACTCAGAGCAAGGGTGCATTGGAATACGTGTATAAACATTGTCACATGTCGCAGGTTATGCTAATTGGCCTGTGCACAACGCCGCGTCAACGGTCTCTGCAGTCCGTATAACTAACAGGCAAGGGATTGGTCTGCGCTCGTGCCGTTCCATCCGGCTCTGGTGATTCAAAACCAAAGTGTAGATGCAGTGTTACCCTCACAGGGATGCCCTGCGGCAATGGTGAAATCTATCGACATGAATGGCATTGTCTATCATCCAATTACGAGCTATGTTCATAAGCCCTGCCGATCATCTCCAAACTAAAATCCAGCCAATTCTAGCACGAACGGTAACGTCTTTAGTCCTACCTTGTTGTACCTGATATCTCCAATGTTCTACGAACACATTGTCTACCTGAACAGCCACTCGGATTGTCGGGTCAGACTGCGAACGCATAAGACTGCCACATATACACTCACCCACGTCATCTCAGCAGCCAAGCGACGTAGGATCGATTACCTCTATCTAGTACTTGGTGGATTTTAAGCAAGCACTACTAGGTAGTATGATTTATGACGACGGAGTTCGTTGGCTGAGCCTGCAGCAGCAATGACATTCCTTCCGTCGAGCCGAAAATGACCTATCGCCGGCGACGGTCGGCCCGGAGGATCAACTAAGCCAGCTATGCTACGCTATGCCATCCTTTCAAGGGCCGAGTCGATCTTCCGTGTTCGGGAAGGATCAGGAACATATATCTTCTAAGTTCTATAGTATGAACCAGTGGGTCAGGATGTGCGGGTTTGCCACTCGAACAGTACGGATGCGCTTGAGGTGTTCGTCGCTCTGTTCATTTACGTTTCTAATAGTCTTGTCTGTGTCTGCTTGTGCTCTGCCAGGCGCAAATGACTAACATGAAACAGAAACAAGTCGATATTACTGCGTGATTGAGACTTGAAGCACCTCGTTGGCTACCTTGCCATCGAGTCGAAATTCCCTCAAGCCTTGTTTGGATGGATCCCACAAACGCCCACACTGCCAGTATATGAAATCTCCACTTTATCGTCATAGACAAATTTATCTCCATCACAAGAACCATGTCATTGTGCAGGCAACCAGGTTATTTCAATCTATTCGAATGCAAGGTCTGTGATAGACATGCTATTTTGCCTTGTGGTCGGAAATCCCGGGCCTTCCTATTCGGGATCGGATGTTGGTTTCTTATCCCGAACAAGGGTGATTGCTTCTCTGAGATCATCAACTATTCCTCATGGACCATGATTCTCTTCCTTTTGATTTCCTCTTCGGTATTTGTTTCCATTCCTCTCAATACTGGAAAGTGTGCCTTGCGAGCCTGGCTGGCTTGCACCAACAGGGGAAAAGATTATCATATTGAAGATCTCCAAGACTATCATGCAGCCGTATATCTATCCAAAAGCTCTCTCACTATCCCTTCCACTTCCTCTTCACTTGACTCCTGTTCACCATTCATTGACCCAGTCACAACTGGGACTGGAGGATGTCTTCTGGTATAGCACGTCTCCGAAATAGATGGCATGGAGCAGGCATTGGGATCGACTTCCTCCCAGATAACATGAAATTGAGGTTCGTTGAGGGAAGACCCGATTCCATTTTCCAAGACTTGGCCATGCGAAGTGCGATCGAGATTAACTTCCTCCTCCACCCGGGCAGGAGGTAAGAGAGTAGTGTCTGGCTTCAGCTTTGGCTTCAGTTTAGAACCAATAGCTCTCGATAATTTTCCCAGCTGGAACAAAAGCCCGGAGCGCCTGTGTCTTTTATGGTAAATAACTCCACCCTCTAGTAAACTGTCACCAATAGCCGCTATATAGCTGTGAACCCCAAGCCGTCGCGTGTGTGCCAATAAATCCTCTTGGAAGTGATTGAACATAGACCTATCGACGACCACATAGTCGTAATCAGACTAGCCATATTGTTAAGAAATCATCCAGAAGAACTATGAGGGTAGTCGTGGACTTGATACATACCTCATCCCATCTCCAAGGTAAGCCATATGCGCTTAGACTCTCTGGAGAAACACGGTGCCGAGGTACCTACAAGGATAAGTCGGAGTTATGCTTGAAATGAGCCCATATCGATCCTGAAAGAAAGCTGTTACTCTGGCTTCGATAGTGATGTCTTCTTGTATTTCAGGGACCTGAGACTTCGTCTCTCTCTCTTCAGCCGTTGTAGATGGGTGCTTGAGTCTCATGATGAACGTGATACTTCTTCTTGCTCGGATATCATCAAATCCGTCAACAGGAAAGAGCTCACCGAAATGTATGAATTCTATTGCATCGGCGTCCGTGATGTTTCCATGGCCACCATCAATATTGAGTGCATCTAGTGCCTGTTGTTCATCGGCCGACAGAGCAAGAAGTTGGTTGAGTACTGTCCTATTCGACGAATTCTTCCACTGATCGATCTGAGAGTCAATACCCTGGCGTGGGACTTTCACACTTCGGACTTGGTATTCGACGTGCGGTTTCCCATGCCTTATCTGAACCTTAGGTATTAATATGTACACACCAAGTGATGCATCCGAGGCTAAGCTGATAGATGCAATTTCGCCGTCTGTAGCGTTGACTTTGTTTGGGTCACTTGGATCGGTATGTGCAGAACAGAAACCAATATCTCGACGGGGCTGACAGTTCAAATTCTTGACTTCGACGGGTGGGACTCTACTCATATCGAGTTAGCTGTATTTGGTGGAATAGCTCAGGGTATAAATAAGGATAAACGCACTGTGGCATTCCCCGACTAGTATCATTTCCCAGATTGTGAGGTCGTCGCAATTGAACTGGAACTGCCACCGTAGTGGTCATCTCTAGAGACTGAAAGTTCTCATCGACGGTGTCCCTCTCCGTCACACTAGCGGTTCGATTTCCAGCCAAAGTATCATCTCGGTGTTTCGCGATATCAATTCGAGCTCTCTCCGCAGCTACGATCGATCTTTTCAGCAGATACTGATCCTCTTCGGAATATGCGATCAGACTTGTTCTCGTGGCATGCCAACTCCGGTCATCAGACATTAGACAAATTTAGCATAAGTACTAAGCCAGACTTACCCCTCCATAACCTTCTTCGAGTAGCGTAGCATCGCAACTTGAAGCATGAGCATCAGAGTTCCCTTTGCATCGCGTAGTTCTGCCCTCATGGCGTCCATTTGGGGCTTGAAGAATGGCCATTTCACCATTTCAGCTGGACTAAGTCTGATGGGATCTTTGCTTTGAGGATTTGCCCTCAGCTGCTTACTCGCCTTCCTCAGTCCTTCTTCGAGCCTTTCGAAGATAGCGTTACATTTTGAAGCGAGATTCATGACGATCGCAAAGCCGGCTGCGTTAAATATTCCGTTCTGTGGCTCATGGCCTTCCGTATCGCTATAATCAATGGCCTCAGGATTGACCGTCCGTGCATTTCCATTGCTGATGCTGTTGTTGGTGTTGGTATCGGTTGCTGCTTGTGTGTGAAATAGCGTCTTGTCAGCTAGTCCACCCAACTGCTGCAAAGTACTAGCATTAACTGAGATATCCTCAGCAATATTTGTGATCTCAGCCGGGGCGGACTTGATTTGGTCCGCAAACGTAAGTAGCTTGATGGAGCATTGAATCCCGGTTGTTGCAATCCCAATGATTGCTGATGCGGATCCAACAGCCTCCATTGATTTGGGCTATCTGAGCACGGTAAATGCTGCTGGAGAATAGAAACTATGTTATTGCGGAAGAGAATCTTCGGACTGAGCGAGCGTTGAAGGAAAGGGATATTCCTGCACTGAAGAGGAAATAATCAGCCGCGCGGAGGCTATGCTGCCCCGCCCACTACACTTTGCAGCCTAATCAATACCTTATCACAAGTTTTCAACTAGGCCATGTCGAACTAGGGATTGAGGGTCGGCCTCTACCCATGTGAGGAGATAATGTCGGAGTGTTTGACGTTAAAGTTGATCGAGACTTCCCTGACGTGGAGCTTGGACGCTGCCTCTATCTTTGTCTTCGCTTATCGACTATAATACTCAACTAATTTTAAGGACTACAAGCTCGTTCGTCCACGAAGAACCATCTAGTATACATTCAACAAATTATCTCTCAGCGCAGTATTATGAACCATCATCACCCCAATATTTACATACCAAAAAAACCGCCCCTAAGCATGATCAATAGGCGACGGTCCCGCATCAATCGGATAGGTAAAGATATAGTTGGGCCCATCCGCCATCAATCCATCACCACCAGGCCTCATCTGTGAAGCAGGCAACCAAAGCTTCTTATCAGCGGTAACCCACATAAGATCTGTCCAAAGCAGCTTCTCATCCTGAATAAGTACAGTCGCGCGTCCCTCAGGCGTGACCTTCCAGATAGCCAGCAAGTTGGTATCACTAACATAGATGTTTCCATCCCCGTCGATAGTACTACCACCAGTGCTGGGCGTCAGGGCAAAAGGCTCCGCGTAATTTCCCAAAGTCGATGCGAGAGTCGCATTCTTGAGAGACGCATCAACGTACGCCGTCTTGATGCGATACAAGCCTCCATTACAGGGCTGGTAGTACAGGTACACACCGTCGGGCGAGACTTCGATTTGGTCGAGTCCAACAGAAAGAGTGCTACCTGCGGCGCCGTATCCGGGGACCAGAGTGCCATTGTACATCATGGGGAACCAAGGTTGGGCGGAAGAGTCGGTGGACAGAACACGCACACCCGTGCCGGTAGTCATGTTCATGACGAGTAGGGCACCGGCAGTGTCGCTCATGTAGGCCACATCACCAGCGGCGTTGAAGCGGACGTCGTCAATGCCGCTGTCGGATGCTTTCATGGCGTCGAGGTAGTAGAGTTTGTCCACGGCGTCGGTGGTGATGTTCACGCCAACGAGCTTGGTGGAGCCGTTGACGCCTGTAGATCCGCCGTCGACAATCCAGTAGTGACCATCGGGGCCCATGCGGGCGCCGTCAATGCTGACGAAGGTCTTGCGTGGGTCGGAGATAGGGTCACTGGAGTTGTAGGAGTTCCAGGCGGTGTTTGGGTAAAGGACCGTGGAGTTGTCGTCCAGGAGCTCAACAATTTGAGGGGGCAGCGTGGTCGAGTAACGCTGGGAGAGAAACTTACGGCCATCGGCAGAGATACTGATGCCCTGGGTGGCGCGCTCAAGGGAGTATGCGAGCTCGAGGCCTGGGGTACTCGTGGTTGCGGCAGCCAGGGGGGCTGTGAGGCCAAGGAGGCCGAGGAAGAGGGCGGCGGACATTGTGGCCTCAATTTGAGATAGAAAATGATTTGAAGACTCTGCCTGGTTTCTGTGACTCCGACCATGATCCTCTGTAGCTTTATAGTAGCCAGGTCGGCCCAGGAGACAGAAGAAAGGAAACTATCTCCGCCAAGCAACGCCAAGAGGATGCGGAATCAAAGCCAAGCACAGCCAAGCTTAAACAAGCTTAGCCTCCGCAATCTTCAGCGTTCCACTCCTTGATTGATGGCCAGATGAGCATGATATGATGTTAGTGGGGAGTGGAAGGCAACCTTAATTGGGCGCGGGGCGTTTCGGAAGGTCAGGAGCCGGACGACATGCAGGTACGAGACTTTCTTAATCATCAATAGGTTGATGCGTCGTCTCCACTGCTTGCGTGGACACGCAAAAGTGTTGCTGGGATCATATGCGGCGTTCGAGTTGTGGAATAACGGAATACACAGATTGTATCTTCTTAGAGGTATTAATATACCCAGTTACGAGAGACGGAATGGTAGTAGCAATGCTCCAATATCTTGTCGTACACAACAGAATGACCAAGGAGGAGGGCGTAGACCCCACTAAATCAGACTTTCACCGGATATCCACCGAGACACCATCACCTATTACATTCGATCATCAGCAGTGTATATGGACTACCATCGCCACATAAATATACTTCGAAAGTTGTGGACTCTTTGTAACGGAGACATTTTACGTAACCTAAGTAATTATTCAGATCTCAAGCATTCTAGATACAATATGACTGTTCTGAAAGCCGTTCATTATGGTGTCATTGTCGGAGTCTTCCATGTCCATAAACCCTCCTGATTATTTAGGCTTACTTGAGTCTCTTGAACCACCTAGACCACCAAGTTTGCCGAAAGCCTTTCCTAGTGTTTCCATCGTTGGGCGTTTCTTGAGGCCATGCGGATCTTTAATTCGCATGATGGTAGGATTCTGTTTCTTGATGGCGTCCCAGTCCAGTGAGAATGCGCGTAGAAAAACAGGTGCAAGGTCATGAGAGGCACAAAGCTCTTCCTCTTGTCCACGACTAGCTTTCTTCCTCATCAAATCATCAAGGTGCCCTTGAACCGTTGAAGTCTGCAAAGGCAAAACGAGGATATGGTCTACCAACGTAGAAGAGAAGTATGGTTCCCCAAGAAAATATCTATGTCTGGTCCCCAAAAGGCGTGTTCTGGAGTCCGGCTTTGAACCGAAAAGCTTGAGGTCCTTGATAAATACCTTGGCATTGGTATCAAAGTAGTCATAGTCTCTATGAAGCTTGTCGAGTAAATCTGTTCTCCTGACTGCGGACTCCGAATATTTTGTCCAGATTTCCAAGAATTGATTCTTATTGGGACCACGTAGGAGGCTTCTAGTCCAAGTGTCTCTGGTTAAAGTCAGGTTGACAGGACGGCCTTTTGGTGTTATAGAAGTGACAACGATATTATGGAGTGGCGTTCCTTTTTCCGCTTCTGCCATGGTCCATCCTATTTAATAAAGACAGTCAGGTTAGAATTTCCACCCACGAATGCCTAATAAAACTCTTACCAATCAAGTACGACACTGAGAAAGTCTCCTGTTGCCCTTGACCGAGATCAAGGGTCATCTTTTCACTATCTGGTAGGGAGTTGATCGGCGATAATGTCTCCGCGTCTAAACTGTTGGTGTTGGCGCGGGTGATGGGACGTACAAACACATTCTGCAAATTCTTTTTCCCGCTCACTTTTCGTCTCTGGCGAAGCGACTCAGGGGCACTAGGGCATTGGCTTGAGTTTGGAGACGAGCCTGAAACCGGACGGACAATGATTGTAATTGCTGTGTCATTTTCGCAGAACATTTTGTATGTCAGGAATATACTGCGGTCCGTAAGCATCTGAACCGCGGCCTTCATACTATCTGAAAAGATGAAGAAGCTGTATTCATCCGGGATATTTTGTCGACGCCCAATGAGGGCCAGTATTCTCGAAAAATTGAGTTCCTCAACACCTCTGGCGTCAAGGTCCTGGTCACTCAGAACGACCTCCCTCTTCCCCATCTCCTCAAGCAAAAACATCCACTTCTTGTTAACCATAACTACCCCCCTCACGCACGAATGCGTGTTTTGCTAGAGGGTCCTGAAACAGATTAGATCTTCTGCAGCGAATAACTAATTTGATAGGATGCTACCTGCTAACGAATGAAGAACGGACCCAGCTGGAACACAGGGTAATCCTCGAGATGGCTCGACCAACTGACAGTGCGTTCGCCTTCAAATGCTATCTTTCAGGGGAAATGGATGGACCTAAAGGACATCTTTGAAAACAAGGACGCTGAAACGATCTTTTATCGGAGGCGACTGGAGAAAAGGTCGGGGGCAAAAAATTCCCATATGAAGAAACACCGCGAAGTAAACACAGTTTCAAGTGAATGAGGTGGGTCCATACAGATGGTGCTGAAGCCTAGCATGATGTATACATTCACTGGATTCCATCGCTCTATGCGGCCGAAGACCTGTCTTCGAAATTCCCTCGAACACTATTTTCGGGAAATAACGACAGAAGGACGGTAAGGCTTGACTCATTTGTTAAATGATATCCAAATATCATACATCATAGCAGTGTATATAGTTCTGATCTCAGTATACTCGAAAATGTCTGTGGCTGGTTCGACATCATCTACCGCAATAGTAGTAAGCATGAGTCATGCTTGTACTTTGACCTCGCTGATGAGGAAATCTTCCTATAGACAACTGCCCCGACGACATGTCGATGACAGGAACCGAGTCCCGAGATTAGTCATAAGTAGGTCATCTTGACAATTATACTCAGTAAGGAAACTCTTCAACTCCTTGCCAGCGTGGTCTTTCTATAACTATCCATCCACAGCTGCCTCCCTGCTACTACACCTCAACTATCAGTATAACTACATCGTCTACCTTTAGCTAATATCTTACGCAACCAACGACGACGGATTCAACATCACCATCACTATTATCCTCGTCCAAGGATCCGGATTCCAAAGACACTACTATTGGGTCTCCATCAACTTCTCCGGTCACAATTTCAGACCTGAAGTGTTCCTCCATATCTTCCAGCTTGTGGTATCGCCTGCATGTTCTCATCTTCGACCTCAACAATTTCAGCAACACCTCGTCCAGGAAACGTCTTGAGAGCGTCATAGACCCTTCTTTTATTGGCAAACCATATTTCACAGACGAAGAAGCCGAAAAAATAAAATCTACTGTGATCAACAGTACGGGAGGAACATTCTCTCAAGCACTAGAGGAGGGCTTGAATGAACGGCTTGAACGACGAAACAAGAAGCGTGTTGAGAGTGGCGACTATCGAGTCTGCGCGGCACATGACCTAGCTCCTCTGATGGCACGTGCACTGGGGGTTGATTTAAAACAGATGGCCAAAGACAAAGAGTTTGCTGGGCTCATTGAGAAGAAAGGGCTGAATTTGCAAGGAGAAATCTGGGGAGGTATGAAGAAAAAATCATTTTCTCCGAAAAAGAAGAGACGATAGGAAGTTGTTATCCCATTGTTTCTTCTATTCGTTCTACTACTCTAATGAAGAAGCCGATTCTCGATGTCGTTGAAAGATCAGCTTTGCTGCCGAGCTTGTACTATATTCTACGCCTATCACTCCGTCGGAAGTCTTAGACAGTCTACAGAGTGACCTATGAGATTGGAAGGGTCTTTCTACAAAATGTGCTGTTCAGCCTGAACGTTGTAATCATGTAAACCTGCAGAAGTACTAGAACGGCGTCATAATGTAAGGCCCGTAGCGTCAGTATATATGGAATTAAATCATACAGCCCGTTGTAACCTCTGCAACTGTCGGAAAGTCTTCGACCACAGTATTTGTGCATAAAGAACATGCGCCTCATAAAGCAGCCAGGGCAACATCTTGAAGTCCCGTTCTGGTTGGCCAAGAGGATACAAATTCGTGCACTCAACAGTGACATATGTTATCCTCGCCTTGTCATCCGAAATCTTTTCGACAATGAACTCCTGAAATCCACCCTCCATGGATCGCCACGGTAGGCCATACGATGCAGCCTTGTCAACTCCTTCGACCAAAGCTTTTGGAAACATCCAGTACATCACAGCACCAGCTGTATTCTTAGCACCTCCATACTTGACAGCTTCTTCATTAGAACAAAATTCCGTGACCGGCTTCGGAGTATCAGAAGGCAAGTCCGATGGGCGAACATTGATCCCACGCTCCGAATCCCAGGTCCCAAGCATAAACGCTCCCATCTCGCTTGGGCGTCCAAATAAACGAGAAGAAGTGGCAAAGGATAACGGCGGCACATCTCTGTCCAAAACCGATGTTTCTAAACCTGTCGCGCGTGCATCTACAAATGCAGCAACGAGATTCTTTGATAGACTATGCAAGCCTTGCTTCTTGTCATCCTTGCCATCGTCACTGAACAGCCCATATTGCGAAAGTTGCGACATAGGCACCTCTGCTTGGACTGCTACAAAGGATGGGACCCAGTAGGTCTTTTCGCCGCCTGACCATGATGATAGCAGAGTTGTTTTTGTAACGCCCAATGGTGTCGGCGTGGCTTCTTCAGATGGTATTTCAATTAGGTTGCGACATGCGCTTGCCTTTGTGAGTTTTGTGATTGCAATCGTCGGGCATGACTGGTTGAGTCGTCGCTTGGTGACATAGGCGACCGCGCTGCTGACGGTTACTATGGTGAGCGCTCCTGTCAGGAGGGGTCGATGTCGGATGAAGTTTGCCATGAGAGAATAAAGAGAGGAATTAAAATGGTATGCTGGAGACAATTGTGGTGGAAGGGTTTCGTCGGTTTCAGGTAAAAGAGCAGCGGGCAACCCAAGCGATGTGGAGGTGAACAGGGGAAGTCTGTTGTGAACTTCAGTTTTCAAGATTCTTTATGATAATCAGCATGTACTGGATACTGAGAAACAATCCGAAGTATTTAAGTGAAAATAAGACATATAGTTGCTCTGGTCAAGATATCCAAATCTCGGGTGATCTCGGGGGAGGCTACCGTGAGTCAGAAGGATCCGAAACCACCCGCTTTCAGCCCCAAACAAGGAGTCAACAACACATCACAAGATCAATGATGCGCTTTTTGATTGAGGAATCCACACTCGGCCCGCATTGGTTACAAATAAACTTTGTTATCAAGGAAATAGGTTTGATTGGGTGCTCACACTGTATGTGGAGGAATGGGTACAAAAGATTCACACCATATGGGCAGACTTCTTCAAGTAACGTACTCATTTCAGGAATCCCCACAGGTTATTCAAGCTTTCCGCAAAAGTTGGATGGGCAAACACGGCATCTTGCAGTTTTTTATAAGGTAGATTCCCCATCATGGCCGTCTGCACAACACTCATTATTTCGCCGCCCTCAACGCCTAAGCATGAAAATCCCAAGATCTGTCCAGTCTCCCCGTCAATCACAGCCTTCATGGCACCTCTTGTCTCATCCGTTTCCAACGCCCTGGCCACATAGCTCATTGGCATCTGCGCAGTCAGAATCTTCCGGCCCGGCCACCTTTCCCTTGCCTCCTGCTCATGCAGCCCGACATGACCGAACTGAGGGTCCGTATAGGCGACATACGGGACGATTCGATCTCGAATCGAGAGCCGCTCACATGTAGATGTAGACTCCAACAATGTGGGCCCGAGTACTCGGAAATCGTCGTATGAGATATGCGTGAAGGATGGCGGGCCCTTGACGTCTCCAATGGCATAGATTGACGGCGCAGATGTTTCCAAAAACTCATTTGTCACGACATAACCTCTCTTATCCATCTTCACGCCTGCAGCAGCAGCACTCAGTCGCTCGGTATTTGGTACCCTCCCACTTGCAAAGAGAATATGCGTGGCCTCTTTGACGACTTCCCTCCCCTGCCGTGTCTCGACTGCGACATCAAACACACCCTCAGAGACATTCTCAAACCGGACCGGGGTATTCTGCAGGCGGACCTCGATTCCATCGTTCCGGAATATCTCCAGCAACATGTCTGCCAACTCCCTGTCCTCTCTTGGAAGCAACTGCTCTCCTCTCTGCAGCACCGTCACCTTAGCCCCAAGCCTCCTAAATAGCTGTCCGAACTCCACCCCTATATACCCACCCCCAACGACCACCAAATGCCGCGGCACCTCTCCCAGCTCCATAATAGACGTAGAGTCCAGTACCTTTTCATTCGGAACCTGTTCCAGTCCCCCAAGCATAACCTTCCCAGGCCGACACCCCGTATTGATCACAATTCTGTCCCCCCTGACAACCCTCTCATTCCCATTGCTCCCGTCCATAACCACTATCGTCTTCGCATCCACAAAACTTGCCTCTCCGATAATGACATCTACCCCCGCATCCCGAAGTCTCTTCTCACCTCCTGCCCGGAACGAATCCACAATATCCCTCTTCCGCTGCCTGATCTTCTTCATGTCAATCACCACTTTATTATCATTATCCCCCTCTTTAAAACCAGATGTATTCGGTGTATGAACACCATATTCCCCACCCCTCCGAGCAAGATACGCGACCCTCCCCGACGCAATCATCGTCTTGGTCGGCGTGCACCCATCATTCACGCAGCAGCCGCCAATATGTTCTCGCTCAATGAGTGCGGTTTTGTGGTTTGCGAGCGCGAGAGCTCGGGCAAGCGGCGTGCCGCCTTGGCCGGAGCCGATGATTATCGTATCGTATTGGGTGGGGGCAGACATTGTTTGGATTAGGTGGTGCTTTAGGGGATGTCGGAGGATGGGGCGGTACATTCCTTTTGCTTGGATGCTGGGATAGTTATGTTCGGGATGGTGGGTGAGGGAAGGGAGACGGTCATGATGGGGTTGTTAGGGGGGAAGTATATACTTAGTATACGAGATTTAGGTGGATACAAAGAAATGAGGGGTAATGGAAAAGACGGATCATGATTAGATCATTGACGTTTGGTTGAGGATGGTCTGGATCGCCGGTAAGAGATCGGATGGATTATGATGGGTTGGGGTTCCGTGGGCGAGTGCGGGATGCCATGTGCCTTTTCCCCTTCGGAGGGTAGTATGTGGTATAAGAGCAAATGGATGAATTGGGCTGCTTACTTGAGCACTCTCCGGGAGTAGTACAATTGGCGATTTCTGGATGAGGTGGGATACGATGTTGCATTGTCAGAGCGGCACTTTACCGTCTTTTTGCTGATGCAACATTGCTTTCAATCCTCGGGAAGTGGGTTGTAAAACACAGAATAAATTTGATAATTCATAACCTGCTGTCTGCCGATTATGACATGCGTATTCAAAAGTTATATTGCAGAAAGCTATATGTTGAATAAGATAGTTGTCGCTAGGTATGTATAACTTCAACTATAACTATGCACTTCATGTTATTGCAAGATCTCTCGGATCCTGGCCGAGCCAGTCAGACTCCCACTGACGTTTCAGTACTTCTTTGGCTCCAGTCTTCTCCAATCTGGCCGCATCCCACATAACGTATCCCCATTTCCGTACCTTATCCTTGATAAAGTACCCCACCAGACTGCTGTATGTGCCTTCCCATATAAGGGTCCACGCCAGTGGAGGATGGGTCGTGTCTGTACTTGGCACTACTACATCTCCAAGAAAAGGTAAAGGATCCCGTCGCCCTTGCTTTCTGTCGCGAAGAGATGGTTTGCTTCTCCGACGCTTGTTCTGGACGTTTAATCCTATGTCATCATTGTTCAATAAGCAGAAAGTCTGCCGTCCGATATGATTTCGCATAGTCGAAACAAGGTGATTATGATCCTTGATTTTAAAAAAAACCGTGTGCAGGAAGTTGAGGCCCAGGGCTATTGTGCCATTTAGAAGGCAATCCCTCGTAACTATAGAATTGAGACAAGATTAGCTGGGACAAATCCTGAGATTGTTGAATCTGAAATAAGGTAGCAATGGAGTAAATTGGGGTCTCAACGTACAGGGATGGTCAAAATCAAAGAAGCCAGCCGGCATCGACCGCTGCTGGCCAGGAATAGCAGGGGGGCCGGGACACAAATCGCGATAAATCCTGGAAAATATATGGTCATATTTCACCTTTGCGAAGGTTTTGATACAGAAGATCTCCTCCACTTCCCATGGTTCAAAGAAAGAGAACTGAAGCTCCATAAACTTCCACCCATCGAGTTGTGGACCGTGTCTGTCTTGGGTATCAGGGCAGATGTGGAATAGGTTACTCCAGAGCTGAAAGCGATACATGGACCGCAGCAGTCGCATCTCTTCCGTTGTACTAAGTTTTGTATTATATGGCCTGGTCCCAGTCCGCCAGGCTAGATTGCCGAGCGACCAAGCAATATATTCCTGCATGAGCGGCCGCACAATACCAAGGTGGAATGCTGCCATGTCTGCAATCTCATCCATAGTGGGATTATCATCCATTATGGAATACTGGGGCAACGCTTGACGCGCTTGGTAGACGTCCAGACAATGGAGGACCGCGTCCGGCATGTATTTCTCAGCAAATTGGAAACGTGCCGAGACATAACAAACTATAGCTTCGACAGTGGCGGTCTTCAATGTTCCATCCATACAACTGGCGAGCAAGTGCCTCCGATTTGAGAGATACTGACCATGGTAGACAGGCGAA